ACAGGTCGGACTGTTTGCATCTGGTCCCGTTTCAATTTCTAAAGACTCTAATTAATCTATCATAAAATTTCAACACTTGCGGCTGACAACTTAATTTTAATATTCAATTAATTTTGTATCTCCAAATCTGGAGGAATTAAATAAACCTACCTACCTACCTATCTACCCCAGGAATAACCAAGACCAGGTTTTTCCAAAGTTTGTACATTGTTCATACTATCATTCAGATATTAGTATTGCACATTCGGGTAAAGCACATCACCAAGCATCCGACAACCAAGGGACATCTAACCAATGTTGAATATGCGAAATCAAATACAATAATGGCGTCCTTTGTTCCCATTGGTGGCACCAACAGCGATATGAACAGGTCAATGGCAGTTGTAAAAAAAAATAAAGGAGAAATCCAAATGACACAATTTAATGAGAAAATGAATTTGCCGATCCTATCTGCAGACCTCCTTACGAAGACAGTCAAAACTGTGTTGAAGTTGATTGATAAACACCATTCTGGCATTCAGGAAGGTGTCAATTTTTTCTTTCTTATAAAATAAGATTGTACAGTTTTGACACTTTAAAATACACTTTCAAACCACCATGAATACACTTTGCAGACAAAGGGGATAGACAGGTCTGTTACTGTACCTAGTCTGTGGTTAATATATGCATTAGTTTGATATGTTTAAGGTTTCAGGAAATGAATTTCGAAGTTGAACCAGTGGACGAGTCGCATATATCCCTCAATACCAGTCGTTTGTTGTCATGCACACCGAAAAAAAAGAAGAAACAGGATGGAGATCTAGTCAAAACATTGATTTCACAATAGTCTCGTTTCCTGCTGACTGGGTTCCGTCCTATTGCGCAACTTACTACAATAACCAGTTCATAATTTTGAGACCAACTCATTCAACTGGATATATAAATATTAATCAGTATTATTTGATACATCTTATCACTTGTATATTGGACACTACTCTCCTTCCAATCCGTACTCTGTCGGACAACGTGCTCTGACAAACGGAATCATGAAATCGTGGAAATCTCAAACGAGGCTCGGCTGCCAGAAAAGTTTGGCGGTCTTGTACGGACTTGATATTATATCAATCACATTGTGCATTACAAAAATACACTTAATAAGCGCAAAGAACACACAACAAGTGTAACCAGTGAGAGCCAGATGAATTATGAAACATTTTTTACGACCTCATCAAACAGGGGCAGTCTGTGACGTCTTAGTTAACGTCATGCTGACTAAACCTAGCCATAAAATATAGAAATACGATTTTATTAAAGTTAATTTGTAAATACCAATTTCTTATGAAACAAGGAATTGGAATTTAGTGTAACCATAGTTGTGTGTAGTGTCTCTTTTCACACGAGAAAATTCAGGTCGGCTGATAAGTAGATCATTGTCTGAATTGGTTCACGAGACTCATGTTTCGGTTTGACCGCTGCCACATATGCGGCAAGTTCTACGTCTTCATTTGACCTCAGACTGCATGTTAAGGGGATACTTCGCAACAACTACCGTTTCCATTTCCAAGTCTGTGTTAAAGGGTATCAAAAACTTTGTGATTGCAACAGTTAATGCTCAAAAATCCATGCACCTACATGGACAGTTACTTCAACGTAAACATTTAAAGCAATGGACAGTTTCAAAACAACTCCATGTAAAATGTACAGTTTAAATTTTTCGACGATAACAGAAAATTACCGATGCATTAAAGCCTAAACTGTGAATGAAGACCTAAAATCACTGTATCTAAGAACTGACAGCAAAAAAAGGTGTGTCTGCTGATGAAGTTGTCATATTTCGTGTTGAAACGATCATTTTCTTTCGACACTCAGGAGGGTGCCCTCGCCTAACGCACAATTGTAGTAAATATAGAGGGTGTCAAGCTATTACAGAATGATCTGTAACTTTCTAGATCCTTCTGCCAAATGGCAAAACCTGATATACTTGCAAAGTAATGCAAATGCGAAGGAAAACTTACCATAACCATTTCGCCACGTGTTCTTCTTTCACTGTCCAGCGAGGAAATGGAGTTGCTTTTGCTTTTGCGGCAACTCCACATTTCGTGTGGACAGCGCTTCCACCCTGTGGTGTATGTATGGTTTGGCGTTTCCCCACTGATGTGAGCATATGTCGTGGACTGCTAGTCATACGGCATTGGCATCTGTAAACATCGTCCGAACAGAAACCACAGCCTCAATGAAACTGGAACTGGACATGCTTGTTTCCTCAATGAGAACTCCTAAATATGTTCAAATGGTTAGCATCACATAGGCCTCCAAGGCAGTTTATGGCCACTTCATATTTTATTATTATATTATTATATGTGATATTTGTATAGCGCCAATATCCAGCTCAGCTCAGCTGCTCAAAGGCGCTTTGTTTTTCCCTCGATCATAGGATGTCAATCTCAACGGCACATCGTATATGTCAATCTTAACTCCCTGGGGATCATACATTTTTGAAAATGTATGGAAGTTTGGTAAGTGTAGTTAGTATTAGTACTTATCATATGTTCCACTGTTTTGTCCAATGCTGTAAATGTTTGCCATGACTGTACCTTTTGTTACAGTGTAACAGCTTTGCTTCAAGAGTGTACTGCACCATTACTCTGTCCGTCTTGTTCAAACTGTTATGAACTTGGTAAATGTGATGCTTAGCTGATATCTTCTGTGTGGATGCTGGACCTTGTTCTTCAGTTCCCTTTAAATCATTCACATCACATCAGAGCAACTCTTGACCAATGAAGCTGAAACGCTACATGCTTGTTCCAGTCAATATAACATCTGAATATTTCAAGAGGCTCAAATCAGATTTTTATTTGCCAACTATGGCAACTATATTGAAAAACAATTGTATGGCCACTTTCAAATATTTTTGTAAAGTATACTGTAATTAGTTCTTTCAAGATGAACACATCTCTGAATTGCCAGACAGATGATACAGTTTGTTGGCATAGTAGACACTTGGTTTAAAGTAGACATTTATGTTGTGCAGTGGTACAAATGTATAAAAAATATAGTACACTCATGCTTGCAGGTTTGGAAATATTGTGGAAATTAAGTTATTTGTTTCATATTGTTAATGTTCAGAATGAGTTTATTCATATGAACTAAAGCATCGGTTGCTTAAGACCAGCTCTAACCCGGATCTTCTCTCATATAGTCCGTTAGGCTTCAGTGAGTTGGGTTCTACGGTATTATATCCTGACGGGGGACACCAGAAATGTGGGGAATCGAACCGCGGCATTACATGACGACGATCCTGTGACATCACGAAGATCGATTAGCTTATCTGGGATAAACGATGCCATGCATCAATCAAGTCAGCAAGTTTACCACCAATCCCGTTAGTGCCTCTTAAAACCAGCAAGAGTTACTGAAAAACAGTCTTACCCTGATCTTCACAATTACAAAGTGTCATGTCACTGACATATATAGTGAACATTCAACAAGTAGTACAGTAAGCTGGCGCACTACAGAAATAAAGTGTCATGTCACTGACATAGTGAACATTCAACAAGTAGTACAGTAAGCTGGCGCACTACAGAAATAAATAGCCAATGATGACTCCCACTCTTCTACAGATTTGTTCCATATAAATACAAATACAAATGTCTAATTTGATTGATTGATTGAAATAGATTCTGATATATACTACCCATCAAAGGTTTAGACTCACTAGTGTAAATGTAGCCACTTACTTCAGTCAACTGTTCTAAACTAGATTTTGCAAAATATCCCATACTGTGTAAAGGTGCTGTTTACACATGAACTGACGTAATGTAAAAGAAATTCGTAACGTTGAAAAGATTATTGTCATCGTTTTAATAAATGATGAAACTCAGTGAAAATTGGCGAATTCTTAACGAAACTTTACACTAAAACGCAGCTGTTCATACGCACGATATCTGCACATGCTTTTCAGCAATTTAATGCATGATCCTCGTGCAATTCATCTGCATAAGGTTTGCAGTTGGTTCCCCTAAGTTAGTGGAGAAATTCATCTTCGATGTAACCATATACATATCATATAGTGAGTGCTTTAAGTGAGTCTAAACTTATGATGGGTAGTATATATCGGTTTCCACGACAACGCAGGGATGTCGTCGAGAGCGTATGCATTGTCAGATGTATGACATCGCTTGTATTTGCATTACGTCAAGCGAGCTGAACTAATTATTACAGATACACCCTGAACAGGAAGGGTTGGGGGGGATTAATAAGGGTGGTGTTGCAACCCGCAAATAAACATAACTCAGTCTCGAAAAGTGTCACAAACGAGGAGAGTCCAAAAGTGGAGCAAGTGGGAGATGTCCATGAAAATCAAAGATTCAGTTCACGATCATAGGATTCTGTCACTCCAAAGGGACGCAACTCATCACATCCTGTAATTTGGCTATGATTATGAGAAGGTATTTTCGAGGTCTAAAACAGCGAATGGCTGAACATGTATCTGCTGTCTTACGGTAGGCAGGAAATAACAGTAGTTGGTATTATTAGGGAAGTCAGACAGGTATCCTCGACCAGCTATAAGAGCTGTAAAACCTACCTATAACGCTGTTTACAGCGCCACTACTTCATATCTGTGTCGGGTGACATGCATATACCGAGCAAGTGAATCGTGAAGTAGGGCAGGGTTCTGACCCCGATACAGAGGAAACGACACCCTGCATCGGAGCGAAGCTTGGCAGTCTCAAACATCGGTCAAAGGGCGCGGTGTGGTGCTGGGCTGTCACTTTCTCACGGTCTTCAACAACTTGACAGGGGACGATTGACACTCAATAACAATCTTCAAACAGTGAGTACACGGCCCATACAAAACAACACTTATAGTGCTATGTATAATTCATAGTGAATCAAAGCAGCTGTTTGAACTAAAAAGCGTAGAAATGACCCACTGTTTTGCGAGATTGTTTAGACAAGTTTTCAGGTCGAGATTTAGGGCGACAAGAGTTACTTCCCGCGGGTGGATATAGCTATTTAAAGTGTTTCAGAATTTCTTCTGTGTACCTTCTTTGTTTATGATGTCAACGACCAGAGACAGTATGTCTCTTATGCAATCTTCACTTCCAACAACTTCTACAGACCTGGCCCTCCAAGGGATACTTTGAGTCTAAACTGGGTAAACAGGGTTAATGTTACTCCACAGACGTGACTGGATCTGACAGATATGACCCTATTGTGGCACTAGAGTGTTGGTAATGTTAGTCAGTTCAACAGTCTTTGTAAGAGGGAGGGTAGAGCGGTGGTAAAGCCATTTTGAGCACGATGTATATATGTCATGCTCTTACAAAGCCAGGGAATGTGGGCAAGTTCTATTTGTCAACTGGATTTTTGCCCAACCCTACTGTAACTCAATCCAACTTGGACGGGTTTTCTATACTTTAGTATGACAGAGTAGATTCAGTCTGATAATTCTGAGTTTTGTTTGTGCTAGGCTGGTATATCAACAGGGTATTCAGAGATCAGGTTTGGTGTATTCTTATTTCAGCATGTTCTAAACATTCGACTTACTCCGAAGCAGAATATATAGGTCCTAAATGTACACCTTTCCTGATGTAAGACTCCCTGAAATAGGGAAATAGTTTGTATGTAGTAAATATACAAGTAACACACTACACACATCCCATCTGCTTTAGATATTTGCACCAGTCAATTGTCGCTTTATGACCGACATAAGCATTTTGGTACACTAACTGTCACTGAAAATATCGTGTTACACTTAGTCTCTGAAGGGTCAGTTGGGTAGCCTATAGTTAAAGCGTTCGCTCGTCACGCCGAAGACCCGTGTTCGATTCCCCAAATGGGTATAATATGTGAAGCCCATTTCTGGTGTCCCACGCCGTGATGTTGCTGGAATATTGCTAAAAGCAGGGTAAAACTAAACTCACTCACTCACTTTAGTCTCTGAAATAATACTGTATTAAGATATTGTTTTATGAATTGTCTTTTAAAATTTAATAGAAAAACCCCAGAGAATATGTTCAGAATACAGCCTTGGGATTTTTTTGTTTCCACTTTCTGTAAGAGAAATTAACAGTAAATTATTTAACTGAATCCATTACCTGAGACCTATGAGGTGACCTTTGATATGTTTCTACTTCAGTCCAGGAAGACACCAGCTGACTTGGTGGTAATGGCGGAGACCTCTGTGTTGTTGAGTGGGGATCTGCTGAGCGGTGGACAAGAATATCGTGTGCACCTGTCCCCTGATGGCCTGCACTGGCAGCTGACCAATCAGAAGAAGGATTCTACAGGTAGCTGCTGTGTGGTAGATGCTATGGACTATTCAGTTCTTGTCAAATACTGGCTGTTCAAGTAAACTGATGTCATAGGGAGCTGTCAGTGAGAGGATTTTGTATATACATTATGTATATGTAAGGCTTATGTAACAGCTGTATAAGTGACCATATACAGTCTTCTTCTTGAAAGAGTGTTTGTGTAATTTGCTAAATGATATTAGTGTCTTTCTACAATGGCATGCACAGATGTTCATGCTTTTGATCACTAGATTGTCTGGTCCAGACTCGATTATTTACAGACTGCCGCCATATGGCTAGAATATTGCTGAGTGTGGCGTTAAACAACAAACCAACCAACCAACTACAATGACCTTTAACCTATGCACACAGCTCTTCCCAGTATTCTAACTGCTGCTGACAAATGGGCATTCTGGGTAAAATCAAAGGTCCCCGCCAACCTATGTATATATATAGTGGCGACTGGGAGGTCTGGCTTGGTGGCATGGTTGATGGCATGTTATCATGTCCTAAATGTGCCGGCCAGTGCTCATGATGTCAATTACTGGAACTCCTTGTTCTGACTAGACTATTTACAGACCCCTGTCATGTATCGGGAACACAGCTGAGTACAGCGTTAACCACATAACTACCAGGTTTCCCCACACCAAACATCTTTGCATATATTTCTTTCAGACACTCTGTCAGGCGTAAATGGTGAGACAGAAATGTGAAGAATTCTGTGCTTTTCATGCTTTTGCTTTGAAACTGCCTGACATTTTTAATTACTGAGGCACAGTGTTAAGTAGAGATTGCAGTGTTGGTTTGAGGTCTGGGCCTAGATTTTCTAAGCTTTCTTAGTGCTAAGATAGTCATAAGTTAAAGTTAATGCATGGCACTTACGACTATCTTAGTGCTAAGAGAGGTGTGAGTGAGTGAGTTTAGTTTTAAGCCACACTCAAGAATATTCAAGCTATATGGCGGCGGTCTGTAAATAAACAAGTCTGGACCAGACAATTGAGTGATCAACAGCATGAGCATCGATCTGCGCAATTGTGAACCGATGACATGTCAGCGAGCCTGGCCACCCGATCCTGTTAGTCGCCTCTTACGACAAGCATGGGTAACTGAAGATCAATTCTAACCCGGACGTTCACAGGTTAGTGAGCTTTGAAAATCTATGCCCTTGGCTTTACTTGAGGTTGTCACGATATGGCTGAAATATTGCCGATGTGATGTTAAATATTAACTCACTCACTTAACTTGAGGACTGACTGACTGACTGAGTTTAGTTTTACGCCGCTTTTAGCAATATTCCAGCAATATCATGGCGGGGGACACCAGAAAATGGGCTTAACACATTGTGCCCATGTGGGGAATCGAACCCGGGCCTTCGGCGTGACGAGCCAACGCTTTAACCACTAGGCTACCCTGCCGCCCCCTTTACTTGAGGAAATGCACAAGGAAATATTATGCAGAGGATCATGATGATCCCAGTGTTTGTGTAAGTGATTGTCACACATAGTTCAAATGCAATTTAGTGATTAACTATGCTTGCAATATAGAGGTGAGCCTGCCATGGAGTGACATCTACAGCCTGGTCACAGACGGCCAGGGGGAGACAACTCAGATGAATGGAGAAGGCAAGAGCTTCACCATCCACTTTATAACCCACAGAAGGGATAAGAAGTGGAAAGCAACTGAGAAGAAGTTTGATGTGAAGGAAGGTGATGTCAGTGACTGGGTCCGCCAGATACAAGCCAACTACAGACCAGGTAGGTTGCCAGGTGTGGAATTGGGATATGGCCCCAATATAACTAACAATGATGTATGTAATGAGAGAATTTATAGAATGTAAACAGTGATACGTGTTGTAGGTTGCCAGGTGTGGAATGGGGATATGGCCCCCAATATAACTAACAATGATGTATGTAATGAGAGAATTTATAGAATGTAAACAGTGATATGTGTTGTAGGTTGCCAGGTGTGGAATGGGGATATGGCCCCAATATAACTAACAATGATGTATGTAATGAGAGAATTTATAGAATGTAAACAGTGATACGTGTTGTAGGTTGCCAGGTGTGGAATGGGGATATGGCCCCAATATAACTAACAATGATGTATGTAATGAGAGAATTTATAAAATGTAAACAGTGATAGGTGTTGTAGGTTGCCAGGTGTGGAATGGGGATGTGGCCCCCAATATAACTAACAATGATGTATGTAATGAGAGAATTTATAAAATGTAAACAGTGATATGTGTTGTAGGTTGCCAGGTGTGGAATGGGGATATGGCCCCAATATAACTAACAATGATGTATGTAATGAAAGAATTTATAGAATGTAAACAGTGATACGTGTTTGTAGGTTGCCAGGTGTGGAATGGGGATATGGCCCCAATATAACTAACAATGATGTATGTAATGAGAGAATTTTATAAAATGTAAACAGTGATGATAGGTGTGGAATGGGGATGTGGCCCCCAATATAACTAACAATGATGTATGTAATGAGAGAATTTATAGAATGTAAACAGTGATTTGTAGGTTGCCAGGTGTGGAATGGGAATGATGTATGTAATGAGAGAATATAGAATGGGATATAACTAACAATGATGTATGTAATGAGAGAATTTATAGAATGTAAACAGTGATACCCCAGGTGTGGAATGGGGATGTGGCCCCCAATATAACTAACAATGATGTATGTAATGAGAGAATTTATAGAATGTAAACAGTGATACGTGTTGTAGGTTGCCAGGTGTGGAATTGGGATATGGCCCCCAATATAACTAACAATGATGTATGTAATGAGAGAATTTATAGAATGTAAATGAGTGATACGTGTTGTAGGTTGCCAGGTGTGGATTGGGGATATGGCCCCCAATATAACTAACGATGATGTATGTAATGAGAGAATTTATAAAATGTAAATAGTGATACGTGTTGGATAATTTGCTGTTCGTTTTATCTTGACCAGCTACCCCTAAAAGGCTGCTTGTGATAGTGAACCCAATCGGTGGGAAGGGTCAAGGTCGTCAGGTCTATGAAAAGAAGGTGGCACCTCTCTTCAAGACAGCTGGGATCGAGACTCATGTTTTCAGTTAGTGCCATGTTATGTTTTAAACGAAATTAAGAAATGTTCATTTTTGTCAACTTAAAAACGCGTGTTTTACAAGATAATCATGTTCATCATAACAGAATTATGATGTCATTATGAAAATTGTTTTAAGGTAGATTTTTGGAAATGTATTGTACTTTTGTTATCAATTTAAACAGTGTGAAACATATTTCTATGTAAAATAGCTGGATATGTTACTCATATACTCACAACAGGGTAAATGAATGGCCTGAAGAAAATTATTTGGTCAGTGGGTATCATAAATATGCAATCTTTATGAATATGTTAATTTTAGCATATATCAGAGTGTAATAGTGACAGTGTGTTGAATAGGTGGGTATAATACCAGTTCACTGGTAAGTCAGGACAGCAGACCATAATGGTTATTTATGACAGTATTCATGTGTATATTTATGTACAAACAAAAGATTGGGTTTCTCCTCATGCAGGTGTTACAACTACAGAATGACAACAAGATTGGTTTTGAATGAAGTATTTCTGTTTTTCAGTAACAGAGAGAGCCAAACATTCAGAAGAAATTATCAACAACTTTGACTTCTCTAAAGTTGAAGGGTGAGAGGCTGACAATTTCCACAGTGTTATGTCAAGACAAATGAAATGTGAAATGTATATTTTAAAAATTACTAATTGAGATCTAGATTGAGTTACAAAAGGTATGTGTGTAAAACTGGAATGTAACAGTGTAGACTTACAAAATGTTTATGTGTAACACTGGAGTCTATTGACTTCAGTATAACACAAGCTCTGACATATCAGGTATTGAGGAGATGTGATTGTTTTGTCATGTCAGCAGTTTTCTCTGCTTCCAGCCTGGTGACAGTCGGGGGCGATGGGATGTACCAGGAAGCTCTCAACACGCTCATCCAGCGAAACCAGAAAGAGGCTGGCATCGACATCAATAATCCGGAGTCTGTCCTCAAACCACTTGATATCAAGTTTGGCATCATTCCGGCAGGTGCTTACTGCTTATATTACATAGATACAAGCTTACTTTATCAAAACGTTTTTTTTAATTATTATTATTTTAACGTTTTTATTTCTCAGTACATGTTTACATGACATTATAATTGTGAATAGATGTTCACATATACAAGGCATACATAAATTGATAGTATTTACAGGTTTGGCATAGGGCCTTAGTCGGTGTTACATTGACCATTCTTTCTTTGCAAATATTACATATAGATAAGTAGGCATAACTACATAATACATTTCGTACTGTATATGAATTACAACTTGTGTATGTTTGACTGCATCTTGTTACATGCAAGGTATAAGTCATTTTACGTTACCCATTATTTCTCAACATATGTTTACATGTACATAAGTATGCATATTACAGTGTATGAAAACGTCTACTGCATGTTTGACTGTTTCTAATCACCTGCAAGGCATCAATCATTTTTACATTAAAGTGTACTCTTTAAAGTTTACAATTAAATATTGAGCTACAAGTCTAAAAATAGTGTATGGAAATGATAAGTATTTGATTGTGGGACCTTTGAAAGTGGACATTGCAGGCCATTTTTCTTGAATATGTCATACTTCTTGCAAATTTTGTGATATTCAAACAATAAATGCATGGTAGTGTATGTTTTATTCTTTCTCTGGTTCAAATCCAACAGCTTATTCAAAAGATTACGAATGAAAAAATTCAGTGCCAGAACTATTTTCTCTGAGTATATATCATCATTGATTACATCATACAATGTACATCCATTAGTTGTATTGCTACATTCACTTTCAGTAACGATTTTCTGAAAAAATGTGTAAAAAGTAGCTTTAACCTGTGAATTCAAACCTGCAACTCATAAGTTCCCAGATCTTGTAGGTTACAGTTGTTGAAAGAGATAATGATACATGACATTTATTGGAGAATTTGACAGTGTGTAATGGAGCAGTTTAACGAGTTCAGTGAGGTCAGTACTGGAGTAGAGAAGAACATGCTTCTATAAAGGGAGGGTTGTGGATGCAATGTATGTTTTCTGTGCTATCTTCAGGCACTGGTAATGGAGTGTCTGCTCTGGCAGCGGGAGTTATAGACATAGAGACAGCAATACTACATGTTATCAGAGGTACGTGATCAATCTAAACAGTCTGCTTCCTGTGTTCTATCTGCCAGCAGCTGCTAGTGTTTGTTTGTTTGCATGGCATTTAACACTGCACAATATTCCAGCTGTCCTTAAATAATCAAGTTTTGACCAGACAATCCAGTGATGGACACCATGAGCCAGAGGTGGATGAAGAAATTTGAAAAAAGGAGCTGCACATGATACCCAAGTCACAAAGAAACCATGGTGCCGTTGTACAAAGCAATCTTAGGGCTACTGTGATTGTAACCCCCACCCCAAGTTATGATAGTGGTAGCTCTATGGTTGTAACCCCAACCCCTAGTTATGATAGTGGTAGCTCTATGGTTGTAACCCCAACCCCCAAGTTATGATAGTTGTAGCTCTATGGTTGTAACCCCCAACCCCCAAGTTATGATAGTGGTAGCTCTATGGTTGTAACCCCCAACCCCAAGTTATGATAGTGGTAGCTCTATGGTTGTAACCCCCAACCCCCAAGTTATGATAGTTGTAGCTCTATGGTTGTAACCCCAACCCCCAAGTTATGATAGTGGTAGCTCTATGGTTGTAACCCCCAACCCCCTAGTTATGATAGTTGTAGCTCTATGGTTGTAACCCCAACCCCCAAGTTATGATAGTTGTAGCTCTATGGTTGTAACCCCCAACCCCCAAGTTATGATAGTGGTAGCTCTATGGTTGTAACCCCCAACCCCTAGTTATGATAGTTGTAGCTCTATGGTTGTAACCCCCAACCCCCTAGTTATGATAGTTGTAGCTCTATGGTTGTAACCCCAACCCCTAGTTATGATAGTTGTAGCTCTATGGTTGTAACCCCCAACCCCCAAGTTATGATAGTGGTAGCTCTATGGTTGTAAACCCAACCCCTAGTTATGATAAGTTATGATAGTGGTAGCTCTATGGTTGTAACCCCAACCCCCTAGTTATGATAGTTGTAGCTCTATGGTTTGTAACCCCAACCCCAAGTTATGATAGTGGTAGCTCTATGGTTGTAACCCCCAACCCCAAGTTATGATAGTGGTAGCTCTATGGTTGTAACCCCCCAACCCCCAAGTTATGATAGTGGTAGCTCTATGGTTGTAACCCCAACCCCAAGTTATGATAGTTGTAGCTCTATGGTTGTAACCCCAACCCCTAGTTATGATAGTTGTAGCTCTATGGTTGTAACCCCAACCCCCAAGTTATGATAGTGGTAGCTCTATGGTTTAACCCCAACCCCTAGTAACCCCAACCCCCAAGTTATGATAGTGGTAGCTCTATGGTTGTAACCCCCAACCCCCAAGTTATGATAGTGGTAGCTCTATGGTTGTAACCCCCAACCCCCAAGTTATGATAGTGGTAGCTCTATGGTTGTAACCCCCAACCCCCAAGTTATGATAGTTGTAGCTCTATGGTTGTTTTGTACACCAGCACCCTGACCGAGGGAGCAGGTAGCATGTAAGATGTTTGGATACCCATGTTTGAGCGGTGTGATACAACAACATGCTCTCATTTAACAAACAGCAATTCTGCATACCAAGTCGGAGGTTGCTGGGGAGTTGAGATGTGCCCAAAATGAACTGTTTGTTCAGAAACTTGCTCCAAATTTTTGTTGGCAGTGGTGAAAAAAAATAGACTGTGGAAAATACCCAAACAATATTTTTTGTATGGCAAACATGAATATTTATTTTGATGGTGCTCAGAAATAAATTGTTTGAAGACTTTTATTACTCCAAGCTGATATGCCCCCTTAGCACTACCTTATTCCTGTCCAGATTATATTGATATTGAGAATTTGAGAATTTGAATTGTTTTTAAGGAGAGACAATAGGCTTTAATATATTCGGTATCTACGAGCCCGGGAAGTTGCTGTCCTACAGTGGTCTTCTGTTCGCTCACGGATTCTCTTCTGCCATTATCAAGAAGACTGACGAGAAGAGATGGATGAAAACTTTCCGATATCCATGTGAGTGACCTGTCTGATACACAACAGTAGTTTGATGTCCATGTCTGATGTCTGTGAGTCATGTCAAGTAGTGAATTTGTGTGTGATATATTTATGACATGTGTTTGGACAGCTGAGTAGTAACCATCAAGCTTCAAACTAACCTCTCCTGTACTCCTCACACAACAGATGATATAACATCACACTTCTGTTTTGAAACATTTCTAGATGTCATGATAACTCATTCATTCAGCAAGAAGCAAGTTTATGAACCAGAAATCCATTTGCTGGAGAAGACAGCTGGCGATGACTCCCAAGAGATGTAAGTGATATGTGTATAACAATGTTGAAATATCAAAGGTGCAGTGGGTGTGTATCTCATCTGACATGAAGGCTGAGGTCATGTGGAGTAAATGAGTGACTTGTGTCAAACTGCACGATCCCAAGTATATATCTAAGTTGACTGCTAATATTCAAGTCTGGTCAACACCACAGAGGTACAGTGACATTCTATAAGTGTGTGTTTAAGGCCTCTTACTGCAGTACTTATAATACTGTGGTTCATTCCTTATGGTGAAAGGTTGAACATGTGTGTTTAAGGCCTCTTATGGTAACATTGTATGCCACAGTGTTTTAAGGCCTCTTATGGTAACATTGTATACCACAGTGTTTTAAGGCCTCTTATGGTAACATTGTATGCCACAGTGTTTTAAGGCCTCTTATTGAAACATTGTATGCCACAGTGTTTTAAGGCCTCTTATGGTAACATTGTATGCCACAGTGTTTAAGGCCTCTTATGGTAACATTGTATGCCACAGTGTTTAAGGCCTCTTATGGTAACATTGTATGCCACAGTGTTTATGGCCTCTTGTATGGTAACATTGTAGTGTTTAAGGCCTCTTATGGTAACATTGTATGCCACAGTGTTTTAAGGCCTCTTATGGTAACATTGTATGCCACTGTGTTTTAAGGCCTCTTATGGTAACATTGTATGCCACAGTGTTTAAGGCCTCTTATGGTAACATTGTATGCAACAGTGTTTAAGGCCTCTTATGGTAACATTGTATGCCACAGTGTTTTAAGGCCTCTTATGGTAACATTGTATGCCACAGTGTTTTAAGGCCTCTTATGGTAACATTGTATGCCACAGTGTTTTAAGGCCTCTTATGGTAACATTGTATGCCACAGTGTTTTAAGCCCCTTTTATTGAAACATTGTATGTCACAGTGTTTTCATAGAAGCGACAAAACCCTTTCTACATGATGTCATAAAAGAAATCTCTGCTAAAAGTAGAGTCAATTAAACAATTGTGACTATATCATGGGCATATATTTGTTTCAGCATTCAGCCTGTTTCAGCATTCAGCCTGTTTCATCACCATTCTGTAGTTGTATGTTTAAAGTCTCTTCTTGCAAAATTATGTGTTTAAAACTCTTATTGCAAGTTTGTATCACATGCTGTTTCTGGTCATATGTTGCCATACTGTGTGATACTGCATGTTTCAAGCACCATGCTCTGTCATTGTCCTGTTTGTTTCAGAGCTGAATCAGAAGGAGCTGCTGCCCCAGCCAAGGAGAAAGGTACTGTGGCCAGCTAAAGACCTGGTACTCCTTTGTATTGGTTGAGCACTGATCAGTTGTCCCACATAGTACAGTAAACTTAAGCCTATAGAGGACAATGTTGGACGGCCTGTTATCTTCCTTTTATGACTGCTCAGATGCCTAGTGAATAGGCATTACAGATGTACAAGTGAACTGCTTCAGCATTGCTTTGTGCCGATAGAGGTGAGTACACATGTATTGATGTTTGGAGTATCATCATCCACAGCCAGTATATGCCATGCCATTATCCATCACTTATCACATCCTGCACATAAAGCTGTAAGCACAAACAGCCTGCAAGTATATCCCTGCATATAAAACAGTAAGCACTAAAAAAGTATAATAAAAGATATCACAAATGTTACGTTTGACCACTTTCTACATGGCATTGAATATTCAGAGGGGAACACTAGGTACGTGATGAACACTCACAACTGTCAGATTGATGTGGATCTCTGACTTTATGTGCTGGCAAGTAGGTGCGAGTGGGAGTTCAAATTCCAAAACAAAAAGTACAACCTGAGAATATCTGATCCCAAATATAGCATAATGTAACATCCTTTTAATTGTCTAGACAATCAATTGCCCCATTTCTCTGAAGCAGTACAATAATACCTTTCAAACAGGGTAATAAAAAGTAACTATCTATTAAAATATAGTACCAAAGTCTACCAAAGATAGACATGTCCGCAATAACCTAATCAAAACCTGCAGATTTCCACAACTTAAACAATTATATAGCTGAAATAGACATTGTCAATGTCATTAGCATGATTTGCATCTTTTCATTATTTGACCTTATAACCCCATTACCTGACACACCCATGAAGTGCTCCTACCATTCAGCTTGGAAACTGGTGGCAGTATACCCCACCTCCACCTGTGCTGTGTATTCTATGACAGCTGTATAGTTCCTGGCAGTGTTTATCTGTCTGTGTTTCAGGCTGGCGGAGACTGGAGCCAGTATACCCCACCTCCACCTGTGCTGTGTATTCTATGACAGCTGTATAGTTCCTGGCAGTGTTTATCTGTCTGTGTTTCAGGCTGGCGGAGACTGGTGCCAGTATACCCCACCTCCACCTGTGCTGTGTATTCTATGACAGCTGTATAGCTCCTGGCAGTGTTTATCTGTCTGTGTTTCAGGCTGGTGGAGACTGGTGGCAGTATACCCCACCTCCACCTGTGCTGTGTATTCTATGACAGCTGTACAGTTCCTGGCAGTGTTTATCTGTCTGTGTTTCAGGCTGGCGGAGACTTGAGGCCATGCAGCAAATGGACATGATGATCTTTATATGCAAGATAGATACTAAGCAGGACAAACTGAAGATGCTACCTTCATCGGACAGTTTTACTGTTTTCTTGACCAAACTGTGTGCAGGCTGGACCTACTTGAAGATGATGTTTGGACTAATGAGACAATCCAGTGATGCTGTAAGAATACTTTACAATATGTGAGCCTGCCTTTACTGTAATACTGTTCACAACTGATGTTCAATAACAGTAAAGCCCATACTGACTTGTAGGCCCACAGCATCTAGGTAGTGGGTTGTAGGCCCACAGCATCTAGGTACTTGGTTGTAGGCCCACAGCATCTAGGTAGTGGGTTGTAGGGCCACAGCATCTAGGTACTGGGTTGTAGGCCCACAGCATCTAGGTAGTGGGTTGTAGGCCCAATGCATCTGGGTACTGGGTTGTAGGCCCACAGCATCTAGGTAGTGGGTTGTAGGCCCACAGCGTCTAGGTAGTGGGTTGTAGGCCCACAGCATCTAGGTACTGGGTTGTAGGCCCACAGCATCTAGGTACTGGGTTGTAGGCCCACAGCATCTAGGTAGTGGGTTGTAGGCCCACAGCATCTAGGTACTGGGTTGTAGGCCCACAGCATCTAGGTAGTGGGTTGTAGGCCCACAGCATCTAGGTACTGGGTTGTAGGCCCACAGCATCTAGGTAGTGGGTTGTAGGCCCACAGCATGTAGGTAGTGGGTTGTAGGCCCACAGCATCTAGGTAGTGGGTTGAAGGCCCACAGCATCTAGGTAGTGGGTTGTAGGCCCACAGCATCTAGGTAGTGGGTTGTAGGCCCACAACATCTAGGTAGTGGGTTGTAGGCCCACAGCATCTAGGTAGTGGGTTGTAGGCCCACAGCATCTAGGTAGTGGGTTGTAGGCCCACAGCATCTAGGTACTGGGTTGTAGGCCCAATGCATCTAGGTACTGGGTTGTAGGCCCACAGCGTCTAGGTAGTGGGTTGTAGGCCCACAGCGTCTAGGTAGTGGGTTGTAGGCCCAGTGCAACTAGGTAGTGGGTTGTAGGCCCACATCATCTAGGTAATGGGTTGTAGGCCCACAACATCTAGGTAATGGGTTGTAGGCCCACAGCATCTAGGTAGTGGGTTGTAGGCCCACAGCATCTAGGTAGTGGGTTGTAGGCTCACAGCATCTAGGTAGTAGGTTGTAGGCCCACAGCATCTAGGTACTGGGTTGTAGGCCCACAGCATCTAGGTACTGGGTTGTAGGCCCAATGCATCTAGGTAGTGGGTTGTAGGCCCACAGCGTCTAGGTAGTGGGTTGTAGGCCCACAACGTCTAGGTAGTGGGTTTGTAGGCCCAGTGCATCTAGGTAGTGGGTTGTAGGCCCACATCATCTAGGTAATGGGTTGTGAGGCCCACAGCATCTAGGTAGTGGGTTGTAGGCCCACAGCATCTAGGTAGTGGGTTGTAGGCCCAATGCATCTAGGTAGTGGGTTGTAGGCCCACAGCATCTAGGTACTGGGTTGTAGGCCCACAGCATCTAGGTACTGGGTTGTAGGCCCACAGCATCTAGGTACTGGGTTGTAGGCCCACAGCATCTAGGTACTGGGTTGTAGGCCCACAGCATCTAGGTACTGGGTTGTAGGCCCACAGCATCTAGGTAGTGGGTTGTAGGCCCACAGCATCTAGGTACTGGGTTGTAGGCCCACAGCATCTAGGTAGTGGGTTGTAGGCTCACAGCATCTAGGTAGTGGGTTGTAGGCCCACAGCATCTAGGTAGTGGGTTGTAGGCCCACAGCATCTAGGTACTGGGTTGTAGGCCCACAGCATCTAGGTACTGGGTTGTAGGCCCACAGCATCTAGGTACTGGGTTGTAGGCTCAATGCATCTAGGTAGTGGGTTGTAGGCCCACAGCATCTAGGTAGTGGGTTGTAGGCCCACAGCATCTAGGTAGTGGGTTGTAGGCCCAGTGCATCTAGGTAGTGGGTTGTAGGCCCACATCATCTAGGTAATGGGTTGTAGGCCCACAGCATCTAGGTAGTGGGTTGTAGGCCCACAGCATCTAGGTAGTGGGTTGTAGGCCCAATGCATCTAGGTAGTGGGTTGTAGGCCCACAGCATCTAGGTACTGGGTTGTAGGCCCAATGCATCTAGGTACTGGGTTGTAGGCCCACAGCATCTAGGTACTGGGTTGTAGGCCCACAGCATCTAGGTACTGGGTTGTAGGCCCACAGCATCTAGGTACTGGGTTGTAGGCCCACAGCATCTAGGTAGTGGGTTGTAGGCCCACAGCATCTAGGTAGTGGGTTGTAGGCCCACAGCATCTAGGTAGTGAGTTGTAGGCCCAATGCATCTAGGTAGTGGATTGTAGGCCCACTGTACCTCGGTAGTGGATTGTACATCACCTTGGTACTAGGTGACCATGGAATCTGTCATCATCCAGTTTTATATATGGATCTACAAAAATATCTACTGTGACATATGTATGTATGCTCAGACGCAAAGATTATTGTGATATAGAATATTTTCATTGTTAATCTTCAATGCACAAGGTGGACAGACACACTCGCTGCTGACTGTGTGAACTTCCTTGTGACCCTCTCTTGTGCTGTTGCTCATTTGCATATACTGTATGTGCTGTTCTTATGGATGGTTAGTTGTGATGGTGTTTGTTGTTTGTGTGTCACAGTAGCATTTTCCTGTGAGTATATGTACCGAATGTATGTTCATACACTCCATAGTCAATGAAAAAGGCCCCTCACTTGTAATTATGTTCTTAATCCACAAAAACCTACCATCTCATACGTATATCTCATTATTTAAAACAAGGTTCATCCTAAGGCTTGTGACTACAACTGACACTATGATTGATTTCTCAACTATATGATTCCCTCTCTTTATCAAATGTTTTCTGTGAATTATCAATGGTACTTTCGGTAGGAGTATTTTATTTGATACCAATGCAATAATATTGATTAACAAAACTCTAAATTTCATAACATTACATTTATATTTTATTTCCTGAATCAATGCATTATAGTTTGTTTGCTTGTTTGTTAATTAAAAATACAAATGAATTTATTGGTATTATGATGGAAATATGACTGCTGTCAGTTCTTCCATTCAGCCACATGGATTTGAGGGGCCTTTGAGAGTGGCATGAGTTGAAGAATGCTTCCCATGGTGTTCCAGATGGACGTCCCCCAGTTGGTCGTGCATCAGGATGTCACAGGAATGAAGGTCAAGTTCAACATCGATGAGAACCCATCACTTTCTGAGAAGGAGAAGATGTATGGAAGCTTGCTGAACATTGACGGGGAGTTGTACAAGTCTGAGTGTGGGGAAGTGGAGATCCGGTCAGTACAGCATCACATCACTGTCATGAGGGATGGTTGTTGTCACCTCTTCCCTTGTAAAGTCACAAGACCACACATCACCATGATTAAACTACTATTTTACCACAAACATTAGCATGCGTTTTGTAACTGATCGTTATCTGTAAACACCACTGACCCGTAAAGATCCGGACTGGAATTGATCTTCTGTAACCCATACTTGTCGTAAGAGGCAACTAACGGGATCGGGTGGTAATGCTCGCTGACTTGTTGACACATGTCATTGTATCCCAATAGTGTAATCGATGCTCATACTGTTGATCATTGGATTGTCTGGTCCAGACTCGATTATTTACAGACAAGTGCTATACAGCTAGAATATTGCTGAATAAAACTAAACTCACTCACTCACTGTAAACACCATCCCAACTGTAACAGCAAGGTAAATGAAGGTAAGATTCAACATAAATGTCCTCATGATAATGATATGATCATGGAGGCCATACTGCAAATTCTTATTTCACACACCAGTATATTTTTATATTTTATCAAGAAGGAAAAGTGAAACTGCCAACATGTATGTTCCGTGATGAAGGTGAGCTGCTGTACATGGCATCATGAACCTGCGCTACTGTTCCAGGTTGATATCGAGGTATGTGCCGATGTATGCAACCCCTGTCGATTCGTTCTCATCAACACCAGGGGAGGATCCAGGAGAGCCACCACAGACTGCCTAGAGAGTGCTGTGGAAGCACCATGATCTGCAGCCAAATCTGTTCAAAATACTGTGCAGCAACAACTGATTCTTAAGGCTAAATGTTTAACATAGGAAATGATAAACATGGACTTTGACTTGATTAAAGACAGTGTGATTGTCTTCCGTCTTTTAACTGCATCAATATGAAGATACAATAGACTGATGTACCGGGTGTGTTCTATGTATACTAAACAACAGAAATGAAAGAACACTCAATTTGTTCATATTACTATACTTAACATACCTGGAAGATGGAAGTGTTGGAGGTTCTTTAATTTCTTTTGAGTAGTACAGATACCTTTCCGACACAAATATCTTCAGCGCCAAATACTGATAGATCGTAATATGGGTGCTTGAATGTATCACGTCCACTCGTGTTCCACAATGGGTAACAAGTGCATGCCTCATCGAATCACACTGCAGCAGCAAACTGGTCAACCAGTGTTTGCCCAACGACTGCCCTTTGAAAGACCTAAGGTCAAAAGAGACATTTTTTCGTACTGTTATATGTGTTTACCGAAGGCCTGGGTTTTAAGCCTTTTGACCACTTGGCAGCTATTATATATTGATTAATCAAGCACTATGAACCTTAAAACAGAATGTATGAGTGAGTGAGTTGGGGGTGGGAGTGAGTTTGAAATACTATTGTTTAACAGTATCATTCATAATGAGAAACCACAAAAACATGACATTTTGAATGCACCATTTAGATGGAGAATATATTTTACCGAGTTATGGACAATGTATAAGTTATTTTAGTGGGTTGGGTTTGTTCCAATTAGGGTGGGCTTCTGAAGCAGCATTCCTCAACATATATCGTGAAACTTGTATACACGTCAGGAACATGCTCAATGGGTGCCCTTGAACAAAGGGAATTATGTTTTGATTTTCTATTCTGTAAGTTCTATAATAGTGTAGATTTGGAGTTTTGTTTGTATTTTTCTAGTGTCAAACCTTTCATTATTACTCCATAAATGTATGAGGATAGTTAGGACTTGTGCCTACCAATTGATTTGTTTATAAGTGTACCAAGCAGTGCTAGCGGGTGAGATGTATAGCTGGTGTCTCCTTGTTTCCTATACAACACTGAGGGGAATTACAATGATGCTCCCTTGTCTCTAGCCCCAAAATGGGAAGCTGGGTAATTAACCAGAATAATTATGGATCATGTGCCCTTGTATGAATATTTCCTGAATATGTGCCTTCCTGGTTTATATATATATGAAATGTATCTTTATATTTTGAAGCATATATCAACTTTTATGAAAGGTTTTGATTTAAAGAAATAGGATCTGTCACAGTTAATGATGTGGGTTGTATGTCATATGTATGTCATGTTGTGAACATTTCTGATTTAACTGTGCAATATCATGTGGTGGTCCCAGTATCTGTGATGGTTTCACACACTTATGTGAAACTGTGTTGTGAAAATACAGTGAAACCACATGAACGTCTTCACACTAGATGTTGTTCATAACAGTTCATTTTGACAATCACATCAGAATCGTAATTGTCCCTATGGGTCAATATTGACGCTTTGCCGGTGCCAAATATTGGTTTGGTATTGCCCTCTGCTGGTGCCAAATAATGGTTTGGTATTGACACTCTGCTGGTGCCAAATAATGATTTGGTATTGACACTCTGCTGGTGCCAAATAATGGTTTGGTATTGACACTCTGCTGGTGCCAAATAATGGTTTGGTATTGACACTTTGCTGGTGCCAAATAATGGTTTGATACTGACGCTCTGCTGGTGTCAAATAATGGTTAACATGATGCAGCTTTATGGTCTTGACTTGATGAGGTGCCCTAAGATCAATATGCACACATCAGAAAGTGATTCCATCAATTATAGGAAAGATTTCCACAGTTTCTGAAAATGAAGATGTTTGAACAAATACAGAGCAAGATATCAAGAGAGGTTGACTCGTCATATTTTCGTTGACATATAACTACAGGTACATCTTAAACTATGACCCTCACTTTCATTACTTTTAATGCTTATTTTAGTTCTATTGTGAACTATTTTTTTTCTGTAAAATATGTTCATTTGAGAGACTAGTTGTTAGTCTACAAGCTTGACTGTACCCCTGTTACAGTGAGCTGATGGTTCAGGAAGGATCATGTACGGTTTATGGTGTTTTACATGTTTTACATGTTCATCTGCTTCTAACCATCTCTCTATATATATGTTTGTGTATTTATAATCGAGCAGCATATTATTGTTTGTAACCGATAGTATTATTTGTTTATATATTGCACATACCCTATGTGTTTTTATGTCACATACAGATGTTATTTTGTGTCAGATACACATGTGTTGTTTTAAATGTTGTATGTTTTTTATTAATGGTAGTCCCAAGGCTAATATGTCCAGACTTTACTGTACAAGTAGAGCATTAATTTTATTTCTGCTCTTTTTCTATCATATTGTGCTTTCATAGAATAATTAAATGAGTTTATTAATTGAAAATGTCTGCTTTTCATAGTATAATTCTACTGGATATTCCATGGTCAGTACATAGGACCAAGGCTACAAGAGTCATTTGCCAGGGCTGAACCACAAAACTGGCAATAGGATACATCTAAAAAGGATGTCAGTTTTACACACCAAGTGTCAGTGTTATGCAACCATGTGCCAATTTTTATAAGGAGAATGACACATGCAACAAGAGTGAAAACACAAAACTCAGAAACAATGAGTCCAGCAAAAAAAGACTTTGTCATATGATAGAAGAGTTAAGTGAAATGTGCTGTCATCTGGAAGGGCAAATTTCCATTTCATGTTTCCTTTTAACTGCGTGCATGCGTGCGTCCACGAATCCACTGAGATAACCAGCCACAGTGTGACATGGATAACTGTCATCGTGAAGAGGCGAGCGGCAAATGTTCAGCGTGAGAGGGCGAATCTTGAAGACGACCCCAGTTATGGAAGGCCTATAAGGTCACTAACAACAGAAGTGAAAATGCACACTATGGTGACCGTATCAGGTCACTTTGCTCCACAGCTTCTGACATCTCAACAAGGACACACCAGCTTGTCTGTGCCACTCTAGCTGCTTGAATCTGATACAGAAAGGTCGTTTATTCTCATAGAGACAATATAAGCATTATTATTAAGCAAATTTGTTGCAATGATTGGATGAAATTAGCCTAGATCTTCTCTTCCTTTAAGACAATACTGCAGTGCTATAAGTCTCGAGTGTGGTTTTGAACTCCTTCAGTACCGTCATATTCTGATCTGTTCCATCAAACCTCTGTCTTGTCCCAAACACGAAGAACGCTGTAGCAGGATCTCATGTGGACTCGAATGATGACGTCAGGGCAGCTGTGGAAAACTCTTTAAACAGCCAAAAGGAAGACAATTACGAAACTGAGATACTCCTTCACACATCGATGACAGGAGGACATCATGCCAAAAACTACAACATTAAATGTCTTTAGGTCAAGTACCCCTTGTAATTAATTAAGTCTTCCCAAAATCATCCAATAACAATGTTAAATGATGGTAAATATCCCTCATGGACAAATGATTAGTCTACATCAACAACAGAAAACTACTGGCATTTCACCTTCATTCTACTAAGATAGGCCACAGACCTAAACTGGAACCAAACACCTTGGTTTCACTCACAACACTGCTAAGATAGGTCACAGACCTAGACTGAAACCAGACACCTTGGTTTCACTCACAACACTGCTAAGATAGGCCACAGACCTAGACTGGCACCAGACACCTTGGTTTCACTCACAACACTGCTAAGATAGGCCACAGACCTAGACTGGCACCAGACACCTTGGTTTCACTCACAACACTGCTAAGATAGGTCACAGACCTAGACTGGCACCAGACACCTTGGTTTCACTCACAACACTGCTAAGATAGGGCCACAGACCTAGACTGGCACCAGGCACCTTGGTTTCACTCACAACACTGCTAAGATAGGCCACAGACCTAGACTGGCACCAGACACCTTGGTTTCACTCACAACACTGCTAAGATAGGCCACAGACCTAGACTGGCACCAGACACCTTGGTTTCACTCACAACACTGCTAAGATAGGCCACAGACCTAAACTGAAACCAGACACTTTGGTTTCACTCACAACACTGCTAAGATGGGCCACAGACCTAGACTGGCACCAGGCACCTTGGTTTCACTCACAACACTGCTAAGATAGGCCACAGACCTAGACTGGCACCAGGCACCTTGGTTTCACTCACAACACTCCTAAGATAGGCCACAGACCTAGACTGGCACCAGACACCTTGGTTTCACTCACAACACTGCTAAGATAGGCCACAGACCTAGACTGGGACCAGACACCTTGGTTTCACTCACAACACTGCTAAGATAGGCCACAGACCTAGACTGGCACCAGACACCTTGGTTTCACTCACAACACTGCTAAGATAGGCCACAGACCTAGACTGGCACCAGACACCTTGGTTTCACTCACAACACTGCTAAGATAGGCCACAGACCTAAACTGGAACCAGGCACCTTGGTTTCACTCACGACACTACGAAGATAGGCCACAGACCTAAACTGGAACCAAACACCTTGGTTTCACTCACGACACTACTAAGATAGGCCACAGACCTAAACTGGAACCAGGCACCTTGGTTTCACTCACGACACTACGAAGATAGGCCACAGACCTAAACTGGAACCAAACACCTTGGTTTCACTCACAACACTACTAAGATAGGCCACAGACCTAGACTGGCACCAGACACCTTGGTTTCACTCACAACACTGCTAAGATGGGCCACAGACCTAGACTGGCACCAGGCACCTTGGTTTCACTCACAACACTGCTAAGATGGGCCACAGACCTAGACTGGCACCAGGCACCTTGGTTTCACTCACAACACTGCTAAGATAGGCCACAGACCTAGACTGGCACCAGACACCTTGGTTTCACTCACAACACTGCTAAGATAGGCCACAGACCTAGACTGGCACCAGGCACCTTGGTTTCACTCACAACACTGCTAAGATAGGCCACAGACCTAGACTGGCACCAGACACCTTGGTTTCACTCACAACACTGCTAAGATAGGTCACAGACCCCAGACTGGCACCAGACACCTTGGTTTCACTCACACAACACTGCTAAGATAGGCCACAGACCTAGACTGGCACCAGGCACCTTGGTTTCACTCACAACACTACTAAGATGGGCCACAGACCTAGACTGGCACCAGGCACCTTGGTTTCACTCACAACACTGCTAAGATAGGCCACAGACCTAGACTGGCACCAGGCACCTTGGTTTCACTCACAACACTACTAAGATAGGCCACAGACCTAGACTGGCACCAGACACCTTGGTTTCACTCACAACACTGCTAAGATAGGCCACAGACCTAGACTGGCACCAGGCACCTTGGTTTCACTCACAACACTGCTAAGATAGGCCACAGACCTAGACTGGCACCAGGCACCTTGGTTTCACTCACAACACTGCTAAGATAGGCCACAGACCTAGACTGGCACCAGGCACCTTGGTTTCACTCACAACACTGCTAAGATAGGCCACAGACCTAGACTGGCACCAGACACCTTGGTTTCACTCTTCACAACACTACTAAGATAGGCCACAGACCTAGACTGGCACCAGACACCTTGGTTTCACTCACAACACTGCTAAGATAGGCCACAGACCTAAACTGGAACCAGACACCTTGGTTTCACTCACAACACTGCTAAGATAGGCCACAGAACTAGACTGGCACCAGACACCTTGGTTTCACTCACAACACTGCTAAGATGGGCCACAGACCTAGACTGGCACCAGACACCTTGGTTTCACTCACAACACTACGAAGATAGGCCACAGACCCTAAACTGGAACCAAACACCCTGGTTTCACTCACATCACTGCTAAGATAGGCCACAGACCTAGACTGGAACCAGACTCCTTGGTTTCACTCACAACACTGCTAAGATAGGCCACAGACCTAGACTGGCACCAGGCACCTTGGTTTCACTCACAACACTGCTAAGATAGGCCACAGACCTAGACTGGCACCAGACACCTTGGTTTCACTCACAACACTGCTAAGATAGGCCACAGACCTAGGTCCAAATATCCAAGCCACAGCAAGACTTCATAGTTGGCAGCGACATTTGAAGTATTCGAAGTGTACACAAGACAGTACATGCCATTTGAAGTGTATGACACAAGACAGTACATTCCATTTGAAGTGTAGGCCACAAGACAGTACACGACATTTGAAGTGTAGGCTGCAGGACAGTACATGCCATTTGAAGTGTAGGCCATGCAACAGACAGTACATGCCACCACGACATTTGAAGTGTAGGCCACAAGACAGTACATGCCATTTGAAGTGTCACGACACAAGACAATACACAAGACAGTACACGACATTTGAAGTGTAGGCCACAAGACAGTACACGCCATTTGAAGTGTAGGCCTGCAAGACAGTACATGCCATTTGAAGTGTAGGACACAAGACAGTACATGACATTTGTAGTGTAGGCCACAAGACACATTTTGTACCACGACAGTATGCCATTTGAAGTGTACGACACAAGACAGTACATGCCATTTGAAGTGTAGGCACAAGACAGTACACGCCATTTGAAGTGTAGGCCACAAGACAGTACACGCCATTTGAAGTGTACGCCACAAGACAGTACACGCCATTTGAAGTGTAGGCCGCAAGACAGTACATGCCATTTGAAGTGTAGGCCACAAGACAGTACACGCCATTTGAAGTGTACGACACAAGACAGTACTGAACATTTGAAGTGTAGGCCGCAAGACAGTACATGCCTTTTGAAGTGTAGGCCGCAAGACAGTACACGCCATTTGAAGTGTAGGCCGCAAGACAGTACATGCCATTTGAAGTGTAGGACACAAGACAGTACATGCCATTTGAAGTGTAGGCCGCAAGACAGTACATTCCTTTAAAGTGTAGGCCGTCTATTGATCGGTGCCACCAAATCTCAGCTACAGCGTTTGGGGCGAGTTCACAACACCGCTGCGGACATTGTCACACGAACAGGGAAGTATGAACACATCAGTCTTGTTCTTCAATCACGCCATTGGCTACGCAGTTGAACAAAGAATTCTCTTCAAAGTCTTCCGTTGTCTCTCTGGCTCTGCTCCGGTCTACCTCTTCAGTATCCTCACTCCATATTTGCCTTCTCCATCTCTGCGGTCTCAGAGTTAGACTAACAGCTAGTCTCTGAAATGAACATATTTTACAGAAAATAAAAGTTTTTAAATTAAGATTGTAAATACAATAAAAGGAGCCCATGGACTTTCTTCATTTTCAGATGAAGCTGTGGAAATCTAGACTTGCCACATTTTCTAAACTTACGTGGGCTTTCTTTGGATATATTTGCTTCAGGGTCTGAACGACAGACTATCACTGCAGAGAGAGCTTGGCATTAGGGAAAATAATGTGGTTCGGGGACTGTGAGACAGACTAGGCACGAGACAGTACACGCAATATTAGAGTGTCTAAAGTAATTTCATGCCATTAACTCCGTTTTGGTAATTCTTAATAGATTAGGTGAAAATGTAGGGGGAGAAGTATATACTGAGATTAACACAAATTGATTTTTTTCTCAGACTTTGTACTTCTTCCATGGCTGCTCTTTTTAATCAAACCATCTACTTAAGAACCCGGCCCATATGTCTCACCTCGCCTTTGTCAAGATAAAGATTTTGTATAAAAGAAAATGCGTGAAAATTACATGATGGAGAGGACTTAGCCATAGGTTCCTTGAGTCCCCAGTCCTTCAAAGCCTGTCCAAGTTTGGTGAGGGTGTCCCGTGCCCCAGCCCTCAGGGCCAGTCAAACTCGCATGCTTGACTACGTGTTAGTCAGGAAATACTTTGACCGTAGAGTGATGTAATCAGTAGGAACATCTGAAAACTCAGTTATCATTGCCCAGCATGTTTAAGTTCGGGAAGACTTTCGCATTTGAACAGTCTTTTCCTCCTAGCATATGTCGGGCCGTGTAACACGTTTGGACTAATCCAATATTTTCGATTACACTTACTGTTGATTTTCCTCAGTGTGTTTTCGATGCTTGTTTGGGGGTCTGTGTGAGCCGGACCAAGCACGCCAGTAACTGACACAAGCAGCAATGCTTTCAGAGTGATACGACACAGTCGGACAATTCACGGAAATTGTTTCCTTAGATACCACAAACATCTATAGATAGTATAGTGGGGTAGCCTAATGGGTAAAGCGTCTGCTCGTCACGCTGAAGACCAGGGTTCGATTCCCACATGGGTACAATGTGTGAAGCCCATTGCTGGTGTCCCCCGCCGTGATATTGCTGGAATATTGCTAAAAGCGGCGTAAAACCAAACTCATCAACCCACACTGTATATAGTATGCCTCGTTTGGTTTATTCGCGTCTGTCAAACAGACACTGAAACAAATATATCCAAGAAAGCCCATGCAAGTCTTAATTACCGCAGTTTCAGAAAATAAAGAAACACTGTGCTCCTTTTCATTATATTTTTTATTAATAATTAGTTGCAGTTTGTAAAATATGTTAGTTTCAGAGACGAGATGTTAGTCTTGTCTGTTCCCAAGTAGGGTGTGTCATTAGATACTATAGACATCTGTACCTCCATAGTTTTATTTGCATGTGGGGTCAGTTTCTCAGATACAGATGCAGGCTCTGGTTTCCTGCGAGACGTAACATACCACACACGGAACTTTATTACACTTCTTAACAGTAATTTAAGCCGTTATGTACTGAGAATGAAAATCAAAAGCACTGATGCTTTTGTACCTGTTCGAAAGATTTTTTTAATCAAGACGGCCTTTAATCCAAATTGTAACTTTGGAAGACTCGTTAACTTTGTGATGTTGTCATACAATGTTTCAGTCCGGTAGAAGTTGCTGCCAGAGCCTTGCTGTGTACGCGCGGAACTGACATGGCCTTGACAGCAAGCCATACGTAGTTGCCTCCCTTTAAATGGTTATCGCCAAACAGCGATTCGGTAAGTTTCCCAGTTAAAAGAACTGTATGTGTCGATCTTGATGTCAACACGTTTACAAAGTAATGTAATACTGTTTGTAAAGTTCTACAATATTAAATTTCCACAGGTGTATGCATGGTATCCATGCATCTGCCAGCCCATGTATGACAGATTACAGTTAGTGTCTTATCATGGCTAATGTTATTATAAGTAATAAACCTCGCACTCTTGGTGATTTATCACTGTTAATCTGTGCATATTTCGACCAATTGACCGTGACAATGGTGTCTGATAACGTCACTGTTTTTCTGGTCGGGCGTGGTGAAAATCGACACTGTCGCACAACGAGGTGGCATTGTCAGAATCAGATTGACAGACACACCCTCACCCAACTTCCAAACAAAGTTTCAGAGAGCTGTGAGATTTCAAGTGTTATAAAACACAGGTAGGTCATTTAGCAAGTAGCAGTAACCAAATTACTGACAATCATCCATTGTAGTATGAATGCTACCTGTCTTACCTACTTCAGAGTGTGAATCTGTGTGGTATGGTAATTAAGAATCCTGCATGAATATTGATGAGTTTATTCAGTCCTGCTCCATTAGTTCACAGGTGGCTCACTGGCTTAATCCGCCACTCATTGTTGTGCTGGATCTGTTGATCATAGGTTTGAATCCCTGTGCCTTCCTGACTTGTTGGTACATACACCTGCATATGTGCCCCACCAAAGTGGTATATATTGAAGTATACTGCATGGCATAGTCCCACCAAAGTGGTATGTATTGAGGTATACTGCATGGCATAGTCCCACCAAAGTGGTATATATTGTGGTATATACTGTGTGGCATAGTCCCACCAAAGTGGTATGTATTGAGGTATACTGCATGGCATAGTCCCACCAAAGTGGTATATATTGTGGTATATACTGTGTGGCATAGTCCCACCAAAGTGGTATATATTGTGGTATATACTGTGTGGCATAGTCCCACCAAAGTGGTATATATTGAGGTATACTGCATGGCATAGTCCCACCAAAGTGGTATATATCAAGGTATATACTGTTTGACATAGTCCCACCAAAGTGGTATATATTGTGGTATATACTGTGTGGCATAGTCCCACCAGGGTGGTATATATTTAGGTATACTGCGTGGCATAGTCCCACCAAAGTGGTATATATTGTGGTATATACTGTGTGGCATAGTCCCACCAAAGTGGTATATATTGAGGTATACTGCGTGGCATAGTCCCACCAAAGTGGTATATATTTAGGTATACTGCATGGCATAGTCCCACCAAAGTGGTATATATTGTGGTATATACTGTGTGGCATAGTTCCACCAAAGTGGTATATATTGTGGTATATACTGTGTGACATAGTCCCAACAAAGTGGTATATATTGTGGTATATACTGTGTGGCATAGTCCAACCGAGGGTGGTATATATTTAGGTATACTGCGTGGCATAGTCCCACCAAAATGGTATATATTGTGGTATATACTGTGTGGCATAGTCCCACCAAAGTGGTATATATTTAGGTATACTGCGTGGCATAGTCCCACCAAAGTGGTATATATTGTGGTATATACTGTGTGGCATAGTCCCACCAAAGTGGTATATATTTAGGTATACTGCGTGGCATAGTCCCACCAAAGTGGTATATATTAAGGTATACTGCGTGGCATAGTCCCACCAAAGTGGTATATATTGTGGTATATACTGTGTGGCATAGTTCCACCAAAGTGGTATATATTGTGGTATATACTGTGTGGCATAGTCCCACCAAAGTGGTATATATTGTGGTATATACTGTGTGGCATAGTCCCACCAAAGTGGGATATATTGAGGTATACTGCGTGGCATAGTCCCACCAAAGTGGTATATATTGTGGTATATACTGTGTGGCATAGTCCCCCCAAAGTGGTATATATTGTGGTATATACTGTGTGGCATAGTCCCACCAAAGTGGTATATAGTTAGGTATACTGCATGGCATAGCCTCACTTCCCACTGTCTTTCAGAGACAATCCACTACATTGAAGAGTTAGGCACTGGACCACCTAAATTCTTGACGTTTAGTATAGTTTAGAATTGGAGAACGTTATTCCTTATTACACAGTGGGATACTGGAGAATATATTAGTCAGCTAGTTAGAATCAGAAAGACTCGTGGTTGACAGCGTAATGAAAACTTCCTGCCTTCCTGGTGGGAGAACACAAGAGGGTGGAGTGAGTGAGTGAGTTTTATGCCGCTTTTAGCAATAGTCCATCACGGCAGGGGACACCAGAAATGGGTGCTTCACACATTGTACCCATGTGGGGAATCAAGCTTGTGTCTTCAGCATGATGAGCGGTTGCTTTAGCCCTAGGCTAACATACCACCCCTCCCTCCCCACCCTCAAGCTGAGTTATATACTGTAGGTACATGGGTGTGTTTCTACTTCAGTCCAGGAAGACACCAGGTGACTTGGTGGTAATGGCGGAGACCTCTGTGTTGTTGAGTGGGGATCTGCTGAGCGGTGGACAAGAATATCGTGTGCACCTGTCCCCTGACGGCCTGCACTGGCAGCTGACCAATCAGAAGAAGGAACCTACAGGTAGCTGCAGTGTGGGGGGTGCATGCAATGTTCAGATTTACGTGTTGTTGTATTTCTCTATTGTGTAATTGTTGTTGTTTTGTCACATTATAGAGATACATTTCCAGATTTCCAGTTGTTGTACACTTTGACCAAAGAAGTAATTTTCAAATGGACAAAGTAAATCAATTTAACAACAGATGAAATGAAGACCAATATTTGTATGAAGTATGAAATCTTGAACTCAATATTGTTGCCTGCTTTGCAATGACATAATATGGAAATAATTTCTTCTGTAGGAACTAGAAAGTTGAGATTCTTTTTGTGATTGTATGTTTGAATATTAGTTGTTTGAAGAGTATTGATGTCAAACTTAAAGGGTTGTTTCTTTGTGGGAATCCAAACAAATATGTTGTTTGGGATGGTCACATGGATGTGTAATTTGTATTACCACACTAACTGCTGAAACAAAGGGTTTTCACTTTCCAGGAAGTCTCTCAAAACACTAGCATCAAAGTTGAGTTTCTGTGGAACAGTTTGAAAAATACCAACTCAAACTATTGTGGATGTTTTGTGGAAAATACATTGGCCGAAACAGTGGAGGGAATCATTGTACATGTCAACAGTGTTACAATGCATTCTACCGTAAAGATAAAATAACACTGTTGATATTCAATATCTTGGTTGATAAGTGTATTTGTATCACATATGGGAAGTTGAAGGCATCATGTGATAATTTTTTGTATAAATCTTTTACAACATAGACTTACATAGATATACTGTGAAACCTGTCGAAACCAGCACCCCACGGGACCGAAATAAAATGCCGGTTTAGACAGTTTGCCGGATTAGACAGTGATGATCATTTTGCAACATGGCTGCCATTTACACTCGTCAATCACTTTATCTCTATGCCTCTGATCTTTTGTAAAACCAATGACTATTTATTTACTCTCTGACACGTCACTCACTTGAAAACAGTTAATGCACTGATTATCTAGAGTGCCGAGACGAGTGTAAGGGATTAAGGGACCTTGACCGGACTGCTCATACCCATGACGGCTTAGAACGTTGGATTCACCGCACAATCACTACTTCCTGATTATTTAGCGTGGCGAGACGAGTGTAAGGGATTAAGGGACCTTGACCGGACTGCTCATACCCATGATGGCTTAGAACGTTGGATTCACCGCACAATCACTACTTCCTGATTATTTAGCGTGGCGAGACGAGTGTAAGGGATTAAGGGACCTTGACCGGACTGCTCATACCCATGACGGCTTAGAACGTTGGATTCACCGCACAATCACTACTTCCTGATTATTTAGCGTGCCGAGACGAGTGTAAGAGTTAAGGGACCTTGACCGGACTGCTCATGCCCATGACGGCTTAGAACGTTGGATTCACCGCACAATCACTACTTCCTGATTATTTAGCGTGGCGAGACGAGTGTAAGGGATTAAGGGACCTTGACCGGACTGCTCATACCCATGACGGCTTAGAACATTGGATTCACCGCACAATTACTACTTCCTGATTATTTAGCGTGCCGAGACGAGTGTAAGAGTTAAGGGACCTTGACCGGACTGCTCATGCCCATGACGGCTTAGAACGTTGGATTCACCGCACAATCACTACTTCCTGATTATTTAGCGTGCCGAGACGAGTGTAAGAGTTAAGGGACCTAGACCGGACTGCTCATACCCATGACGGCTTAGAACGTTTGATTCACAGCGCAATCACTACTTCCTGATTATCTAGTGTGCCAAGAGGATTAATTAGTGTATTGGATTATGGGTCCTTGATTGTACCGCTCTTACCCATGCTGGTTTAGACAGTGTTAATTACAGTTAAAATTGCTTGTTGGGACCGGAAAGTCGTGCCGGAATACGGAATAGAGAGGTGCCGGATTAGACAATGTTTTAATGATCATAATATCAGTGTAAAATGGCGGGACCAAAGTTTTATGCCGGTTTTGACTGAGTGCCGGATTAGACAGGTGCCGGTGTTGGCAGGTTTCACTGTAGTTGACTGAAGGGATCAGGTGGTCAGGTGGTTTGCTGACTTCATAGATGAATGTCATGGTATCCCAGTTGCAGAGATCAATGGTAATGACATCAATCCCTGGGCTCTCTCGGCCAGACCTCTGACATTTGGCTAGAACATTGTTGAGTGTTGAACAAGAAAGAAACAAATGCAGCTGACCATATCATACACACTGGACCATGTATTATTGAAAGTCTCCGAGGATGTCATAGGGAAAATGTTTCAACTGTATGATGTATGACCCAGGGATTCATAGTATTCGGAACTCCCAATTAGGATGATTGCTTTCAATAGTTCAGAAAAATATCAGTTATGTAATGGCATAAAATCTAAGTATTGTAGTACTGGCCCATCCATAGCTAATTGTTAATGTTTCCCACACAAAAATGTATGAATACATGTAGTTGTTTTGTCATGTTCTTTAGTTCCACTTTGCAAATCTATCACTGAGGAGATATGTTGAACCCTTTGGTGTTTGTATTATTGTAGAGGTGAGCCTACCATGGAGTGACATTTACGGCCTGATCACAGACGGCCAGGGGGAGACAACTCAAGTGAATGGAGAAGGCAAGAGCTTCACCATCCACTTTATAACCCACAGAAAGGATAAGAAGTGGAAAGCAACTGAGAAGAAGTTTGATGTGAAGGAAGGTGATGTCAGTGACTGGGTTCGCCAGATACAAGCCAACTACAGACCAGGTGGGTTGCCAGGTGTGGAATTGGGATATGGCCCCCAATATAACTAACAATGATGTATGTAATGAGAGAATTTGATAGAATGTAAACAGTGATACGTGTTGTAGGTTGCCAGATGTGGAATGGGGATATGGCCCCCAATACATGTATATAACTAGCAATGATGTATGTAATGAGAGAATTTATAGAATGTAAACAGTGATACGTGTTGGTTGTAGGTTGCCAGGTGTGGAATGGGGATATGGCCCCCAATATAACTAACAATGATGTATGTAATGAGAGAATTTATAGAATGTAAACAGTGATACGTGTTGTAGGTTGCCAGGTGTGGAATGGGGATATGGCCCCCAATATAACTAACAATGATGTATGTAATGAGAGAATTTGATAGAATGTAAAGAGTGATACGTGTTGTAGGTTGCCAGGTGTGGAATGGGGATATGGCCCCAATATAACTAACAATGATGTTTGTAATGAGAGAATTTGATAGAATGTAAACAGTGATACGTGTTGGATAATTTGCTGTTTGTTTTGTTTGACCAGCTACCCCTAAAAGCGTGCTTGTGATAGTGAACCCAATCGGTGGGAAGGGTCAAGGTCGACAGGTCTATGAAAAGAAGGTGGCACCTCTCTTCAAGACAGCTGGGATTGAGACTCATGTTTTCTGTCAGTGCCATGTTGCAGTTTTAAACAAAATTTTAATTTTAATTTCGGCCAAATTAAAGACTCAGGTTTATCAAGATATACATGTTCATCATAACAGAATTATGATGTCTTATTAACAAATGCAGCAAGATTGTTTTTGTAAAGATATTATGCTTTTGTTATAAAGATAAACATTGTAAGAGAGTGCAAGTGTACCAGTATGTAGTACCGGAATGTAGTAGTCTAGGCAGAGAATGTACATGTGGTATTTATAGTATGAGCACGTTGAATGTATTTATTTAAGAGCAAACAAAAGATTGGATTTCTCGTCATGCATAATGAGCAATAATTTGCTGGCAGATGTCAATTATTTTGTTAAAAATTCTGTTTTGCAGTAACAGAGAGAGCAAAACATTCAGAAGAAATTATCAACAACTTTGACTTCTCTAAAGTTGAAGGGTGAGAGGCTGACAATTTCCACAGTGTTATGTCAAGACAAGAAATGTCATCTATGTATTAAAACCCCCCAACATATTTAGATCTAAATTGTAGCATTACAAAATGTTTATGTGTAATACTGGAGTCTATTGACTTCGTCAGGTTCAGTCTAACACAAGCTCTGACAGATCCAGTATTGCGGAGATGTGATTTTGTCATGTCAGCAGTTTTCTCTGCTTCCAGCCTGGTGACAGTGGGGGGCGATGGGATGTACCAGGAAGCTCTCAACACGCTCATCCAGCGGAACCAGAAAGAGGCTGGCATCGACATCAATAATCCGGAGTCTGTCCTCAAACCACTTGATATCAAGTTTGGCATCATTCCGGCAGGTGCTTACTGCTTATATTACATAGATACAAGCTTACTTTATCAAAACGTTTTTTTTAATTATTATTATTTTAACGTTTTTATTTCTCAGTACATGTTTACATGACATTATAATTGTGAATAGATGTTCACATATACAAGACATACATAAATTGATAGTATTTACAGGATTGGCATAGGGCCTTAGTCGGTGTTACATTGACCATTCTTTCTTTGCAGATATTACATATAGATAAGTAGGCATAACTACATAATGTTTCGTATTGTATATGAATTACAACTTGTGTATGTTTGACTGCATCTGGTAACATGCAAGGTATAAGTCATTTAACATTACCCATTATTTCTCAACAAATGTTTACATGTACATAAGTATACACATTACAGTGTATGAAAACGTCTACTGCATGTTTGACTGTTTCTAATCACCTGCAAGGCATAAATCATTTTTACATTAAAGTGTACTCTTTAAAGTGTACAATTAAATATTGAGCTACAAGTCTAAAAGTGGACATTGCAGGCCATTTTTCTTGAATATGTCATGCTTCTTGCAAATTTTGTGATATTCAAACAATAAATGCATGGTGTATGTTTTATTCTTTCTCTGGTTCAAATCCAACAGCTTATTCAAAAGATTACGAATGAAAAAATTCAGTGCCAGAACTATTATGTTTACAGATTGTCTTCATTATTTTGTAATACTCCCAAGATTTAAGACATTGTAATAAACTGTGTGATAAGGAAAAGAAGGTACAAACAGTCTGGTATGTTTTAATGTTTGTTTTTGTCTTTTATACTTTGTAATTTAAGGTACAGATGATGATGTTACAATAATATTTATCTGCCAAGGTAGATGCAGTGGTGTCATACTGATCTTGCACTGCCCAGGTTAAAGCAGTGGTGTCACACTGATCTTGCACTACCAAGGTAGATGCAGTGGTGTCATACTGATCTTGCACTACCAAGGTAGATGCAGTGGTGTTACACTGATCTTGCACTACCAAGGTAGATGCAGTGGTGTCACACTGATCTTGCACTACCAAGGTAGATGCAGTGGTGTTACACTGATCTTGCACTACCAAGGTAGATGCAGTGGTGTTACACTGATCTTGCACTACCACGGTAGATGCAGTGGTGTTACACTGATCTTGCACTACCAAGGTAGATGCAGTGGTGTTACACTGATCTTGCACTACCAAGGTAGATGCAGTGGTGTCACACTGATCTTGCACTACCACAGTAGATGCAGTGGTGTTACACTGATCTTGCACTACCAAGGTAGATGCAGTGGTGTCATACTGATCTTGCACTACCAAGGTAGATGCAGTGGTGTCATACTGATCTTGCACTACCAAGGTAGATGCAGTGGTGTTACACTGATCTTGCACTACCAAGGTAGATGCAGTGGTGTCATACTGATCTTGCACTACCAAGGTAGATGCAGTGGTGTCACACTGATCTTGCACTACCAAGGTAGATGCAGTGGTGTCATACTGATCTTGCACTACCAAGGTAGATGCAGTGGTGTCACACTGATCTTGCACTACCAAGGTAGATGCAGTGGTGTTACACTGATCTTGCACTACCACGGTAGATGCAGTGGTGTTACACTGATCTTGCACTACCAAGGTAGATGCAGTGGTGTTACACTGATCTTGCACTACCAAGGTAGATGCAGTGGTGTCACACTGATCTTGCACTACCACAGTAGATGCAGTGGTGTTACACTGATCTTGCACTACCAAGGTAGATGCAGTGGTGTCATACTGATCTTGCACTACCAAGGTAGATGCAGTGGTGTCACACTGATCTTGCACTACCAAGGTAGATGCAGTGGTGTCATACTGATCTTGCACTACCAAGGTAGATGCAGTGGTGTTACACTGATCTTGCACTACCAAGGTAGATGCAGTGGTGTCATACTGATCTTGCACTACCAAGGTAGGTGCAGTGGTGTTACACTGATCTTGCACTACCAAGGTAGATGCAGTGGTGTCATACTGATCTTGCACTACCAAGGTAGATGCAGTGGTGTCATACTGATCTTGCACTACCAAGGTAGATGCAGTGGTGTCATACTGATCTTGCACTACCATGGTAGATGCAGTGGTGTCACACTGATCTTGCACTACCACAGTAGATGCAGTGGTGTCATACTGATCTTGCACTACCAAGGTAGATGCAGTGGTGTCATACTGATCTTGCACTACCAAGGTAGATGCAGTGGTGTCATACTGATCTTGCACTACCAAGGTAGATGCAGTGGTGTTACACTGATCTTGCACTACCACAGTAGATCAGTGGTGTCATACTGATCTTGCACTACCACGGTAGATGCAGTGGTGTTACACTGATCTTGCACTACCAAGGTAGATGCAGTGGTGTCATACTGATCTTGCACTACCAAGGTAGATGCAGTGGTGTTACACTGATCTTGCACTACCAAGGTAGATGCAGTGGTGTCACACTGATCTTGCACTACTAAGGTAGATGCAGTGGTGTCATACTGATCTTGCACTACCCAGGTAGATGCAGTGATGTTATACTGATCTTGCACTACCAAGGTAGATGCAGTGGTGTCACACTGATCTTGCACTACCAAGGTAGATGCAGTGGTGTCATACTGATCTTGCACTACCAAGGTAGATGCAGTGGTGTCACACTGGTTTTGGATCGCTGTGGTAGTGACAGTGGTGTCCTTTTTGCTCTCTGATCTTGACTATCAAGTCGATGCAGTGTTGACTTTAATACCTGATCATACACTAACAAGGTACAGGTAATAGTCTTTCATGCTCTCTGATTCTGTTCTATGTAGGTACAGGCAACAGTCTTTCATGCTCTCTGATTCTGTTCTATGTAGGTACAGGCAATAGTCTTTCATGCTCTCTGATTCTGTTCTATGTAGGTACAGGCAATAGTCTTTCATGCTCTCTGATTCTGTTCTATGTAGGTACAGGTAATAGTCTTCCATGCTCTCTGATTCTGTTCGATATAGGTGCAGGTAATAGTCTTTCATGCTCTCTGATTCTGTTCTATGTAGGTACAGGTAATAGTCTTCCATGCTCTCTGATTCTGTTCTATGTAGGTACAGGTAATAGTCTTTCATGCTCTCTGATTCTGTTCTATGTAGGTACAGGTAACAGTCTTTCATGCTCTCTGATTCTGGTCTATGTAGGTACAGGTAATAGTCTTTCATGCTCTCTGATTCTGTTCTATGTAGGTACAGGTAACAGTCTTTCATGCTCTCTGATTCTGTTCTATGTAGGTACAGGTAATAGTCTTTCAGGCTCTCTGATTCTGTTCTATGTAGGTACAGGTAATAGTCTTTCATGCTCTCTGATTCTGTTCTATGTAGGTACAGGCAATAGTCTTTCATGCTCTCTGATTCTGTTCTATGTAGGTACAGGCAATAGTCTTTCATGCTCTCTGATTCTGTCCTATGTAGGTACAGGCAATAGTCTTTCATGCTCTCTGATTCTGTTCTATGTAGGTACAGGTAACAGTCTTTCATGCTCTCTGATTCTGTTCTATGTAGGTACAGGCAATAGTCTTTCATGCTCTCTGATTCTGTTCGATATAGGTGCAGGTAATAGTCTTTATGCTCTCTGATTCTGTTCTATGTAGGTACAGGTAATAGTCTTCCATGCTCTCTCTGATTCTGTTCTTTCATGTGATTCTGTTCTATGTAGGTACAGGTAATAGTCTTTCATGCTCTCTGATTCTGTTCTATGTAGGTACAGGTAATAGTCTTTCATGCTCTCTGATTCTGTTCTATGTAGGTACAGGTAATAGTCTTTCATGCTCTCTGATTCTGTTCTATGTAGGTACAGGTAACAGTCTTTCATAGTTCCATTTACAGGTAATAGTCTTTCATGCTCTCTGATTCTGTTCTATGTAGGTACAGGTAACAGTCTTTCATGCTCTCTGATTCTGTTCTATGTAGGTAATAGTCTTTCATGCTCTCTGATTCTGTTCTAGGTACATAGTCTTTCATGCTCTCTGATTCTGTTCTATGTAGGTACAGGCAATAGTCTTTCATGCTCTCTGATTCTGTTCTATGTAGGTACAGGCAATAGTCTTTCATGCTCTCTGATTCTGTTCTATGTAGGTACAGGTAACAGTCTTTCATGCTCTCTGATTCTGTTCTATGTAGGTACAGGCAATAGTCTTTCATGCTCTCTGATTCTGTCCTATGTAGGTACAGGCAATAGTCTTTCATGCTCTCTGATTCTGTTCTATGTAGGTACAGGCAATAGTCTTTCATGCTCTCTGATTCTGTCCTATGTAGGTACAGGCAATAGTCTTTCATGCTCTCTGATTCTCATGTACAGGTAATAGTCTTTCATGCTCTCTGATTCTGTTCTATGTAGGTACAGGCAATAGTCTTTCATGCTCTCTGATTCTGTTCTATGTAGGTCTCTCATGATCTCTGATTCTGGTCTATGTGTAGGTACAGGTTCTATGTAGGTACAGGTAACAGTCTTTCATGCTCTCTGATTCTGTTCTATGTAGGTACAGGCAATAGTCTTTCATGCTCTCTGATTCTGTCCTATGTAGGTACAGGCAATAGTCTTTCATGCTCTCTGATTCTGTTCTATGTAGGTACAGGCAATAGTCTTTCATGCTCTGATTCTCTGATTCTTTCATGCTCTCTGATGTATGTAGGTACAGGCAATAGTCTTTCATGCTCTCTGATTCTGTTCTATGTAGGTACAGGTAACAGTCTTTCATGCTCTCTGATTCTGTTCTATGTAGGTACAGGCAATAGTCTTTCATGCTCTCTGATTCTGTTCTATGTAGGTACAGGCAATGGTGTTGCAAACTATGCTTATGGTGTTATTGATGTTGAGACCGCAGCTCTCCATATCGTCCAAGGTAAGTTTTAACAGAATATGAGCTGTGATAACTTTGCTGTTTAACACTTACAGAATATTTCATTGACACAATGCTAAGCATTATGAAAATATCTGGACGTACATGCATAGTTACAGGTTATGTTTTAGTGTACATGCAGTTAAAATGCCTATTTTATGCAGGAAAATATGTTACTGTTTTTGTATGCTTAGATATGTCAGAACATGATTTATTGATGTTAAGAATGAAGATTTAGGAAAATGAATCTGTGCTTTTGTGTTTTGACAGGAAAGGTAAACAACTTCAACATATTCGGTATCTACGAACCTGGCAAGCTTGTGTCCTACAGTGGTCTTCTGTTTGGATATGGATTCTACTCTGAAACGATTAAAATTACGTCTGAGAAGCGATGGATGAAGAAATTCAGATATCCATGTAGGTTGTCATCTGTATTGTTGTTTTCGTTCATTTATCACTCAAGGATGTGAATTTTATTATGTTGCATCCTATAGATGGATGGAGGATGGATGGGTGGGTGGTAGGGTGGATCAATGGGTAGAAGGATGGATGGGTGGGTGGTAGGGTGAAGGTGGGTAGGGTGGATCGATGCATAGAAGGATGGGTGGTTGGGTGGATGGATGTGTGGCTGGTAGGGTGGATGGATGGGTGGTAGGGTGGATAGTTGGATGGGAGGTAGGGGGGATGGATGGATGGTGGTTGGATGGATGGTAGGGTGAATGGATGGGTGGTAGGGTGGATGGATGGGTGGGAGGGTGTATGGATGGGTGGTAGAGTGGATGGTTGGTAGGGCAGATGGATGGGTGGGAGGGTGGATGGATGGGTGGTAGAGTGGATGGTTGGTAGGGTCGATGGATGGTAGGGTGGATGGATGGGTGGGAGGGTGGATGGATGGGTGGTAGAGTGGATGGTTGGTAGGGTGGATGGATGGTAGGGTGGATGGATGGATGGTAGGATGGATGGAGGGTGGATTGATGGGTGGTAGAGTAGATGGTTGGTAGGGTGGATGGATGGATGGAAACATCTGTAGCATGGTGTGCATGATCCAAGCATGTTTGGTCCCACAGCACGATATTCTTGCCATGGGTTTTATCCAAACAAAAACATCTGAATCAGTTCCCACATTAGGGTGACAATACATTGATATCATTATAATATTGAGGAACACAACTCATACACTCCAGGCATTTGATTATTCCAGGGCAGTGTTTAAAATAGCTGTCTGGCATGTTTGAAATAGCTGTTACATGTTGATTCCCAAGTTAAACCTACAAAGTTAACCATCACACCAGAAAAGAACTAGATGTGAAACCAAGAAACAACAAAGAAATGTCCTGCAAGTAACAATCATATTAATAATAATAATAATAATAATAATAATAGGCCATTTATATAGCGCCTTTCCACGTCACAGGGATATGCTCAAAGCGCTTCCTGAGCTCAAGTTAAAACTATATACAGTTGGCAGGTACGGATGATTGGAAGTCACTTGTAGCGAAGAAATAGATGAGTCTTTAGTCGTGTTTTGAATGTACTTAGGGAAGGAGATGATTTTAACTCGATAGGGAGAGAGTTCCACAGAGAAGCTGCTGCATATGAAAAGGTTCTTGAGCCAAATGGTTTGAGATTGTAGCTCGGGACAGCAAGTAACAGTTGTTGTGATGGCGCAGAGTTCTTTCTGGAGAGTAATGTGTCAGAAGGTCTTGAAGGTAGGAAGGTCCTGAGTTGTAGAAAGACTGGTAGGTGAGGCAGAGAATCTTGAAATCAATCCTTTCACGCAGAATCTGAGGAGCCAGTGTAGAGAGTTTAGGATGGGAGAGATGTGACAGCGAGGACTGGTGAGAGTGATGATGCGTGCAGCTTTGTTCTGGATTTTCTGAAGACGATGGAGTTGAGAGGAAGAGATGCCAAACAGTAAACTGTTGCAGTAATCCAGGCGGGATAAAATCAGTGTCCGCACAAGGATGGCAGTGGCTTCTTTTGTTAGGACTTTGCGGATGCTGCCGATGTTCTTCAGATGGTAGTGGCAGGTCTTTACTAGATGATTTATTTGCTTGTCCATGCTGAGGTTTGAGTCCAAAAGAACGCCAAGGTTTTTCACAAGAGGAGAAAAAGGAATCGAAGATTAAAACAAATATCTAAGTTCACTAATCAATGCAAACAAGAAGACACAGTCATCAATATCCCCCACAATGGTGAAATGCTCTTCATGAATATGTCTACTAGTTATGACAGTTATTGTTGACAGTTGAAATAGAGAGGCACTGTTGATTTATGTCATTAGAATACCCACATGTTGGAAGGAGAGTATTGAAAGGTTTAAAGTTCCAGAAAGGAGCACTACCACCAATTTCAGTTGAAGTCAAAGTTGTTACCTTGGAAACGCAAAAATACCCACATGTTGGAAGGAGAGTATTGAAAGGTTTAAAGTTCCAGAAAGGAGCACTACCACCCATTTCAGTCGAAGTCAACATTGTTACCATGGAAACGCAAACACTATGTTATTCAGATATCCAAAAATACCAAAAGGCACCAGTTCATCACCAGAGCTGTCTATGTGCAAAGTTTGGTGAAGAAATATCTAATTTTATGTTCTGTTCCGGAAAAGACAGATTTAAATGGATGGGTGGACAAAATAATCCCCCCTGCTAAATGTGTTGGGGGAGGATAATAAATACAAAGATATCACCATGGCAGTACAAAGTAGAGCGGCTGTATAACACTGGGCAAGGATTATAGCAATGAAGACATTGATGGTAATATTCACCTCTTGAGCAACAGTAATCCAACTTGCAACTGTAGGTCTAAGCAGAGGATGATGATTATCACACACTGGTCTTTAGGTAACGTGAGATGGTTGGTTGGTTTTATAGTTTTAGGGCGACGTGGGCCAATAAGAGGCCTATTTGAGCCCATGGTAACGTGAGATGTGAGAGGCAAGAGTTAACTCCCTTATCTACCAAACAAAAAGATGCTAGAAAATTCTACACAAAGGCAAATGATTCTGAATAAGCTCCTTGTAGCTTCCTTTTCCAGATCTTTCTAAGCTGTTCTCAGCATCACTGGAGATGTCTATAAGGTTGCAGAACAAGGCAAAAAAGAAGACAAAGTCATCAATATCCCCTGCAACAGCAAAATACTCTTTATGAATACGTCTTCTAGTTATGATTATGTCAAATATTTTTGGAGTGTATATAGCAAAGTGGAAGGAGAGTATTGAATGGTATTTAAGATATGCTCCAGAAAGGAGCACTACCACCAAATTCAGTTGAAGCATAACTTGTTGCCATGGAAACAAGATGACATCCTCATAGTCACAGCCTAAGTCACGTTTCCACGGAAACCACAAAAAATAAAATTCATACCTGAGTCAAACCATCAAATGGCACATCTATGGATCATGCATGATATGTGTACCAAGTTTGATGAAGCTAGCGTGTATAGTTTAGGAAATCTGCTCCGGACAAGATGACATCCTCGTAGCCACAGCCTAAATTCAGTTTCCATGGAAACTGCAAAAAATACAATTCATATCTGGGTCTAACCCCCAAAAGGCACATCTAGGGATCATGGTTGACATGTGTACCAACGAAGTTGCGGGGGATATAGAAAGGCGTTCCGTCCGTCCGTCCGTGAGCAAACATCAAGTTTCAGTAAGCTCTTCTTCTTTCATTATTGATTAGCAAATATGGTGCCTCCTCAACTGACAACTGCCCAAAGATGGAAAGTTATTGGTATGCGAAATGCTGTCATGTCATTCAGGGCTGTTGTGAAAGATGTTGGTTGTCATCCATTGACTATCAGTTAATATGTCAGGAAGCATCAGCAAAGTAATGACACTAACGACCGTCAGTGTACAGATCCACGAGTGACAACCCCTAGGGAGTATACAACCCTTCCCAGAATCACATCTGGTCATGTCAAGTTGCATGTTAAACACAGAGTGGCTTCCAAATCATCATTTGTCCAACAGAACAGTCCGAAATCACCTAATATCAGCAGGGTATAGAGCCAAATGACCTATCAGACATTCTTTTTTATCCCTAGAGTACAAAGCAGCACAACTAGCTTGGTGTCCAGGTCGATGTCACTGGAGTTTGACGTTAGATCACAGAATATGCCAGAGATCCTATAATTACACAATGCCATTTAGAAAGTGGACACATAACATATGTTATATTTGGGATTACACTTTCTTAGTAAAGTACAAATTCTAGTACTATTTTGGGTTGAGTCCTATCCGGGATTCGAACCCACACCCTCAGAATCAGGCACCTATTTGCCAGCACACAAAGTCAACCGACTAACCGGCTTAGCCACCACTCGACTTCCACAGTGCCTGATTCTGAGGGGTGTGGTTTCGAAATCGGATGGGACTCAACCCAAAATAGTACTACAATTTGTACATTACTAAAAAAGTGTAATCCCAAATATAACAAAACTTACAGATAGATCCTTTTGTACAAAATATTAATATCCAGATAGTAAGTTAAATTCAGGTTTACATAAGTTCCTTTGCACTGGTTAAAGGTCATACACATCTCTGTTTAACATTTCCAGATGCTACTGGTGGTCCACATCTCTGTTTAACATTTCCAGATTCTAATGGTGGTACACATCTCTGTTTAACATTTCCAGATGCTAATGGTGGTACACAACTCTGTTTAACATTTCCAGATCCTAATGGTGGTACACATCTCTGTTTAACATTTCCAGATGCTAATGGTGGTACACAACTCTGTTTATCATTTCCAGATCCTAATGGTGGTACACATCTCTGTTTAACATTTCCAGATGCTAATGGTGGTACACAACTCTGTTTAACATTTCCAGATTCTAATGGTGGTCCACATCTCTGTTTATCATTTCCAGATTCTAATGGTGGTACACAACTCTGTTTAACATTTCCAGATTCTAATGGTGGTACACAACTCTGTTTATCATTTCCAGATTCTAATGGTGGTCCACATCTCTGTTTAACATTTCCAGATGCTACTGGTGGTCCACATCTCTGTTTAACATTTCCAGATCCTAATGGTGGTCCACATCTCTGTTTAACATTTCCAGATCCTACTGGTGGTCCACATCTCTGTTTAACATTTCCAGATCCTAATGGTGGTACACATCTCTGTTTAACATTTCCAGATCCTAATGGTGGTCCACATCTCTGTTTAACATTTCCAGATCCTACTGGTGGTCCACATCTCTGTTTAACATTTCCAGATCCTAATGGTGGTACACATCTCTGTTTAACATTTCCAGATGCTAATGGTGGTACACATCTCTGTTTAACATTTCCAGATCCTACTGGTGGTCCACATCTCTGTTTAACATTTCCAGATCCTAATGGTGGTACACATCTCTGTTTAACATTTCCAGATCCTAATGGTGGTACACATCTCTGTTTAACATTTCCAGATGCTAATGGTGGTACACAACTCTGTTTAACATTTCCAGATCCTAATGGTGGTCCACATCTCTGTTTAACATTTCCAGATCCTACTGGTGGTCCACATCTCTGTTTAACATTTCCAGATCCTAATGGTGGTACACATCTCTGTTTAACATTTCCAGATGCTAATGGTGGTACACATCTCTGTTTAACATTTCCAGATTCTAATGGTGGTCCACATCTCTGTTTAACATTTCCAGATCCTAATGGTGGTACACATCTCTGTTTAACATTTCCAGATGCTAATGGTGGTACACAACTCTGTTTAACATTTCCAGATCCTAATGGTGGTACACATCTCTGTTTAACATTTCCAGATTCTAATGGTGGTACACAACTCTGTTTAACATTTCCAGATTCTAATGGTGGTACACATCTCTGTTTAACATTTCCAGATCCTAATGGTGGTACACATCTCTGTTTAACATTTCCAGATGCTACTGGTGGTCCACATCTCTGTTTAACATTTCCAGATCCTAATGGTGGTACACATCTCTGTTTAACATTTCCAGATGCTACTGGTGGTCCACATCTCTGTTTAACATTTCCAGATCCTACTGGTGGTACACATCTCTGTTTAACATTTCCAGATGCTAATGGTGGTACACATCTCTGTTTAACATTTCCAGATTCTAATGGTGGTACACAACTCTGTTTAACATTTCCAGATTCTAATGGTGGTACACAACTCTGTTTAACATTTCCAGATTCTAATGGTGGTACACAACTCTGTTTATCATTTCCAGATTCTAATGGTGGTCCACATCTCTGTTTAACATTTCCAGATTCTAATGGTGGTACACAACTCTGTTTAACATTTCCAGATTCTAATGGTGGTCCACATCTCTGTTTAACATTTCCAGATCCTAATGGTGGTACACAACTCTGTTTAACATTTCCAGATCCTAATGGTGGTACACATCTCTGTTTATCATTTCCAGATTCTAATGGTGGTACACAACTCTGTTTAACATTTCCAGATTCTAATGGTGGTACACATCTCTGTTTAACATTTCCAGATCCTAATGGTGGTACACATCTCTGTTTAACATTTCCAGATCCTAATGGTGGTACACAACTCTGTTTAACATTTCCAGATCCTAATGGTGGTACACAACTCTGTTTAACATTTCCAGATTCTAATGGTGGTCCACATCTCTGTTTAACATTTCCAGATCCTAATGGTGGTACACAACTCTGTTTAACATTTCCAGATCCTAATGGTGGTACACATCTCTGTTTATCATTTCCAGATTCTAATGGTGGTACACAACTCTGTTTATCATTTCCAGATGCTAATGGTGGTACACAACTCTGTTTAACATTTCCAGATTCTAATGGTGGTACACATCTCTGTTTAACATTTCCAGATGCTAATGGTGGTACACATCTCTGTTTAACATTTCCAGATTCTAATGGTGGTACACATCTCTGTTTATCATTTCCAGATGCTAATTTGAAAAATAATGAATAATTTTTCTCTGATGATACATCTATGTATCCGAAATGGGATCCCTATCTTTCGACTCTAGAAAAACGTTAGCAAAACCCACTCAAACCCATCCATTCGTCGTGCAAATGACGTTAGTGCCAAATCAGGTTTTGCATGTGCAGTCGATCACGTGATCTTAGCATCGAAGATTTCTTCATACGCACGTGTTTGCATTGGCCTCAAGAATTGGAAAAACACTTTTAAACCACAGTTCTAACGGTACTTGAAATGCCACGATTGTCAAATGTGCAACGTGAACCGTTGGCATGTTGCAAGCGGGAAGATCAGTTATTGACGTCGCAAGAGCAATGGGATGCAGCCGTCGTACTGTGTATGACTTGCGAGGTCGTCTACAACAAACTGGCACCACTTCTGATTGCCCAAGGTCGGGTCGTCCACGTGTGACGTCACGAGCAGAAGACCGTCAAATCGTCCTACGTCACCTACGTGACAGATTTCTGCTGGCTACACGAACCAGGGCTGAGATGTTTAGAGGTCGACTGTCCTCACAGACCATTCGAAATCGGTTGCAGGCTGCCAATCTCCATTCTCGACGTCCATATCGTGGGCCAATATTGACGCCGTTTCATCAACGTCAACGTCTGCTGTGGGCCCAACGTCACCTCCGATGGACCCAGAGAGACTGGAATCGAGTCGTCTTTAGCGATGAATCCAGGTTTACCCTCAGATTCGTGGACGGCAGGCATAGAGTCTGGAGACGACGTCGTGAACGGTATGCCCAATGTTGTGTACAGGAAGTCGACAGATTCGGGGCGGAAGTTGCATGGTGTGGGGTGCTTTCTGTGGGAACAACCGTTCCCGACTTCTGGTCATCCGTGGAAACCTCACAGCTGCTGCTTACCGCGACCAGGTGCTCACCCTGAACTCGTTCCTTTCATGGCGGCTCATGGCCCAGGTCTACAGTTCCAGCATGATAATGCTCGGCCGCATACCGCGATGTTGACACGAAATTTCCTTCAAAACGCTGGAATCAACGTCATGGACTGGCCATCGAGGTCCCCTGACCTTAATCCAATAGAGCACGTTTGGGATGCACTTGGGAGAAGGCTTCGTGGTCTTAGGAACCAACCTCAGAATTTGCAGGAACTTGGCGCTGCCTTGCAAGAACAATGGCGCAGAATCCCCAACCACGTGTTCACAAGCATCAGGCAGTCGATGAGGAGACGGTGTTTGGCAGTGGTGAATGCGCGGGGCGGCCATACGATATTGAACTGAGAAATTTCGCATTTTTATTCTTGTGACTTGACATTCTGTATACCCATGTTTTGGAACGGCGGTGTAGCCTAATGGAACTGATTATGGCACTGTCAGTGTATCGAGTACATCACACAGATCTCAGCAATGAAATAATAACAATTTAACCATCTTACCATCTCTTGTTCTTTTATAGTGCCCTGAAGAAAGAATGTGAAGTTTCTTTTGACTCAGTATATTTGTGGTACACTTCTCTGTTTATCATTTCCAGATGCACTGCTGGCAACAGCACTGGGCAAGAAGCGTGTATACGAGGCAGACATCCAGGTGCTAGAGGCACCAAGTAAGGAGACTGACTCACAGGATGTCACCAAAATGTGGGTAATAAGTGGCTGAAGTAGAAACAAGTGCTGTGTACTGGCAAAGAGTTTGTATTATAAAACATAGTGATACAGGTGTCCTATTGCAATATATTGGAAGCTAACATGTTTAAAGGGCAAGTGTACACGAAAATTCACCTTTTTGTCTTGCACTTTTTCATCATAAAAAGTGTTTATCAAGTTGTTTTATATCCAAACCAGCACATATATCAGAAGTAACTAATTTATTATTTGCGTTATATCAATTCATATTTTCAACATTTACCAAGAGTTCTATGTCCACAATAAACACACCATGGCTTATGTCCCTTGGAAATGACGTCATTGGTGCCCAAACGATAAACGAATGACGTCGTCAGACCTTATTAGACCCATTTCACGTGGTGCAGGTATAGGTGTGGTTCTTGTGTCTCGATCGCGAGGCTACTGTTTTAATCCACCTATAGCCTAGCCGTCCAGCTGGCTATGTGGTCAGTTCTACACTGTAATGACGTTGCAGTTTGAAAAAGCGTATACATTGTACTAAAAGTGTTACCACGTAACCAAATTGTATAACATATTTAACCGAGTCGGTCAGCCTTTCCAACAGTATCTTTTTCATGAAACCTAAAAGCGTATATGCACTACATCTTGCTTGCCATCGGTGAATGTGCCGCATTCTACGTTTATTACTAAAGTTCTTACATAAATCATACGATATGTCCCTCCTCTTCCACCTTCACTTTGATATCGATAGTACATATCCAAATACATCACGCAGATAAATGCAATTTGCAGTTTTTAACACTGTTTTTCTATGATATCATCCGCTCATTGTAGATAAAATTTACTGAAAATTACATGCATCGTAAATCTCGCCAGTTTTGACACATTCTAAATCACCATTCACTGCGTTTTGCGTAATTTATGGTATGTCTTAATTCAAATGTCAAATTTTACTGGGAGAATTGAATTTAAAAGAAAAAGACGTGATCATTGTGATCAGCGGTAGTTTTGTTGTTGTATGATCGAATCACCAATGCTCATTCTTAAACATTATCGATGAACCGAGACTCTGTCACCAATACGAAGTGTTTCAGTGAAATCTAACGAAATATATCGAGGATATGAGATGCCGCGCTGTGAAAGAATACTTGTTTGAAATGTATACAAAGCCAATCTCAGACTTGACACTGTGTATCCTTTCGCCTGCTTGTTGCATACAATTGCTCATTAGTTTTAGAACATGCATGGGAAAGGTATCGTAGCAACCGATAGTTAAATAAAACAGGTGTATTCCAATGATTTTCTAGATTCATCACAACATATTATAGTTTTTGAAAGCATGACGACATAACTGGCGCAAACTCACGCATAACGATGACGGTACTTCTCTTAATTTCTGACTATTTCCCTTGGTCACAATGAAAACAAAAAGAAAATAACAACCAGTAGACTGACAAAATTTACGGACTACTTACATGTCACATTTATGCATATACGTTGCTTGAAACAACAAAATTTCCTTGAAAACTCCGGCCTACTGTGTCAGTGAACACGCCATTTTGAAAGAGTCGCTTAAATTCTCGATAGTGATGTCATCACGGATCGTCAACATTGTTATACATATTGGTATTTTCACTGAGGGGTGGTAATGAATGAAAATACACACGATCAATCCGTCCTGCTGCTTACATTTTCTGTTCTTATGCTTCTTCGTGATTTTTCACAAACCTTTTTTTCACGTGATTAATATCAGTATTATTATCTTTTGATTTGGGACTAGACAGGAGACCAGTTTAAAATCAATTGGCACCAATACGTCATAATCAAAGGCTGTAACTCAGGCCTGTTTAGCTCCTCGGCAAACTGAATACCTCAGATTGGCATAACATTTCAGCACTTATTTTGAGGGTTATACTTACATTGTAAGAAAAATGAGTGTATATTTTTCAAACATTGGTATTAACTAATTAAAACAGTTCACTTTGATTCACATAAGAATAAATGTGATTTATTAGGTACTGATTGTACACTTCCCCTTTAACAGTGAGTGAGCCAGATGTAGGCATAGAGAGTTAGATGTAGGTGTAGAGTGCCAGATGTAGGTGTAGAGAGTTAGATGTAGGTGTAGGAGTGCCAGATGTAGGCATAGAGAGTAAGATGTAGGTGTAGAGTGCCAGATGTAGGCATAGAGAGTTAGATGTAGGTGTAGAGGAGAGTGCCAGATGTAGGTGTAGAGAGTTAGATGTAGGTGTAGAGTGCAGTGCCAGATGTAGGCTTAGAGTTAAGATGTAGGTGTAGAGTGCCAGATGTAGGCATAGAGAGTTAGATGTAGGTGTAGAGTGCCAGATGTAGGTGTAGAGAGTGCCAGATGTAGGCATAGAGAGTTAGATGTAGGTGTAGAGTGCCAGATGTAGGTGTAGAGAGTAAGATGTAGGTGTAGAGTGCCAGATGTAGGCATAGAGAGTTAGATGTAGGTGTAGAGTGCCAGATGTAGGCATAGAGAGTTAGATGTAGGTGTAGAGTGCCAGATGTAGGCATGTAGAGAGAGTTAGATGTAGGTGTAGGTGAGTGCCAGATGTAGGCATAGAGAGTTAGATGTAGGTGTAGAGAGTGCCAGATGTAGGCATAGAGAGTTAGATGTAGGTGTAGAGTGCCAGATGTAGGCATAGAGAGTTAGATGTAGGTGTAGAGAGTGCCAGATGCAGAGTAGGCATAGAGAGTAAAAGATGTAGGTGTAGAGTGCCAGATGTAGGCATAGAGAGTTAGATGTAGGTGTAGAGTGCCAGATGTAGGCATAGAGAGTTAGATGTAGGTGTAGAGTGCCAGATGTAGGCATAGAGAGTTAGATGTAGGTGTAGAGTGCCAGATGTAGGCATAGAGAGTTAGATGTAGGTGTAGAAGAGTGCCAGATGTAGGCATAGAGAGTTAGATGTAGGTGTAGGAGTGCCAGATGTAGGTGTAGAGAGTAAGATGTAGGTGTAGAGTGCCAGATGTAGGCATAGAGAGTTAGATGTAGGTGTAGTAGAGTGCCAGATGTAGGCATAGAGAGTTAGATGTAGGTGTAGAGTGCCAGATGTAGGCATAGAGAGTAAGATGTAGGTGTAGAGTGCCAGATGTAGGCATAGAGAGTTAGATGTAGGTGTAGAGTGCCAGATGTAGGCATAGAGAGTTAGATGTAGGTGTAGAGTGCCAGATGTAGGCATAGAGAGTTAGATGTAGGTGTAGAGTGCCAGATGTAGGCATAGAGAGTTAGATGTAGGTGTAGAGTGCCAGATGTAGGCATAGAGAGTAAGATGTAGGTGTAGAGTGCCAGATGTAGGCATAGAGAGTTAGATGTAGGTGTAGAGTGCCAGATGTAGGTGTAGAGTGTAGAGAGTAAGATGTAGGTGTAGGTGTAAGATGTAAGATGTAGGTGTAGAGTGCCAGATGTAGGCATAGAGAGTTAGATGTAGGTGTAGAGTGCCAGATGTAGGCATAGAGAGTTAGATGTAGGTGTAGAGTGCCAGATGTAGGCATAGAGAGTTAGATGTAGGTGTAGAGCGCCAGATGTAGGCATAGAGAGTTAGATGTAGGTGTAGAGTGCCAGATGTAGGCATAGAGAGTTAGATGTATGTAGGTGTAGAAGGTGCCAGATGTAGGCATAGAGGAAGTAAGATGTAGGTGTAGAGTGCCAGATGTAGGCATAGAGAGTTAGATGTAGGTGTAGAGTGCCAGATGTAGGCATAGAGAGTTAGATGTAGGTGTATGTAGGTGTGCCAGATGTAGGCATAGAGAGTTAGATGTAGATGTAGGTGTAGAGTGCCAGATGTAGGTGTAGAGAGTAAGATGTAGGTGTAGAGTGCCAGATGTAGGCATAGAGAGTTAGATGTAGGTGTAGAGTGCCAGATGTAGGCATAGAGAGTTAGATGTAGGTGTAGAGTGCCAGATGTAGGCATAGAGAGGTAGATGTAGGTGTAGAGTGCCAGATGTAGGCATAGAGAGTTAGATGTAGGTGTAGAGTGCCAGATGTAGGCATAGAGAGTTAGATGTAGGTGTAGAGTGCCAGATGTAGGCATAGAGAGTAAGATGTAGGTGTAGAGAGTGCCAGATGTAGGCATAGAGAGTTAGATGTAGGTGTAGAGTGCCAGATGTAGGCATAGAGAGTTAGATGTAGGTGTAGAGTGCCAGATGTAGGCATAGAGAGTTAGATGTAGGTGTAGAGTGCCAGATGTAGGCATAGAGAGTTAGATGTAAGGTGTAGAGTGCCAGATGTAGGCATAGAGAGTTAGATGTAGGTGTAGAGTGCCAGATGTAGGCATAGAGAGTTAGATGTAGGTGTAGAGTGCCAGATGTAGGTGTAGAGAGTAAGATGTAGGTGTAGAGTGCCAGATGTAGGCATAGAGAGTTAGATGTAGGTGTAGAGTGCCAGATGTAGGTGTAGAGAGGGTAAGATGTAGGTGTAGAGTGCCAGATGTAGGCATAGAGAGTTAGATGTAGGTGTAGAGTGCCAGATGTAGGCATAGAGAGTTAGATGTAGGTGTAGAGTGCCAGATGTAGGCATAGAGAGTTAGATGTAGGTGTAGAGTGCCAGATGTAGGCATAGAGAGTTAGATGTAGGTGTAGAGTGCCAGAGTGCAGATGTAGATGTAGGTGTAGAGTGCCAGATATAGGCATAGAGAGTAAGATGTAGGTGTAAGAGTGCCAGATGTAGGCATAGAGAGTTAGATGTAGGTGTAGAGTGCCAGATGTAGGCATAGAGAGTAAGATGTAGGTGTAGAGTGCCAGATGTAGGCATAGAGAGTTAGATGTAGGTGTAGAGTGCCAGATGTAGGCATAGAGAGTTAGATGTAGGTGTAGAGAGTGTAGGGAGTAGAGAGATGTAGGTGTAGAGTGCCAGATGTAGGCATAGAGAGTTAGATGTAGGTGTAGAGTGCCAGATGTAGGCATAGAGAGTTAGATGTAGGTGTAGAGTGCCAGATGTAGGCATAGAGAGTTAGATGTAGGTGTAGAGTGCCAGATGTAGGCATAGAGTGTAGATGTAGGTGTAGAGTGCCAGATGTAGGCATAGAGTTAGAGTTAGTGTAGGTGTAGAGTGCCAGATGTAGGCATAGAGAGTTAGATGTAGGTGTAGAGTGCCAGATGTAGGCATAGAGAGTTAGATGTAGGTGTAGAGTGCCAGATGTAGGCATAGAGAGTTAAGAGGTGTTAGGTGTGTAGAGTGCCAGATGTAGGCATAGAGAGTTAGATGTAGGTGTGGGAGAGTGCCAGATGTAGGCATAGAGAGTAAGATGTAGGTGTAGAGTGCCAGATGTAGGCATAGAGAGTTAGATGTAGGTGTAGAGTGCCAGATGTAGGCATAGAGAGTTAGATGTAGGTGTAAGAGTGCCAGATGTAGGCATAGAGAGTTAGATGTAGGTGTAGAGCCAGATGTAGGTGTAGAGAGTTAGATGTAGGTAAGGTGTAGAGTGCCAGATATAGGCATAGAGAGTTAGATGTAGGTGTAGAGCTGCCAGATGTAGGCATAGAGAGTTAGATGTAGGTGTAGAGTGCCAGATGTAGGCATAGAGAGTTAGATGTAGGTGTAGAGTGCCAGATATAGGCATAGAGAGTTAGATGTAGGTGTAGAGTGCCAGATGTAGGCATAGAGAGTTAGATGTAGGTGTAGAGTGCCAGATGTAGGCATAGAGAGTTAGATGTAGGTGTAGAGTGCCAGATGTAGGCATAGAGAGTTAGATGTAGGTGTAGAGTGCCAGATGTAGGCATAGAGAGTTAGATGTAGGTGTAGAGTGCCAGATGTAGGCATAGAGTTAGATGTAGATGTAGAGTGCCAGATGTAGGCATAGAGAGTTAGATGTAGGTGTAGAGTGCCAGATGTAGGCATAGAGAGTTAGATGTAGGTGTAGAGTGCCAGATGTAGGTGTAGAGAGTAAGATGTAGGTGTAGAGTGCCAGATGTAGGCATAGAGAGTTAGATGTAGGTGTAGAGTGCCAGATGTAGGCATAGAGAGTTAGATGTAGGTGTAGAGTGCCAGATGTAGGCATAGAGAGTTAGATGTAGGTGTAGAGTGCCAGATGTAGGCATAGAGAGTTAGATGTAGGTGTAGAGCCAGATGTAGGCATAGAGAGTTAGATGTAGGTGTAGAGTGCCAGATGTAGGCATAGAGAGTTAGATGTAGGTGTAGAGTGCCAGATGTAGGCATAGAGAGTTAGATGTAGGTGTAGAGTGCCAGATGTAGGCATAGAGAGTTAGATGTAGGTGTAGAGTGCCAGATGTAGGTGTAGAGAGTAAGATGTAGGTGTAGAGTGCCAGATGTAGGCATAGAGAGTTAGATGTAGGTGTAGAGTGCCAGATGTAGGCATAGAGAGTTAGATGTAGGTGTAGAGTGCCAGATATGTAGGCATAGAGAGTTAGATGTAGGTGTAGAGCCAGATGTAGGCATAGAGAGTTAGATGTAGGTGTAGAGTGCCAGATGCATAGCAGTAGAGAGTAAGATGTAGGTGTAGAGTGCCAGATGTAGGCATAGAGAGATGTAAGATGTAGATGTAGGTGCAAGAGTGCCAGATGTAGGCATAGAGAGTTAGATGTAGGTGTAGAGTGCCAGATATAGGCATAGAGAGTTAGATGTAGGTGTAGAGTGCCAGATGTAGGCATAGAGAGTTAGATGTAGGTGTAGAGTGCCAGATGTAGGCATAGAGAGTTAGATGTAGGTGTAGAGTGCCAGATGTAGGCATAGAGAGTTAGATGTAGGTGTAGAGTGCCAGATATAGGCATAGAGAGTTAGATTTAGGTGTAGAGTGCCAGATGTAGGCATAGAGAGTTAGATGTAGGTGTAGAGTGCCAGATGTAGGCATAGAGAGTTAGATGTAGGTGTAGAGTGCCAGATGTAGGCATAGAGAGTTAGATGTAGGTGTAGAGTGCCAGATGTAGGCATAGAGATTAGACGTAGGTATGAGACATTAGATGTAGATGTATGCCAGATGTAGGTGTAGAGTGCCAGATATAGCCATAGAGAGTTAGATTTTGGTGTAGAGTGCCAGATGTAGGCATAGAGAGTTAGATGTAGGTGTAAAGTGTTAGTTGTATGTGTAGACTAACAGATGTAGGCGTCCACTCATGCTGCAATGTTGTGCAACACTATGTATTCTCTGATTGCCCCACTGTATAACATTGTTTCAGACCAGAGTCAGGAGGAGCTGCTGCCTCCCCAACAGAAACAGGTAGGCAGTCACATGACGTGTTATCAAGGGAATGTTATGTATCAGGGTACCCTTGGACCATCATAAAGGCTTGAGTTTCTACTGTACTAATTTATACACCTAAAGAGCAGTGTTGCACCAAGGTGAGCGTATTGCCACATTGTACCATCTTATGCTGTCTCAGAACAGAGAAAGAGATTGCTCGAAGAGAATAGACTTGTACCACAATACAGTACTCACTACAGGAATATATAGTTGATCCGGTAGTACGTTCACTATGGCAACGAAAGCATTGTTTCATTGCATGTCTTTCGTTTGTTTATTTGTTGTTTAACACCAAACTCAACTGTTTTCCAGTTATATATGACAGCTGTCTGTAAATAATTGAGTTTGGACCATTTAGCCCATACATTGTGGTTGACAGTCCACCCCGTCTAGTTCTGCTGACCAACAATCAGCCATGTTATGGCTACCAATATTCGCATTGTGACATGCACGTAGTGTTGTCCTCGTGTTGCAGGTTGGAGGAGACTGGAGACGCAGGAGTATATGGATATCCTATTGTTTGTGAGTGATCTCAACACTGCAGGGGAGCGTCTTGTCCTTGACCCAACCTCAAGCACCACCACCGTTCTGCTCACTAAACTTTGTGGAGGCATCAGCCACATCAAGGTGTTTCTGGGTATATTAAGTGGAAAGAAAGAGAGTGTAAGTGTCATTACTGTATACTCCATGCATTGGTAACTGTATACTCCATACATTGGTTACTGTATACACCATGCATTGGTTACTGTATACTCCATTCATTGGTTACTGTATACTCCATGCATTGGTTACTGAATACTCCATACATTGGTAACTGTATACTCCATACATTGATTACTGTATACTCCATACATTGGTAACTGTACATTGGTTACTGTATACTCCATGGTTACATACTTACATTGATTACTGTATACTCCATACATTGGTTACTGTATACTCCATGCATTGGTTACTGTATACTCCATACATTGATTACTGTATACTCCATACATTGGTTACTGTATACTCCATGCATTGATTACTGTATACTCCATACATTGGTTACTGTATACTCCATACATTGATTACTGTATACTCCATGGATTGGTTACTGTATACTCCATGCATTGGTTACTGTATACTCCATGCATTGGTTACTGCCTACTCCATACATTACTGTATACTCCATGCATTGGTTACTGCCTACTCCATGCATTACTGTATACTCCAGGCATTGGTTACTGCCTACTCCATACATTGGTTACTGTATACTCCATACATTGGTTACTGTATATTCCATGCATTGGTGCCACAAAAGGCTACTATGCTTGTTGTAAGAGGCGACTAACGGGATCGGGTGGTCAGGCTCGCTGACTTGGTTGACACCTTATCATCAGTTCCCACTGTATACAGATCGATGCTCATGCTGTTGATCACAGGATTCTCTGGTCCAGACATCGATTATTTACAGACTCGCAGCCATTATACTGCTACTCCATTGCTGACATTGGTAAAACTAAACTCACTCACTCACTTACCATGTATTGGTTACTGCCTACTCCATACATGAGTTACTGCCTACTCCATACATGAGTTACTGCATACTCCATACATTGGTTACTGTATACTCCATACATTGGTTACTGTATACTCCATACATTGATTACTGTATACTCCATACATTGGTTACTGTATACTCCATACATTGGTTACTGTATACTCCATACATTGGTTACTGTATACTCCATACATTGATTACTGTATACTCCATACATTGGTTACTGTATACTCCATACATTGGTTACTGTATACTCCATACAGTAGTTACTGTATACTCCATGCATTGGTTACTGTATACTCCATGCATTGGTTACTGTATACTCCATACATGGGTTACTGCCTACTCCATACATTGGTTACTGTATACTCCATTGGTTACATTACTTACATGTATACTCCATACATTGGTTACTGTATACTCCATACATTAGTTACTGTATACTCCATACATTGGTTACTGTATACTCCATACATTGGTTACTGTATACTCCATACATTGGTTACTGTATACTCCATACATTAGTTACTGTATACTCCATACATTGGTTACTGTATACTCCATGCATTGGTTACTCCATACATTGGTTACTGTATACTCCATACATTGATTACTGTATACTCCATACATTGATTACTGTATACTCCATACATTGGTTACTGTATACTCCATGGATTGGTTCTGTATACTCCATGCATTGGTTACTGTATACTCCATTCATGGGTTACTGCATACTCCATACATTGGTTACTGTATACTCCATACATTGGTTACTGTATACTCCATACATTGGTTACTGTATACTCCATACATTGATTACTGTATACTCCATACATTGGTTACTGTATACTCCATACATTGGTTACTGTATACTCCATACATTGGTTACTGTATACTCCATACATTGGTTACTGTATACTCCATACATTGGTTACTGTATACTCCATACATTGGTTACTGCATACTTTATACATTGGTTACTCCTAGTTACTGTATACTCCATACATTAGTTACTGTATACTCCATACATTGGTTACTGTATACTCCATACATTGATTACTGTATACTCCATACATTGGTTACTGTATACTCCATACATTGGTTACTGTATACTCCATACATTGGTTACTGTATACTCCATGCATTGGTTACTGTATACTCCATACATTGGTTACTGTATACTCCATACATTGGTTACTGTATACTCCATACATTGGTTACTGTATACTCCATACATTGGTTACTGTATACTCCATACATTGTTACTGTATACTCCATGCATTGGTTACTGTATACTCCATACATGGGTTACTGCATACTCCATACATTAGTTACTGTATACTCCATACATTTGTTACTCCTAGATACTGTATACTCCATACATTGGTTACTGTATACTCCATACATTGGTTACTGTATACTCCATACATTAGTTACTGTATACTCCATACATTGGTTACTGTATACTCCATACATTGGTTACTGTATACTCCATGCATTGGTTACTGTATACTCCATACATTGGTTACTGTATACTCCATACATTAGTTACTGTATACTCCATACATTGGTTACTGTATACTCCATACATTGGTTACTGTATACTCCATACATTGGTTACTGTATACTCCATACATTGGTTACTGTATACTCCATACATTGGTTACTGTATACTCCATGCATTGGTTACTGTATACTCCATACATTGGTTACTGCCTACTCTACTCCATACATTGGTTACTGTATACTCCATACATTGGTTACTGTATACTCCATACATTGGTTACTGTATACTCCATACATTGGTTACTGTATACTCCATACATTGGTTACTGTATACTCCATACATTGGTTACTGTATACTCCATACATTGGTTACTGTATACTCCATACATTGGTTACTGTATACTCCATACATTAGTTACTGTATACTCCATACATTGGTTACTGTATACTCCATACATTGGTTACTGTATACTCCATACATTGGTTACTGTATACTCCATACATTGGTTACTGTATACTCCATACATTGGTTACTGTATACTCCATACATTGGTTACTGTATACTCCATACATTGGTTACTGTATACTCCATATGCATTGGTTACTGTATACTCCATACATTGGTTACTGCATACTCCATACATTGGTTACTGTATACTCCATACATTGGTTACTGTATACTCCATACATTGGTTACTGTATACTCCATACATTGGTTACTGTATACTCCATACATTGGTTACTGCCTACTCCATACATTGGTTACTGTATACTCCATACATTGGTTACTGTATACTCCATACATTGGTTACTGTATACTCCATACATTGGTTACTGTATACTCCATACATTGGTTACTGTATACTCCATACATTGGTTACTGTATACTCTATACATTGGTTACTGTATACTCCATACATTGGTTACTGTCCATTCCTTCAATCTGAGTAGTTATTTACAACCTACCTATTATGTATTTCCTTTTGAGAATCAGAAAACTTTGTCCTGACTTTCGTTCTGTGGTATTCCAGCTGCAGGCTCCACAGTTGACTGTCCTCAAAAACATCAAAGGGCTTAAGATCAAAGTCAAGGTCAGTGATGAGACCTCTTCTGTGTCTGAAAAACAGAAGGAATTGGAACACTTGATGGACATAGACGGAGAGTTGTACCAAGCAGAGAACATGGATATTGAGATACGGTAAATCTCTTATAAACACAGAAAATGATTGTCTCAGTTCCTTGGAATTAGAATCTATAATACAATTTCTTATGCAGTTTGTCCTGTTGAAGTCTAGGTCCATACAGGGAGAGTTCACATATAAGACCAGGATACGGAGTCCACAGCACCGTAACTTTACGTCCTCATCAATGTACTGAACAACTGGTGACAAACATAAGTTTAGGTTATTTCATCATGTAACAGCAAGTTGATGTGTAATACTTTATTTATATCTATTTCAGTTTACTGTCTCAGTTTGTTCCTGTGTTTTCTTCCCCTGTTGAATTGCCTGGTGTGCAGACAACAGAGATATGACTCTCCAGCTGTTACAGGGTCGCCAGGGGACCAGCTTTCAAAGGTCACATCAACAAATTGCTTCTGTCCATCACCAAGCTGTGCCTTCATCTAATGACAATGGGTTACCGTCTAGTTTCACGCTGACTGTTTCTTTGTTTGCCGACATTAAACCTGGTCTCTGAAGGTCTTCAACCTGCATCACAGAGAACTTTCTTCCAGCAGTAAGTGGAGATGCTGTGACTGGAATACTGCTCAATGTGGCTTTAAACCAAACTCACTCACTCACTTTAGAAAATGTTTTTGTCTAGCTCATTCTTACTCACCATTTGCTTCATCAAATTGCCTTTATAATGAGAGAGTGCTTATTTATAAGACGCAAGCAATGTGTCTGTGTTTCAAGAGGAAGAGATATGATCTTCAATCTGCGTGTCACACTGGGTATACCCTTATGTAACAACACTGTCCAAGATAAGCCCAGTTCTGTTCCAGAAGTGCTATTTTTATTGTTCATGTGGCCAGTGATTGGCTGATACTGTAAGCGCTGTGGACCTGTGCTATGGGGTGTGATGTGACACTGTTGTATTTTGTGAGCCACATGTATCCGCATACTACTTAATATCTATATGTGCAATAGTTTGTCTTTGTGAAAATTTCAGTGTATGTATTAATGATCTTTTGTGCAAATCACAGCATTTTAAACTGCAATAAAATGTTCTGTAGTTAAATATGAGCCACCCAGTGTATACCTTTACCGAATATATTTTAGTGCTTTGCCTGGGCTTTTCCCATCTGAAATAGATTTGTAATTGTTTCCCATGGTGCTTGTAATTTGCTTGCATTTACTTTGTGATCTATTTTTGAACTTATAACTTACTTCTGATTTATGGAAAGTACAATTATATATCTTATGAATATTGCTCATGTGATTTTTGAGTGAGTGACCTGTAAACAATGCCAACCCGCGACTTCGGACAGAGGAAACACCCATGGTGTTTAAAGTTAGTTGGTCGGTTGGTTTGTTTTTTAATGCAGCACTGCATTATTACAGCTATATGACTGTGGTCTGGTAATAATCGAGTCTGGACCAGACAATCCAGTGATCAACAGCATGAGCATCAATCTACACAATTGGGATACAATACGATGACATGTGTCAACCAAGTCACCGAGCTTGACCACCCAGTCTCATCACATTTTACAACACGAATGGGTTGCTGAAGACCAATTCTAACCCGGATCTTCACTGTATGGTGTTTAAAGACAAAGACTCAGCCAAGTCACACCCTGACCATCTGATCCAACCTCCTCCAATCAGGAAGTTCAATTCTGACCCTGGTTTCTGTCGGTTTTAGGATTCTTCAGACAGTCATATTTTGTTATGAATTCATGATAAAACAAAGTGGAAAAAAACCCACTCAGATACAACACTCAAGTTACTCAAGTAACAACTGAAAAAAAGAACTACACTCGCGTAACCTTGATTCGTGGATATAAGGGAAGTGTGCCGAAAATCATATTTTTAAATGCATGATTTCATTTTGTATACTCACTGATTATTTTATTCATTGAGTCAGCAAACTGAAAAGGCCTAATATTCCACTCTTGAATCAAACGTGACATCATACAAGACTAATTTACGATATAGCATGATAATTACCGCAATCCACAAATCAAGGTTATCCACAAATTTAGGTTACGATTCTGTATGTCTTTGTGGGTAAAAGCAATCATCAAACTAGTGGGTTGGCCATCATAGGTTTTCTCTTTGCTTAACAATGCAGTCAGCAATGTTCTAGATATAACTGCAGCCTTATTTTGTTGCACAGTTCCTCAGTAATATTGTATTACTGTATTTATTGTACAGTAATACAATAGCCCTAAATGAAGCAATCAAGAATTTCCTAAGGTTCTGTATCCTGTCTCACACTGGGGAGACAAACAGGGAGAGCCATCAGTCTGTCCAGACCAACCAACTACTGCTATAATGAGCATCATCCACACTTAGGGATACCATACAACCTAGCACTCCCAATAATGACTGGTCAGTCCCTTATGACAAGTACAGGCTACTATGTTCCTGTTCTCCCTTCAGTACCTAGGACTGAATGTGTCTCTCTAACTGGATAGACAACAGCGGGCTGGTTTCTGGTATCATGCGACCAGATTAAACTTTGCATAGATTGATGCCCATGATGGCATTGACTGGAATGTCTAGTGAAGACTCAATTATTTAAAAAAATATCATATAGCTGGAAAATTGCTGAGTGTAGCTTTAAACAATAAAGAACAAGTGTTTCCCACTGATATGGCAATGTCCCCGCCACTAAAGAATGGAATATCTATATTTACTACTTTTTATTTTTTGGTCACATACAAGATGCCTGAAATGACTGGTGTCTGCATAATCACCCAATGTAGGCTGTCGACATAATTGAAAACATTGGGTGCAATGTTTTATGAGATATTGCGTTTAAATAAGTTTGAAAAATGGTCAAAGTGTCGTGGTGAACTTGAAAATAAGGTCAAGGTCACCAAAATCGACTGGTGTCCGGGTAATCCCCCAATGTAGGCTGTCACCAAATTTGAAGACATTGGGTACAACAGTTCATGAGATATCGCGTTAACAAGAATTGGGACGTACGTACATACGGACGCCGCTGAATACATAATCCCCCATTCCGCGTTGCGGAGGGGGACAACAATCAAACATCTAGATGCCACCTGTTGGCAAGAAGTATTACTATCTTGTGTGAACCAGCAGCAGAACCAGTTTAGATCCAGGGTTCCTCATGAGGCACTCGGGTAACAACAATACCTTCACATTATTGTTTTTATACCAGACAATATGAACAAAAAAATGTGTATAATGTTTTATTAAAAAGAACAAACATTTAAAAATTCATCATTTTGTAAAAGTCAGCATAAAACTTTTTTAAAATACAATTTTAAAGACAATGCACAATAGAATTGTTTAAATTGTGAGTCCTGAGCAAACATCCACTCCTGGATCATTCAAACTATCTCACGCTGTTAAACTGTCTATCTCAGGTAGAGCACATTTTCACCACCAGCAGCTACACCAGCATCATCAGTGATACCCTCAACTACACCAATCATGTGTGAACCTTGCAATACCTTACAGCACACACTACATTTTTCACACTCTGAACACTTATTCCATGCAAACATCTTTACACAAATTTGCTTCTGACAAGATAGTCATCATGCTTTCATCCACACACACACTATCATTTCTGATATGTCTTCACAAATTCTTCCACAGACATTTCTCTGGCTATAACTTTGTTTTTCACATCTTCCTTATTCCTGAGGGTGAAAACCACTGTGCGCATTGTCCTTCGATAGTGGACATTGATCAGCCTCTTGCTGACAAAGAACACCTCTCTCTCTATTGCCTCAGGAAGACTGTGAGACAGCTGGAAATCAAGCAGAATGATATGTTTAACAACCACCTGCCTATCTCACAAGCTGCAATACTAAACCGAAACCTGATTCACACCTTTCAAGCCCTAGTCTGGCCTTGTTGAGTACACTCTGTAACTTTCATCTTCATTATCATTACTCACAAATAGTCTAGCAATGAGACTGAATGTCACTGACGATGACTTTCTGTCCATGCAGAAAGTCTGTCCACTTGACCAAGGAGATTTAATTCTCCCCTACAGTTGGTCAAAATTCATGTTGTTCACACACATAAACATAAACCTTTGGAAACACAAATTGGCAAACATGAATCCTGCAAGCTACAATTAGACATTGACCAACTTGGTCTAACCCACAAGCATGAGTATGAGCTTGACATCCCGACAAAACTGCAAACAAAATCAGGTCAAACTGGGATTCAAACATACTTTTTATGTGATGTCACCAGCTCAATAAGTTTCTCATGATAAACCAAACACATTGATGACGTGGGTCAATAGTCTTCACACATGCTGTTCAATATTTAATATCACCTTACATGTAAAGACAAAGTAAGTAGGCAGAAATGAAAGGTAGTATAAAGGCCCAAACAATCTTTCTAATCAGTCTAAAGTGTGAGAAACTAATTCACTCATTGTTTATGGTGATTAAATTGAAGGAACAGTCATTTATACAGCTTAATGGATGAGAAATATGCTTGAAAGGGGACTTTTAGTCTGGTTCCAAACTGCTCTAGTCACCATTTGCTGTATGGTTTACATTTTCCATGGGTGCAATCTCACAACATCCCCCTAAAGGGCTTTGTGATTCTGCCGTATGATGGCAACAATAACTACCAGAATATATTTGGGTCCTAATGGGCTCATAACTGATATTTCTTGGTGTCATAAGCTTCACAGTCATTGCCATTACAGATCATTACAAAAGACACAAAATGTTATTTAACAGAAATCAACTGAATTTAACTGAGATGACAAATACTATCAATATTCTGCTGGTAAATATGAAGGAAGGCTGCCATACAACATGTTTTGGGGATGTGTACAAAAAAGGTAAATTATACAATATACAAATTTAGAGGTAAACAACAGATTTGACAGGAATAGAAGAACAGCTTGTTCAGCTTGACCTGATCAAGTGAATACTAATGTATTGCGTGACCGTGTCACAACTGGTTGCCTCTATTATTGTGAAGGGTTGCACCTTTGTCAGGTGATTGTCAACATGTCCAAACAACTGAGACAAGGTTGCCTTTTGACATCTCAGTGTCGAGAAATTGTCAGCAATGTCCTAACTTTCTTTAAAAAAAGAAGCTACAGATGGTTTAATGTTTCCGATTCGGACTTTTAGGCATCGAGCAGCAGCAGCGACATTAGTTACATTCTCTGCTCCCCTACTTAATGAAGTTAACTCGACCTGCCATTTGTGCCATTTGACCTCCTGGGTCCTGCATATGTAGAGTAGCTCAGGTCAAGCTGAACAAGCTGTACATGATGTATGGATATATTTCAATTTCATGTTTGAGTCAGATATTTCTTGTTTCCTGTAGTTGATAAAGAATGATTACACTCAAGGATGAAAACACCATCAGTTACCTGTAGTGAAAGGGCGTCGGCAATGAAACGCTTTCCTGATGCTCTCATTTTCTCAGTCTTTGCATCACATTTCACTTCAATTTGTGGCCGGTCAAGATGATCCTTGAAATGACGCCTCCACTTCAGGTATACCTGACGTGCTTCACTCGCAACTTGGTTATCTTCATGTTTGCGGAATCGATTGACAACTTTTCCTTGAAAAGTAGAATCAAACAGTAATTGACAGGAAACAATAACACAAAATGTATTTTAATATTCGGTTTCATTTTGTTAAGGATGAATCAAACAATGTCATTTGGTCCTCTACTCACCCAAGCAGACACAAATATGACAAACACAATTAGATAAGTTTAGCTTCAATCAAAAGGGTTAAAACACTTATATTTCATCTATTTCAGAAGATATTATGACCAGATCTTAAAACATGTTGGTAGTCAATATGTGTGACTGGATCATTTTATGACATTCTGTTATATTGTTAAAAACAATGTTGTAATTTTATTTCATTGTTGATGTTAAGATTCAGTACGAGTTGCTAACATTGCGTTTTCACAATAATCACTTGTCAGGAATATATTACAATCTTATACATGTATAAGAGTGGTGTGGACAAGATTTTCACCTATTTGGTTGACAACATGGCCAGATCCTCACCTATTTTGGTAGACAACATGGCCAAGATTCTCACCTATTTGGTTGACAACATGGCCAAGATTCTCACCTATTTTGGTAGACAACATGGCCAAGATTCTCACCTATTTGGTTGACAACATGGCCAGATCCTCACCTATTTGGTAGACAACATGGCCAAGATTCTCACCTATTTTGGTTGACAACATGACATGCCTCGGGGGTATCTTCTTCCCCAATTCCTTCAAACAGTCTACCAGAACATCCTTGGCTTGATTCTCCAGCTTCAGCTTGTTCTTGAGACGTTGGATATCCTCGATCACAACAACCCCCTGACGACAACAGGTTCAAAATACAATCAGCCAAATTATAATTGGGTTCGATTGCTTGTTGCAATTCATGCTGTATTGTGACATTCTCTACAAAATATTATAATTTTAATTCATATCATTCTCTTGTTTCTTGATATTACTCAACAGATATAAGACTTGACATGGCATAAAAACATATACATTGTTAAACTTGTAAATTGTTACTTTCATTTAGTACCTGCAGTTTTCTACAGTGGTACCATAGTGAACATAGTGATATACCGTAAAATATATGGAATTCCTTTGCCAGTTAACATACTGAAGCAATACAGTGTAATAAAAGTACACAGGTGTTAGCAACTGGATTTATCCAGACAGTAATGCTGAGTTGTCAGAACAGGTACTACAGCAGTGTACACAAGTATCTCTCTGTCTGCATAAGTGTACCCAACAGTGCCAACATTGGGCAACATCAACAGCGCCAAGTCAGGAATGAAGTGTAATTAGATAAACAGCAGATCTGTGGTAGATATTGCTCGTGCAACAGGTTTAGGTGACAGCGAAACTGAAACACCGTGACATGCAATAGATCTATACTGCCAAGCATATGGGCATTATGGTGTCGAATAAGGTATCAATATTTCTGCCAGATAGTTTGGCTGATTATAATGGATGGGTAGCTCATCACTTGGCTCTGAAAACCAGAAGATCAATCGTGTCTACTGTCCCACGTGAGGTGGCTATTTACAGAGAAAATGTGGAAAAGGCAGTCAAAATCATAGTAAATGTTCTGTCATCACAACGTCTCAAAGCTATTCCTGTTATTAGCACTAGGGTAGCATTTCTTGAGTTACTTAATCCATGTCGGGATGTGTAGCATCTATAATCAAGTGTAATTTGCCTGTAAATTGGTGCAGTAGGCGTAATTAGGCAGCAAATGGCTTCGTTAGATTTGTGTCAATCAGCAGATCGCTTAGCCATGAATATGTGCGTGTGGGCGAACGTTCCGTGTCTTGTTTTCCTGTTTCACCTGCAATGATTCAATTGTCGCTTGTCTAAACTGTTTTGTCTTCCCTTGTGAAGATTTCACCCATTGTTTTCTCGTTCTAGTCACAAATTTGTCCATTATCAGTTCACTTGTCAGTTACACTTCTATCGCTTTGTTTACTGAAGGGAGGAAACTCCGTTTAACAATTCTTTCGGAGAACCTCGGGTATTTACGGGAAGCCGAGTATAGAAACATGGGTTACCTCCCTTCTACCACTTGCCCTTTCGGGCTCCTTCCCAGCGGGTGATACCAATATCGTTGTGCGGAGCTTGACAGAATACAAACTAATAATAATAATAATAGATAATGATAATACTGTATTACCTTTTCAGGAATTTGTGTTACACCAACAGAGCTATTGACACATCAGAGAGATACAAATACAAATATTTACATAAATTCATGTATTTAAGTATCTTCACATTTGTTTAAAAGAGTACTTGGAATTAAGGATGTATGGGCTCTCTTAGTTTTCACAACTGGAACTTTGTAGCGGCGGCCTGAAGGGAGGAGGTTGTTTTCTGAATGTAAGTATTCAGTTGGGTGAGATATAATTTTGACAGCTTGATTCACCACTATATTTTGATGATAATCATTCAAATTTGACTCCTGCAATTCTATTTGCAGTGTTAACAATTTTGGCAATTTTAAAGTTGAGATGAACTGAGAGATCACGTCTTGTGAATATATTATAAGTGAAATGATTGAATTTTAGGAATACCTTTTTCCTTATATAAGCCATGTGCTCAATGGTCAAGTAACCCATTATATTGATACCCATCCTATTTTCAAAGTTGTATTTTTTTCCTTTGCGAAACAATTTTGTTGATGATTTTTCTCTCCCCTTTGTGAAATCGTTTAATAGGATTATGATCTGCCAAATTTATTATTTCATAATAATAATAATAATAATTCATTTTAACAGCGAGTAATATCAGTCTGTCTAGTTGCTCACTGGATGCTGTAATCACAATCTGATTATTATTACTCTGGATAACCCAAGCTGTTAATAGTCACATGACTTACCCCACCAGGTACCCACTGTCTGCTGGGTGAACAGAGGCAATTTTGAACAAACTCACTTGCCTAAGGTGAGACCACATGTGCTTCATTGTGGGGCAGAACTGAAGTCCAAGAAACTCGCAGGAGTCAGGCTAAACATGGTCACTCATCCAAGGACTCTCTCAACCGATTAGTGACCCGAGTTCTATGCATAGAACCACACACCACCACAATTTATAGAAATTATTTTCTTGGTGAGTAAATTATCAAGGACTTGGTACCAACACATTTGGAAAGTTCAAAATGTTTTGTTGAATGTGATGTTTGTTTGACAACAGGTTCAATAATTTGATGGTATCTGTAAGATATGTTTGGAGGGACTATCTAATCACTACAGAAGTTTTTGTGTAAGAGAGAGTCCCCATCAATTATATCCTTTCCTTTTTTGCCAGGCACTATGTGAATAAGGTATTTTGCCTTAAATCAAAATCTTCAAATCCCATTTCATGACTGATCCAACAGCGCCCAACATTAGGAGAAGCAGGTTCAAATGAATTTTGAGGAAAGTTACTCTTAGTACTTTATCATATGTGGCCTGGGATATGCAATCTGTTGACGGCTGAATATGCTGTATGACATCATCCCAAAGATGATAGTCCTATACCTTGTCAGCTTGCTGATAGAGGTAACCTCTTTAGTAAAGTGGAGGTGTCAGATTTGGAAACTTTTTATTCTCAGAAGTTTTACAATGGATCCATTTGAGCCAAAGCTCAGACCACAGCTCTCACTCAGTCATGAGTGAATATGGTCTTTTGGCCCTTTTAGCAATGTCATGACAGGGGATTTGAACATTCGTCTTAGGCATGAATAGCAAACATATTGTGACTGCCAAGCACTTTAAAACATGCAGCGTTAATCAAGTGTGACCCCTTGAATCAGTAGTGTAATGAGTTGAACAAATTAGAGGACCAGGCCCATCAAACACCAGATAAATTGGCTTAGGTGAACAAAGAAACAATTAACAGAACAATACCTCTTTGGCATCCAGGCATGACCTGCTGATCCATGCCAAACTTCTTGTGAAGACTCAAATCAACCGCGACCAGTCATTATGGAATGCTTCATGCATGAATTATTTGTTGATCATGCATTTCTCAAATGACAACATTCCCACCTCATTAGCAACAAATCACTGTAAGGTGGTATTGTCAGCTTGATGTTTATACATTATAGTGGCATTCTTGTTTCGTAACTTTTCAAGACAAGGTCTTAGATAACAAAAATCTTGACATGTGTGAGTTACTAGTAAATCTTAGTGCATGTGTACAATTCATTTCTATCAACCTTCTTATTGATCTCATGACCTCAACCCCCGATCTGTTCAACTTTCCTTCGAAACATTACAAATATAACAACAAACACAAATTTCAAAGCAATATTTTTAAACAGCTGAAATAATTACAGTAATTACACATGTAATCCACTTCCAAACTTGTATACATTGAATGGCAACAAATTCATAGTCTATGGTCCTTAACTAGATTGTTCCTTGTTTTTATCACCATGAAGGAAAAATCGACACAAAAAAGTTGTCCACAATGATAGTACTGCACAGAGACTGAGAACAAAACGTAATCCTTTGAACCATGGTGGGTAACCAGGTACCACAGTGTCAAAATATGCAGACCCAGCAATACCAGCCATCACAGTGATCACAGACATAGGGTCAGGAAGGAGAAGCCCCATCCACGCCACCAGAGATGGGGTAACGCTGTAACCCAGGTTAAACCAGTCAGGTTTATGATAGCTCTCTTCTGGGACCACAAACCCCCATCGCACCCCTCCAAGAAAAGATAGAATGACAGCTCCATAGGCCAGCTGAGCAAAAGCAATCTGTGGCATGTACAGTTGTGACATGGTCATATACACTGGGGCTGACAAAAAGGGAATTAAACCCGAAAATCCAAAAACTAAGGCTGGGACTGGGGATGATCTAAGTTCTTTCAGATTATTCCACACTGTGAGAGCTTTTGTTTCTCTGTCTTCAGAAATGAATCGTTTCTGGAAACCAAGTTCATGTGATTGTGCCTGCACCTTGTTACACACAGGGACACATAATTTAAAAGAAAGAAATGCATTTCTGTTACATCTTACAGCAAGACTGCTTTGTAAACTCTTCAAGCTATGATAATGCCGAAAGGCATATGTGTGGTTTGAGGACAAGATGCATGTTCCTGAAGCAGATTTGGAGTCTGTGCTAACCAATCTATGAAATCTTCTTTTGTTATAAATCTGCAGCTAGCAAACTGGGTGATAGCTTGGAGTTGCTGGGAAGCTCTTTGTAAAGATGTTAACAGAAGGTTCATGACTGGTTGCATTGGAAGTTGCTTCCCTGAAAATTTGAAACAGGCATTAAATAACAATATTTGCACATAAATTCAATAAATGCCAATGCATGTAGCAGACTGTTCATGAAATATGTCAGGTCTGCATGAAAGTATTTGCTTCACCGTTTATAATCGTTTCTATAATGCCATTGATCTATTCTTGCTAATAATTTGCTATGTCTTTATCTGTTAATTATAATTGTATTAAATGCTGTCATCAGTATGTACTGCAGTCTGTAACTCTACTGCAGTGAAGCATTAGTACTGAGCAGGTATTTGAGAATGTCCCAACGGTGACAAAGCATTGACAACAGTTTGACATTTTACCCACAATATGATTTCATGATATCATTCAATGCAGTCTTTTTCAATATGACATTCCAATAAATAAAACAATATATCGATACTTTCAACAACCTTGCCAGGGACGACCTCTCGGGCAAACTTTCCCGTTGGTAGTGTTGGTTATCTCCCTTGAATATTTGACCTCAAAGTTAACCTTTTGCCCTACATTGAACTAACCAATCAATGCCACGGTAACAACGACTGTATCAAAATACACCAATCACTTTCCTTGTTACACACAAAAAAGTACGTCATTTGCATAGTCTCGCGCGAGATTGTTCGCTAACGAGAATCCGCTCGCAGTTTCGTTACTTGACGTCATTGGCAGTCGAGAGTTTCTACCCAGATGTCAGTGCGTGTTCCGATCCCGTACAATGTATGGACGTCCGCCATTCTGGTGGCACAGTCTACGAAGCTCTGCTGGCGCAACTCCCCTCACATAGGAGATTCTGGCCGGCCCCATGCAGTTCACTCCTCTTCAGATAAAAGAGAAACTTCTGAAGGCACTTGATGATCAAAATAATGTAAGATTTTTCACCTTTTCGAAGGTGAAAACAGATCACCATTTCGTACCTATGACCGACTTCGCTCAACAACGATGTCTGGTGCGAAGGAAATGGGTGATCAGTAAACAACGTTCAGCCTTTCAGTTTCGCGATATGTTTCATATCGTACATAACTCTATGTGTCTAAGTTGTTTGAATATGAATAATTTTTCATATATCATATCTATTTTAAGTATTTGATCTCATTTAGCCGTTATAAAGTCCTGCTGAGTTCGCATTTCGGAGACGCAATCTCCCAATTTGGGCTGATTGAGTCCCAGTGAGTCTCTGTAACAGATTGTTTTTATGCGAAGCACGGTGTTAGAAGCCAGATAGTCTCTCAAATATATATTTTCTTGGATATTTGCATTAATTTTTCAAAATTGACCGTTGTATTTCCCAACTGGGACCCCATAGTGTTGTTGCACATGCACGTTTAACGAGATTCATAAAACTAGACCACGTCTGTGAACATGTGTTGCACGATGGTTTCTTGAAAAGCGTCAGTTAGCCCATTTTCACTTCATTCCAAGATACTTGATCGTATATATTATTTGGAAAACTAGGCTATATAATTAGAGATGAATAATTTAGTTCATATATTGAACATAGTACTTTTGGGGATATTTCCTGATGGCCAGATATTTACCTAATCTTTTTTTCAGGTCTGAACTTCTGATTGATGAAAGGTCTTAACACTGTACACCCACTTATTTCAAATTTCATCTTAAATTTATATCGTAAATTCAAAGGAATTTTGTAACGTTTTGTGTTAATTACATTGTGAAAATATAGTTGCTTGACATTTAAATTAAATTAGTAATTTTGCTCAGTCATAGTTTTTGTTTGATATATCTGTCTATTTTATTTACACAAGATCCATTTGCTTTTTGATCTGTTAAGGGAAAATATCTTAGAATATTAGTTAATACACACAAATATGTGTGTACACACACACACACACAGTATCAACTACAAATCTTGAAACGCTAATAGTTTACAAATTATCAATTGCTTGCTTGATTTGAAGGAAGTGTTTCTCAAAGCCTATATTAAAACATAAATCTCTCGTTTGAATGAAGCCGCTCTCCTACCCACTGTTCTTTTGGCCAGCCTAGTGCCTGTTTCACATTGTCATATCTTTCACAGATACAGATATGGCATGTTTTTATAGGTTTTATTTTTGACAAGTCTGCACATTTAGATAAGCATATGGCATGAAATATTTTGACTTTCTTTGAGATAATATGTTTTAGAACATGAAAAACAGTTTCCATATTTATTCTCCACATGCTTTCATCGAGGCTGTATGGAGGGATAGGTCACTTTGATGGGCAAAGGTATATTGTCATACACCTCACTGTCATATTTGTAGTATAACAATAGGTAAGGTTCACTGAAACATCTGGATAAGGCCAATCTGTTAAAGAGTTAATAGAATAAGAGAAAGTTCTAGGCTCATTAGTTTGTTATGAGCACAGTGTGGTCACATGTGTAGAAACTTCTCTGGCAGGATAATACCAGCAGAAATATTTGGGGTTATTGGCTATTTGCTTACTATGCTTCCCCACCCCCGATAACAAAAGTAAGTTTGGAAAGACTTCCGCCCGTAACCCCCATATTTTTTAAATCATTATATGCCTAAGAATATACTTCTATGGTTTTTTTTATAAACAGCCTATACCTAACCCTAAACCCTAACCCTACAATCTGACCCCAAACCTAACCTTAAACCCTCGAAATAATCCTAATAAATAGAATACATCTCAAGCAGGAGTTACGGGCGGAACTCTTACCGTAAGTTCACCCATTCCTGTGCAAGAGATGCAGTACAGCAGTATACCACAACATGTATAAACATGGCCTAGGTACAATGCACAATTACTCACTGCAGGAGATGTAAAAGAGATAAGTAGGGTTTTAATATGTATAGATATATTCATGGGGATTACTTCACAAACATGTAATTCATGTACTGGTTTACAAATGTACCATAATAAACTTATGACAGATAAGATAAGCTATGACCGTTTGATATACTGCCAAAGGTTATGACTATTTTGGACAATTGCAGTAGTCGGCTGAGTAATATGGTGGTGTTTTATTGGATTTTTGCACTGATTGACAAGTTGACTAAACCATCAATTTTGAGATGATGCGGGATATGTTTCACTATCCAATGCAAACAAAAGTTTATAGGTTCTTTGAATACAAGCTATTAACAAGACACAATGTTTCATCTGTGTGATTTCTAGTGTCAAATGGCTTGAGACGTGATTTGATCAATTTTTAGTTAGACATTCTTCAATACATTTATGTTCAATGCATTACCAAATCGTATTAATAAAGTTAGGATGTAAGTGACCAAGTGTCCGAGACAATCTGTAAAAGGCACATAAGAGGCCAAGAGCTCAAAAGTGCCACAATTTGTCATTTGCTTCTTTCTTTCAACTGACTGCTAGGGCTGGCTATCAATATAGATCATAGAGATCGATGATCGTTAACTAAATTTTGATCAATTATCGATAAATATTGTGGATATAACCTAGATAAAAAATGCAACCAAAAAAAGTCTGAAAGAAATGACTATATTTCACACCACTGGTAAGTGGTGACATGTTCATGCATTGGTTACTAACAAAACAAGTGTCCTGAACATAATTCAGAAGCAGCCTATGAATATAAATCTAACTTTGGAAACATTATTCTATCACAAAAGGTTCTGTACAATATTATCGGTGACACTATTTTCCTATTGATAATCAGTGATAATTGTTCCTATCGACATTATTTCCGATTATCAATCTTTTTAGCCAGCCCTACTAACTGCAGAAAGCATTCTCTTACAAAGGTATGCTGTAAAAAGCTACATACTCCCATGGGTATTACTATTTGAATTGTTGAAAAAGTAACAATTGTTGAAATATGCTGTACAGCATGAGCTATTAACTTCTGTATCACTAGTTACTTGTGGCACAATTTGTTACATAAGCCACTAGTCAGAAGTAAAAGTCTGCGCAGACTTCCTTTCCCATCTGATAATAGTCTTAAAATGATCAGAGGTACAGATAAGCTGCGTATCTGCGTAAATTACGCAAACATTTATGTGAAAACCCAATTCCTATTAAGTCTATTGAGTGCAAGTACGCTTGAAGTTTTGTAAATACTCAATAAATGTGATCTTACATGCGTACACACAAAAATGTCCAATCGTAGCTTGCGTACCAGTGGATAGATAAAATAACTGACGTATATTGAGAGGTTCTATTTTAGGACATGAACTTGACAACCTGCAGTCTTTCTTATCGTTTCTCATATTACAGATCAAAGGTAAATCACAAACACTAACATTTAAACTATATTATATTTTTAAAATTAATGGAAATTGGCACAATACCCAAATGAGTTTGATTGAGGTGAGTACAATTTATTTGGTTACTCAAAGGAAAATTAGGATACCCAATTGAGATGAACACAAGGGAGTACATAACTCAATGACCCAAAACGTTATCTGTAGCTCTGAATGATGCTTTTAACTAAGGCTGTAACGATTCACTCGCATATTCGCTATATACTGTAAATCGACAAAGTTCCCCGTCGTCAATGTTTTGTGTGATCAACATCCCAGCCAGTTCAATGTCGAGGCTCTCACCGTCAAGCATATTCTGCTTGACTGTGGATTTTACATCTGCAAGGGACTCGCATTATCACGCAACCAATCTGAAAGATCTGTTCTCCAGCGTGAGCGCTCATCTGATACTAAACTACCTGAGGGAAGTCGCTATATCATAAAATGTAACTGTGTAATGTCATTAACGAATGTATCTGCTTTTCAATCTAGTGCTATGACATTCTCTGTTCTAAAATGACAACGTAATGAATGTATGTCTTTGAAACGAAACCACTTTGTACTTACAATGTATATTAATGCAGACTTGTTCTCGTCACTATATGGCTGGAATAATGCCGATGTGACGTAAAGCCCAACTCAACTCAACTCGTGATTGTTTTGCGAGTCCTCTTCTTGTAAAACAAGTCGAATTGTTGACAATACATCGTATCGCTTCGCGTGAACGAACATACAAGAAAAGACCAAAGACATGTCAAATTTGCAATCAAACATCGCTAGAAAAGATTATTTACCTAGTCAGTTCTAACTTGTTTTTGCTAGGCATTGTCTTATATGCAAGGATTAAGATTACCATGTGTAATTGTCTCGTTTACAACGCCGGAAATAGCAATCAGCTGTGCAGTGCACACGTTCCCCTACCAGTGATTTAGTTAAAAAGTACCCGATAATATACCGAGATGAATTGTGATGTAGTGATCTTATAAATATAGTATCTGAAACTATTGTTTTATAAAGAGAAATATATTCTAGTATTCATTTTCATTGCAGGTTGTGCTCCATAAATGTAAAATATTTATAATCATAACTAAGGTTATGCGACAGTTTTTTTGGTGTATTTGGTGCATGGAACAATTTAACCTGTCACCTATGAGGTTTCGCGCGATGTCGCTATTTCCACTGTGAAAGCAATTTGTTGAAATGTGATCGTCCAGCTACACTAATTATGACTTTTGGCGAAACAAAATATATATGCGTATCCATTTACTGTCAACTACACTTTATTTCGAGACGTGAGTAGACGCAGTATGTAAGTGATTGCTATGAAGTAAGTACATTCTGTTAAGGAATATTACCGGTAGGCGAACATCTGGACTTCTTGACATTGTTTGATCACGTAATTTACATGGACTGGGAGTAATTGCTTAAGAAAATGAGAGACATCATAACGCCTGGAAAGTTTTGCGCCCTGGCGTTCATTCACAATATTAGCAAAACTATCCTGCCCTCAAAACTTTGTCGATTTACAGTATTAGCGAATATTTACAATTTTTTAAGGGGGCATGTTTTACTTGAACCCTTATGTCCTTTCCAAAGTGAGATATGCAAGAATGGAACATGTACTAGCATTGCAGTAGTGCAAGTCATGTTAGTTTGCCAAGACTGCACATGGTACTATCGACTATAACTATTACATACAAAATTTGAGTGTCATGAGATCACTGGTTATTGCTGTGACAAATCAAAACATGGGCGTTCCATATTGTACATCAACCGCTTAACTACAATATTGTATTCGTGAATAATTATTTGTATTAGTTACCCAAAATTCATGATACATATCATATTCGCCACAAAGTGTATTCGTTGCAGCCCTACTTTTAACCTAGGTAAGCATGGAAATCTATAAATCTTTAGTCACATACTAGTACTTTTGGAATTATATATCTGTCTATTATTTGAACAACCTGGGTTAAGGTAGTTCTTCAATGTACCAGATCATTTGTTAGATACTGTAGAACATGAGTCACTATTTTTCAATTTATTGTATCCCATGTCTGCAGTAGCATTTCATGATGCATATTGTCAGTTCACCAGTGTACATACACCACAAAACATGTCCTCATTTAAATGAATTCACGATTCATGATTATCATTCAACCCTTTTGCTTTGAGAATTTATTTGCCAACTGAATAATTTTAATGATGTCGATGAAGTGGTATATGCATCAAAGTCTGATATTACGTTTTAATAGTAACACATATAAATATATGTCTTCCATACGATTCAATATTTAAGAGAATACTTGGGTTTTGACGTAGTTCTGTCCTGTCACGAAAATTGACAAGTTAAGTTTTTTCATGGTATAGAGAGTAATGACCACATTGCAACCTATTGTAGGAATTCTCAGATGTTGCAAAGTAATCATTTAGACATTTTCATGTTTGAAGCAAATAGATAGGCCATTCTTCAGTATCACCAGAATTATGATATCTTTAAGACATTTTTTATGACAGTTGGTGACAATATTTTGGATAACAGATGGATGTTGTCCTTGAAAATGAATCTTTCAGAAACCTTTGCATTACTAGTGTTATTACAATTTCCAATCAAATCCAATGTTTTTCAGGTACGTGATGCGGCGGCAGTGTTGGAGGTCATCTCCATACTGGAGCAATATCCCATCACTAGGGAGGCCTTGGAGGTGAGTCAGCTGCAATGAAAGGGTATTACTAACTTACAGAAGCTGTTATCATTTACAGTTTGCAACCTTCAGTTGACTACATTCCTGTTCTTTCCTGGGAAAGTCCATGTTAGAACTGGTCGCCTGCAAAACATGCTTGTCGTAGGAGGCGACAAACAGGATCAGGTTGTCACATGTCATCAAACTGCGTAAATTGATGCTCATGATGTTGATCACTAGATTGTCTGGTCCAGACTTGATTATGAGCACACCACACCATATACTGCATATGAGGCAAGTCTTTTGCACTTAGGAATTCTGAATGGTCCTCAGAATAATCAAATTTGATGACAGATGACAAGGTGTGGGTGATATGGAGTCTTTCGTTTGAAAGGAGAAGTCGCCTTTCATTGGGTAGAAGATCTCACTTTTTGCCTCCTGACTGTTGTCTGATAGCCACTGATGTTGTTTATCAGTAAAACTTAACATGTCATTCGAAATGACTGTTCCAAGAACTATTTTTGCATGACAGAAGGCTGTTGAATAAACAAACACCTAATAGTAGATAAAACTAAGTCTAGTCAGTTGAAATAGAGATCACTGGTGATTAAATTACAGGAAAAAGACTGTCTTCGTCTGATCGTCTGACTTGCCCCAGAAATTAAATGAACAGAATGTTTAACTGTCACCAATTTGGTGTTGCACCATGTCAAAATGCAAATTGTGCAATAAATATTGTGACAAAAATACATTGTTATTACAAATGTAGGGATCATGTATGCACTGATGTGCTTTGTTCAAGGTTGTGTTATAGATAAGGGATATGAATTAGCACTGGTTTTGAAGGTATATACAAGGGTGGCCTTGTATATCGGGGTCCATGTATACACACCAATACAGTAGCTGGAAGATTGCTGAGGACAGCATTAAGCAACAAACAAACAAAACATTCCTGTTCTATTAAAGCAACCTCATTAGCTTGTTTTGAAACTAAATTGCTTTTTGAATGAAGAAATGTTTGCTATTTTTCAGCAAACAAGAATTGGAAAGCATATTAATGAACTTAGGAAGAAAACAACAAATGAGCAGTTGGCAAAGAGGGCCAAGAAGTTGGTGCGCAACTGGCAGAAACTCCTTAACCCAGATCCTGATGTTAAACAACCAGTTAATGGAGAACGGGTAGTGACCCCACCCCAGCATAGGGGCGTCGCGGCTTTACAGGGGACTGTTCGGCAAGGTGGCATCTCCTCTCCTGCACTCTCTCACAGTAACTCTATTGCAGGCAGAAAGTGTATGTCTCCAGCCCTGGTTGGGGGCAAGCCACTCACACCACAAATAGCTAAAGGGAGTCCCCTTGCTTGCAGTTCCCCTGCCCTCAGAGGAGGGAAACCTGCCACCCCAACATTACAGGCCTCTCGTCTCAGTCCAGGCCTAAAAAGCACTCCCTCCAGTGGCAAACCATCCACTCCCTCCCTACATTCTGCTCGCAGTAGCCCAGGACTGATGGGAAGGACATCTCAAGCTTTAAGTGGTGGGAGATCTACTACACCCACCCTCTCCCACCTTACCCAAGGGTCCCGAGCATCTCCAGTACTTGGCAACAACTCCCGCAGCAACAGCCCAGCACTCAAGCATGCCTCTGTAGACTCTCCACACTCTGGCCTCAACCCCAAGAACACCAATAGTCCAAAGACCCGTTCACCAAAACCAGAACGTTCGTCAGCTTCATTGGGAGGCCGTCCAGCAACCCCAAGTAGTCGTGCTCATACTCCTTGCTTTGGTTCTCGCCCTGTGACGCCAAGTAATAACGAGGACTCTAACTCGAAGTTGGCCCAACACACCATTGTCAGGAGGGCCCTATGATCATGAGAAGAATAATTCAAATTCTAAATTCAAGGGTAAAGGAAAGAGTGAATCGGACAAGGACAGTTCAGAAGTGTTCCCACGTAAATCAAATCATTCCACTGAGTTTTCAGTTTCGAATTCTAGTGATAAAGGCTCAAGAAAGGATCAAAGTGACATTTCAAAAACTAATGTTGCAAATAGAAAAAGGACACGAACCAAAAGCCCTGACAGTGTGCCTAAGAAACAGCCCAAAACTGACAATTCAAGTCTTTCAAAAGATCAGAGGGATCCTACAATAAATGGGGTTGTAGGCTTTCATAAACATCACAAGGGCGATAAAGTGGACCCTAATAGATCAAATAGTGCTACATCGTTAACTTATTCCAAGGGCTGCATGGAGTTGTCACCTGTGTCCCCAGTTGATAAGACTGATACATCTCGTCATCATATATCAAAGAAACATTTAAATTCAAAATCTGACTCTGCAAAGGCTTCAAAAACCCCAAAGGTCAAAACCACTGCTGAGCTGATTGCTGAGCTTCAAAAACGACCTGGTAGTACCAGTTATGGTAATGATATCATGAATAAACTTAACAGCAATCAGATAGAGAAAGAAGTGGATGCACCTCGCTCTGTGTTGCCACCTGGTGTAAAACGACCAAAGAAACGCATCAGTATGAGTAGTGAGAACTTGGCCCTTCTGGGGACTCCGTCATCAATGTCACTCAGCCAGACAAAGAATGAGATGGTTCAAAAATTTCTTCAATCCTCAGTCAACCAGTCATCTGATCGACTCAGTCCATATAAAGATGATAGTTTGAATAAGTATGAATCTCCAGTGAATTCCTCGCATTCATTTGGAGAAGCCCACAATGATAGCTTGGGTGACTCCATTAGTGTTGATGAAGATAATCATGCACGTTACTCGAACAGCGAGGTTAAAACTGAAAATGGTATTGAAGCCAAAATGGCAGAGAAGCAATTAAGTGTTGAAGAAATACTGAGACTGTTACCTCCTCTTGATGCAGAGAGCATTGATTGGGACAGTCATGAATATTCATTAAGTGAAGCCACAGCAGGAAATGAAAGTGAAGTGGAACGTTTGCACTCAAAGGAGTGGGACAATGTGAATGGATGTTATGATGTGGATATGGTGTGGCATGATTGGTCACAGACTTTGTCTCGATCAGCATATGATGGTACTTTATTGCACATCTTGCCCTATGTCAATATAGATGACTGATTATGTAACAGTGCTGCCTTTATATACCCTCAGCTCTTATAATTGAAACTTGTTGACTTTATTGTACTTGTTTGTGTGGATTGTCTGCCAAAGTCATGCATATCAGTTTAGGATGATTGTCTGTTAATCTGCATCTGTATCTGCAGGTTCTCATTTTGGTACATCCATGGACAAAAATAACCTTCCCTTTTGCATTCCATGTTGTTTCAAGGGAAGACAATGCATGATGCGAGTCACATCCAAACAGTATCAGTTCTGTTTGCAGCCATCTAATTTGTTTTCAAATGTGTGACAACTGTTATAAGCTATGTAAGAATATGGTCATGATGATTTGCAGATGAGAACTCAGAATTGTCACAGGTATGAAAACAGATCCTTTGTTCCTATATTATAGAATTAAGGTACACAATCTTATTAATGTAATTTATTTGATTGTAAATAATGCAATCTTTAAAAAGTAATTATAGCCAAAGACACCAGAAGCTGAAATCCTTTGATCGTCAACTTACTAACCTTTGACATACCCATTGATTTTCAGGAAAAAATGGTCATGACCGAGAAATGTGTCCCTTAAGATAATTTTTACATCTAGTTGCACAGGCACATTCAGATCAATATATTGTGAAAATGTCGCTTTTGAATAATATTCAGTCAGGATATATGCTAAACAATTAGAATAGTTTAGTTTCAGAACATAACAGTGCATTTGGGGAAAACAAATTATTATGTTGGGGTTCATGAATATTTTGGGGCATGTTTTTGTTTAATTGTGTGTGAAGTCTTCTACAAGAAAACGCAAGGCAGAATACTTGATAGATTAAGATGTTTCTTTTAATTTTTTATCAGACTGGCGGATCCGTACAACAACTAAAATTGGTCTGGCCTTAATAAAATTAGTGGCAATGTTATATACTTGTATCTGCAACATTAGTTGCTTTCTGAAGATGTCATTGAAACAAAGTAAGTGAAAGCACGATGAATTTGAAATGTTGAATTTTGCAAAACCTTTGAATCTTTTTACTAAGTACAGTGAAGCCTCGTTAATCCGGACGGTTGCGTTTCTCAGTAAATTCGTCCGGATTGCGAATAGTCCGGACTACTGAATCAAGACCCAAGTTGCTTACCTAAGAATTACAAAAACGACACGAATCTGGATAAAACAAATAAGCATTTAATGTAAAGCTTAATTCATCACATCAATAATTTTACCGAGTGACATCCGCATGTTGATCCGACGTGTCTGATCACGTCCTTCCTCAGCACAGGTGAGGTAATGTCTAACAAGCGATCTATTGTAGTATGCCTTGAATGTCTGAATTATTCCTGCATCCATCGGTTGAATATGAGACGTGGTATTTGGTTACATTTCGCAAAGTTAGCGAAGCACACTTGTGACTTGCAGCATTGTCGTAAAGCAAAATCACTTTTAGTCCACGTGACCGGATCTCTCTGTCAAAGTACATTAACCAATCACAAAACAGTTCACTTGTCATCCATGCCTTTGTATTGTGGTGTCAATCAAAGTGTAAATGTACAGTATCTTCAGTCGGGAGCTTTTTATGTCTAATTAAAACAACAACCCAGTTGGCCAGTTAATTAAGTAAACATCGCCGAGCGGTGTTGTTACGGTTCGTGAACACGACTTAGTGTCCGGACTGTGAAGCAATTTACTGTTTATTTTACTGATTGGTGACAGCTACTTACCGTCCGGTTCCGGAAACCGAATTTCCGGATTATCGAGGCAAATTATATAGGCATAGATTGGTAACAAGCTGAAATCGCCCGGGAGGCGAGACTTCCGGATTATCGGAGTCTGGACTAACGGGGCTTCACTGTATTGCGATTTCCACTGGTCATTTGCCGACTGATGATGTCTGCTTTATGTCGGCGACAGGGATTAACAGCTATTCAGACTTACAATCAATAGAATTGTGTGGATATTGTAAGAAAAATTTCTGATCTGAAATGCCATATTTTTTATATCTTTAGTCTGCAGGAATGTTTAATAAATATGATAATCTTTAAGATCTAGTTGTGATACCAAAAAAATTAGCAGTGAAACTATTTTTAATGTGTACCACTTTATCAAATATCTGCAAAGGTCTAAAGTTTTCTAATCTGGCCACCATAAGGTTGTAAGTACTGTGGTTCTGTTGACCTACTGAAAAATGTATATTTTGGCATTATGTTTGTTTTGAATTTTCACACTTTCATCAACATCATTGTATACATTGTGTTAGTTGACATATTTCCAGTGGCCAAAACATGAGATTTCATCAAGTTAGATTTCCAGAATTATCACACCTGCCAGATGCTCATCCTAATTAGTGATATATTGATCATGTTGACAAATCCCTGTATACACTGTCGGCTATACGTTGTATGAATGCATTTTGCTGTTCTTTTTTTTTTTCTATGTTTTAAGCAGAATATCAAAATGACAGTAAATATGTGAACAAGTTCACAAAGGAAAGATGAAATGCAAATAAAGTACAGCTAAGTGCAGTAATCATTTAGAGTTGGATCTATTACTTGAGGCTTAGAGAAGTAGAGACCTTGTGTTTAATTAGACCTATTATAACTGCTTGTTATATGAAAGCCCCAAAAGGTTTGTTCAAATATCTATGCAAGATGATCTATAGAACATTTATCTACCGAGATTCAGATTGGGGTAAAAGCTTTCATGTAACACAAAATGTGCAATGGGAAACTTTCATACCACAAGTGGAAAATGTGCAACATATTAATGTTCTGAAAATATGCATTTTAAATTCTTTTGTGTGCACTTAGCCATGCTAGCTGGATATTTTCAAGTTTTAAACATTTGCAAAATATTTTTGTTTTGATATGTGAGTTGAACTTGGCATATCATGTGCTGCTGTTAATTGTTCAGCAGTTTTCAATGTGAAGACAAAACACGCACCTCTCCGAGGAAGCTATAGTATATTTTGTTGATAATCATATTTGGCACATTGTTTGGAATTATTGAAGACGTGTTTGTAGTCCTGGATTAGTGTGTTAGTAGTTTGTCTGATATTACTATTTATTTCTTAATTTCAAAAGTTTCTAATATATTTTCAAAATACTTAAGTGTTTGTACATTTACATGTTTTTGCATAATTTAGATAATGCTTCACTCAAGCAATATTTTACGTGTAATTATGTTTGTTTCTTGTCACAATTTCTACGCACTTCCCTGTGATCAGAGAATTGCAGAGTGACCTAGATTATGGTAAAAAGGTAGCACTGTGCATCTAGTCATGTGACCCATCACCGGGCCTCGGTGTAAGAGTTGTGCAAGCAGTGATGAATGGAAGAGTGAACTGGTGACATCCCCTGGACACCTCTTGGTATTTTGGAGGCAGAAAAATGTACTATTTGAAGACTCATTCATATTACTATGATTGTAACTGTCCTCATCATTTCATCTATCAGCCTGTGTATAATTTGCATTAAATTTCTATAAAATTCTATAAATGTTGATTATTTTGTGGAGTGATGACACAATTTGTTTTGTTCTTGTGAAAAGCAGGAACAATAAAGGTATTATTACTGATACTCCTTGTGTGTGTTTTGTGTTGCATGTGCCCTGAACCCATGTTTCAGATTCTTTGTGTATGTCCACATGCACCTTGACAATATGCTGTGTTTTGTCTGCGCCATTCTCAGGTTTGTTTATTTGCTATGTGTTACTCTGGACTTTAGTTATTTCTAAACCATAATCTGGCTGAAATAATATACAATATCCTCTGTTCAGGATGTCAAGGCTGTCCCTTCAGTATTTGACACTGCCATGCTTCTATTTTTAGTAGCATCAGGGATGGATTTCCCATGTATTTTGTTATGCCAAGGTTCAATTTTATGATACAATATCATTACAATATTTGCATAAATCATGTAGTCCCCAAGGTGCATGGTCAACTGAAATAGACAAGACAAAATCATCAGTGGTGTTTTCCTTTATTCACAGTTTAATTAATGTATTTTTAACAAAGCATGTTATATATTACTCAAAAGAAGTTAACTTGTGTAGGATTAACTAGAGTTGTGAGGAAAAGATTGATTATATTATCATTGAACAAGTATCAATCCCTCTTTATATTTTAAATTTCACTGGAATTTACAAAGAATGAATGCAACCTGTTCACATTTGTAAGATAATTCCCAAACTGAAGACCTCTATTTCTTTAATGCAAATATTGCATGTCAGGCTGCTTTGAGGATGGTTTGATCCCAAGAGTTTCCCTGCTCATGAACTCATCCTTTACTGGGGTTTTTTGTCAAAGTGGTAAGTATATAGCACCAACATAACTTTCAGCTGCTGTTCTCTATGGAGATGACTATTTGAAGCATTTGAACCAAGTCATTTGGGATGTCCATCTCTGTTTGAAGACTCTTCATTAATGAACAACCTTAGTTTGGTCGTGGAGGTTGACTTGTGTTCAGCTACCAATGTCTGTCTGTTTTGGAGGTCTACTATCCTTTTATTTCAAAGTGTTTCCGTCTTGAAGATGAGTAGTCCACATTACCACACATTTTGACTCAAAGGGAAACAGGATTCTCCACTCTTTATATTCAAAAGGGAACCTGCCAGCTTGGATGTTTCGTTAAAAGTTTATTGGAGCAGTTACTGGTGGACTTCTTCTTTTGGTTTATGTGCAGTCGCATTTGGTGTACAGTTTGAAAAAGTTTGGTGTCAAGAATACTTACTGTGTTGACTTGCTTGTTGGTAAAGACAGTGGGTATTTCGTTTTGGCTGATCCATGTGTTATTGAGCCAAGCATAAGAGTACAAATTACTTCAGGATGAAATTCCAGCAATATTTTGTTCATGTGATGGGACTCTCTACGACTTATTATCCCAGATTTTGTACAAGAGTGATCCTTTTGGTTCAGAATGCCTTTTATCTTTCTGAGCATATTCAATCCTGATATTGAAGTTCAAGCACTTTCTTGCAGTCAGGCTGCCAAGGTCCATGTTTGTTTCATTACCAAGATGGTATTTTGTTGAAATGGAGATCTCCAGGCTTTTCATCTGAGAATGTTTGGATTCCACAGATTTCATGAACAGTCAACAAGTTTTGCTAATACTAAGGCTGGTCATTTTATCAAGTTTGGAAAATCTTTGAAAACATTTTAATCAGATTCATACTTCGATCTATATATCCTAAAAACTACATTGGCTACATGATGTATACCGACAGAAACAAGACAAACATGGCTAAATGTGTTCACTGCTTGCTGAGGAAAATTTGATGAATATTAATAATTGGTTTCTGCATAATATTCAAGCAACATGGCGAAATAGTTGAGTCAAGATACCCATTTTGGACCATGTAGAGAATCCATTTGGTCTCCAATAACAACCATCATGAGTTGCTGGGGATCTATTATAGCAGCTTCCAACCTGGGATCCCAACTGGGAATAAAGGTCAGAGATTGCTATGTGTTTGTGGGTGGAGAACTAATGCCATTACATCATCAGTGGTTGATATGGGCTGTATACTAGTACATGTATTACAATCCATACCCTGTCAAAAGGTTTGAACCATGAATTCATCAAATTGTGGCTGTAGAAAATGTCCAGATAACACAAAATTTAGTATGGTGGTTTATGATGCTGTATATTTTTGTCAGGCCAAAGTTGAGCAACAATATAATTCCTCAAAGAAATCATACATCTGCAAAGAAAAGTCCTTTTAAATTAAAAAAATGTTATGACACATTTCAACATCCAATGGCATAGGTTTTGTGGAGTAAGGGTTGATAGTAACCATCACCTCTAATATTGAATGGGGATCAGGTGTCCCAGTCATCTTTGGTGCAAGGGTCCTTTAAAGGATTGAGTCACAGTTTTCCCCTCATTACATCTTAGTAGGTTTGTCAGCGATGGTGGTGCTTTCCACCAAATATGTACAGGTGAATGTCAAAGAATGCACCACTTCAGTTTTTGTCTTTCCCATCAAGCTAACAAACCATGATTGTAGTACTATTCAACATAATAAGATTAGTGCAGGAGATCAAGGGGTTTACCTCCCCAGCACCTGGTTCATCACCCAGAAATCATAGACTCTCAACTCAATCTTTAACCACTCTGCTATGTAAACACACCCTCGCCCTATCATTGTATTCTGCTCTTTGATCTCACTGCATTGTTTGTACATACTTAATTATACTTCCTTCTTCCCTTGTATATACTCAGTTTACATATCTGGCTTCCTGTACATCTATATATATACCGTACTGTTCACTATCACCATTATCCACCTGAAGAAGGGGCAAGAACTAGCCCAGAAACATTGTGAAAAATAAATCAAGAAGTTGTTATCCATAACAAATTCAGAGTGCAGTGGTGTAGTTTGGATATCCAATGAATTGTGAAGCAAATAGGGGTAACATTAGTTATATTTAGCAAAGTACGACTTTTGTAAGAATACATTCACCTTCCCACAATCAAATTTCTTGTGACTATTTGACATCCAAGTTTAGTAGGCCCAACTTCATAAATTGATAACAGTTAAAATTCTGATCTGTGTATTCTTATTAATGTATATTTATTTGTGGTGTGCATTTTCACCCAGATTTTCCATTAATAATGTTTGAGGAAAAGAGAAATAACAAGCATACTAATATTAAAAATAATTTATTAAATTAGGATATTATGTACATAACAAAACTATAAAACATTTAAAAACAAATCTACATATGTCTGGCCTGTGAGTCATGGAGGAAATCGCTGACATTCGTTCAACATGTAAGAACCATCTTAAAACTTAAACATGCTTTATCCATTGTGGCAGTTCAAAAACAAACATTCATCAGTGATTTAAACATTCCTATTTTTCAGATGTGCAACAATACAGAAATGTGACCAGCAATTAATATTTACTTACACAATAACTTCAATACAATTCAGTGGCCTTTCAAAACACCTTTCCATTATTTGAGAGGGCTGTTAATATCATGGGCCTTCTAGAGTAACAGGAAGGTTTGGATTGCCTGCTGGATAACATTTCAGATATCAGATGTACTGTATCATGAGTAATTCAGATACATTGTGAAATTACCATCTGTATAATTTTGTGAAAGAAGTGACTTCATCTGCCTGAATGATTGAACACACTAAGACACTAAGTACCAATGCACCTAAGATCTGAATAGAAAAATATCACAGTCAAGGAAAATATACAATTAAAAACTTTTCTCCCACACTTCATCCATATCATTCACATGCACACACCTCCGACAAGAGTGAGAATATCAGTTTATGTCAAAAGTCCAAGAACCACAACACTTTTATTCAACTAGCACACCAACTTCTAGGCACTATTTTGAACAGTGTTTGCGTCCAAGCATGAGAAGTTTTGGAAGCCCATAGGGTATATTTGGACATTGGCCTTTTTTCAGAACCGCCACACAATTATTTATTGTTACTTTGACAAAGACTTCTAAAAATATGCTGGATATATGTTCTTGATACAGTCTACCCAGTATTGAAATGATTCTATTCTCTTAGATAATATCCTATGACAAAATATCTATGCAATCAAAATACAAAATGTATTGTGCTAATTAAAAACATTAACTTAAATAGATACCACAATTATATTTGAGTATAAGAAATATATTTTCCTAATCTAAATAATTTATTTATTGAACCTAATAAAAGCCATTACTATAACAGCTTTGGCATTTGCCTAAGTTTATCTATGTCTAGAATATTGTCTGTTGTTTCTGTTGTATTGAACACTTGGAATTCACTTGTGTCGGAGTTAGGGTATCTATGCTGGTTCAAGGGCTCCTCATAGCGCCTGCAATGATTGGATAATCCTGGTGAGGAATCCTCTTCTCTGTGGACTGTATGTTGAGGGGATACATGACGCTTTATTGGAGATGTTGGATAATGCCTTCTTGGATCCCGAGGTGATGGCGAGTAGGCGACAAAGTCTTTCTTGATAGGACTCTTTGACCCATTACTGCTACTGGAATACCCTGAGTAGTTGTCAACTCTGTTTGTCCTTTCACACAATGGACTTCGTACATCTGTGCTGTGGTCCCTTGAGTGGCCTGCTAGGGAAGCTACATTGTAACCCCTTAATCGATCTGGAGAAGCTGCCATACTGTAGTCTACTTTTAACTGAAGCGTTTCATCTGTTACAGTTTTATCTGTTAAAGCTGTACCATTAGTGGAGTTCAACAAACCATATTTCTCTAAATACTTCTGTGTTCCCATGGTGATGTTGTTAGAAGACATACCATATTGTGACACATCTGGCGACATAGTGGTGTCTGACATGAGGACTCTTCGCAGCAGTGCAGTCTGGGATACCTGTTTGGGGAGGTTGAGGGAGTTCTTTCTCATTTTGCCTAGTTGTGTGAGCTGCTCATCATTCAGGTACTTTAGGGCCATTGCATTGATCTCCATGGATGTGTCCGAGTCAGATTCCAGCATCATGGACAGATAGTTGATGCGAGGGATAAAGGTTGTGTCAGCTCCATTTCTCAACCTGGGAACAAATCAGTGATTGGTAATATTTGTGAAAATTGTGAAACTCAGGGATTTACCTGAGTCCTGTATCTGAGGGTCCCTGGGACTCATACTCTTAATTTTCAGGGGTCCTTGACAACAAAATGGGCATCCTAGACACTTAAATATTATTATTAATACTGTTATTGTATTGAGTATCATCATCATCACATTGTTACAGTAATTAAATTGCAAATAATACCATAACCCAGCTAGAAGCAAACTCAGTATTAACTTATTGTCACATCATGGGAATTTTTACAAAAAGTATTTGGACTTTTTCTGAGTCCCTGTGGACGCGCTAATAAATTTCGTTGTGTCCATTGTCAAATTTTGTGCATATAGGATGCAGGAATTTGCGTCCTGTAAATCCCTGTTTAAACTCAAGATGTTTTGAAGTACTTGCAAAATTAGGGGCAGCCCCAACAGTGCCAATTGTCAAAAACATTCATATGTTTCTTTTCAAAAACATTTCTTACAGGACTTGACATTTATTGGAACAACTTCATAAGATGACCTCAGTAGACCTGTCCATCTGTGCATGGTGACAGCAGACCAAGAATAATTTTTGGACACACCTGGAACTTGGCATGTAGATTCTACAAACTCAGTTGTTGTAATCTGAGATTTACTTACTGTAGGTTAGACAGAAGTGCACGTGCAGGTCCGGCAGACCCAGAGGCTTTGATACTGGGTGTGACAGGGAGGCCAGGCAGGGTTGTGTCCCCTTGAGTCGATTCTGGCAGCTTCATCTGCAGATCTGTTGTCTCATTGGTGAACTCAGTCACATCACTGTGCTTACCCAACAGCTGTCTAATATTACCCTGGAGGAGGGAGGGAGAAATAGTTAGTCAGTGCTTTACAAATATCTCCATTAAACCCAAAAGGTACAATTTGATATTCTTACAGACATATCCAGCAATACACTGAGTTTATAAATCAAAGCAAAATATAATAATGATCAGTATGAGGACACATTACTGGGGTAATATTCCTACCATGTAACATTCTACTATGAAATTGCCTTAGGATTGGTCAGAGTTATCAAATCCAAGAAAACGCCTCTGACTGGAACAGAAGGTATCATTCCTAGAATAATAGTACTTCTTTTCCAGTTCAAGTCAGCAGGCATTTTCAAATAACTTTATGTACAGCTGTAGGTAAAAAAACTCCCAAGATTCGGTTTCTTCAGTTTTAATGGCTATGTGGAAATACATTTTGTGAAGGAAACACAGTAGAAATCTATGAAGAAGAAGTATTTCAAATTTTGAGGACAAATTTTGGAATTTGGTGATTTTTCTGCATATCTTAAGTGTTATAATGAGCAATATCAAATCAAGTTAGTGATGTGAGGAGTAGAATGAAAGCTTCACAAGGCTTGCTTAGTTTTCCTTAGAGGTGTCCACATCATGTTAGCTTATTGACCTGCTGTGCTACATGCTTTCAATGTCTGTCATATGTTGGAGTGAAGTATTATGGCATAAACAAACTAGTCAAGCATATGCAGCGCCATATTTTGTAAAAAATCTATGTGTTGTGATTATATAATTTAGATCAACAGCTGCTCCACTAAATATATTTATGAAAACCAAAGAGTTCACGTTAGTTTTCAAAAGTTGAATGAAGACGGACATACTTTGTTCACAATGTAGAGCTAGGTAACCTATAGATTAAAAACACACTTAATTAAGTATCAGAGGCCTCATGCAGTGTGTTAGGTTCCATAATTTAGCATAGTTAAATCTACTGATCCTAGCTCTACATTGAAAACATGGAACACATATCTCCTAATTAACTCCTAAAACGCTAAGCCATTGGATTTTCTCCAGGATCTAATACACCCACAGACGTAATGAGATTAAAAGAACCCAGGAAAAGCCTTATACTATTGTTAATTTAAGGAGCAATAATGCTAATTGCAATTGCTAAGGATTATCATTTACTTATGTTTTTCTTTACATAATAACATTAAGATTTAACTTTACACAGTATTTACTATAATATTTTATGCATGTATTTGCAGGAAGGTTCTCATTTGTGAAACACATTGAACATAGAGGTCTTACTTTTCATATAATTTATAAAAGATTCTGTTATATATAATAATAATTTGCTTGTCAATATTAACAGCACACGTGTATGCACATCTGAACTTGTATTAGAATGTACAAAGTACTAAATACATATTTCCATGATCTTACCAGCAAGTGTTCATAGTAAGCTTCATCCAAAACTTCACTTTCTCCTTCCTCCCCCCGGGAAGACGATTCCTGTGAAATGAAAATGCATATGTTTCAAATTCTTCCAAACGTGGACAGCAATTCTTTGCTTGCTTCTTCTGTTATGTGAAATAAGACTATTTTGTAGTCCTGGTACTTCTGCACAAGGAACATCTGTTATCTCCTGTAAATGGTTTTTACTGCAACATTGTGGGTACTCTTCTACCAACACTAAGAAAGTATTCAGACATCAAGGTGAGAGGAGACTGTTTTGAGGCTCACCTTGCTATTGCCACACATGCTGGCACTGATGGGGCTCGTCTGATAGCTGCCATCAAGAGACCCGGAATCCTTTGGTGAACGACTGGAAATAACAACAGTGTTAATAAGGATAAATATGGAAGTAAATGTTAACCCATAGAAAAAGTGATCATATTAAGCCATCAGAAGGGATAGGCACAAGGATCACGGTCTTCATAAAAGGTATATGAATAGATGTGAATAATGGCCCCTTCATCGTAAAATATGATTCATGCCAACTGGTTTCGAACTCATTTTAGAGTGTAAAATTTCAGTTCTCTAAATTAAGTAGTTTTTGAGAAAATGTGTCCTCATTGAGAAGCGGAGGGACAGACGTTTCATGTTGGAGGATAATTAACCTTACACACAGGCAAACAAACATTCACCTTTTCCAAAGAAGTAGCCAACAACTACACTTGTACAATACATCAAAACTTAATGTAAAAAATCACTAACAGCAACAGATACTATTACAACTATGAGGTGAATCATAGATAAGGGAATGAGTTGGGATTAACAGTATTTATACATGTCGGGTAAAATGTGAAGTGAGACCAAAATGATTATTTCCAACTTTGCTGCAACCTGTGGTGCAGAAAAACAAAGGTTAAGATTGAACCCACAATAACAGTATCCAGACTTTATTATGGAACCTAACTTTTCACAGTAAATTGTGATAGACACAGTTGCCAACCTCAGATAAGAAAGAGCTTTATAAGAGTAGCATTCTATTGCATGACTGTTGATACTACTACACACCTGGTAGGTGACGACTGGTAGCTTGGCATGTCCAGTATGAGCTCTGACTGGACACTATCAACTGTCTGATTGTGTAGATTGATGTTGTCCACCACAGCTGTCAAGTCCCCCTGTGTGATGTCATGCTGGTCGTTGTCATCTCTGCTGTGTGCTGTTGAGGGGTAGCGCTCCCTTGTGCCGAATCTCCACAGGTGTTTGCGTTGAGCTGCTGGGCTGGGATTCAGGTTCTTGTTGATGGTGGACCATTGATGAAGACTGTGGTGATTTGGCCTTTACAGGGCTGGTCTGGAGAGACACTGATTGGACATCAGGACGAATAGTAGTTTCTCCAGGGCTTGGGAAGAACAGCGTTGTGTTGACAGCTGTTTCACACGTTTCTCTTGTACTTGGTGACACTCCAATCCCAGATTCTGTTTGAACTGTACGTGGTGTTGGAGTAGTCTGTGCGGGGGACTGTTGTTTAAGGAGCTGTTGCATCTGAGTTTGTAGTTGCTGAAGTTGAGCATTCTGGGCCAAGATCAACTGATAGATCTCAGGGGGCACCTGTTCCCAGTTTATAGTGTCTAGCCCAGAAGGGAGATTAGAGTTGGTCTTGTCTGGAGTGTTGGGACTGCCTGTTTTAGGAGATGGGTTGGATCTGTCTGGTGTGACACTCAGACCACTGTCATCACTAGATTTACCACTACAAGTGCTTTCTGTGTGAACTCGACTAGATGAATAGGAAGTCTGGAGCTGAGGTATATAGCCAAGCAGATTTTGCTGAGAAGGATACCCTGTCACTTGTGGTTGGTGGTGAGCTATATGCCCTCCCTGGTGAGGGTTAGGAGTAAAAGCACTATTGAGTTGTGTGTACTGAGTGGGTACACTGGAAGCCGAGGTAGGTGCTGAGAGTGAAGCAGACGGAAGCTGAGTTGGCTGGGGCCGTTGCCCCTGGGGTACAGGCCCACTCTGATGTGGTAAGTGAGGCCCAAAAGATGGAATGCTAGATTGCTGGGCAGTAGGTAGTTGTGGCTTGTGAGAGGGCAACTGTACATGTGGGAGGGTAAGAGCACTATTTGACTTGTGAGGAGTTATAACAGAATGCTGGTGAGCATTTCCATTCAATTGTCTCGGTTGATTGTATGGGTAACAGTTCTGGTTAATGTTCACATCCTGTACATTTTGGTTAATTGCATTCTGAACATGCTGAATCATTCTTGGATCAACGAAACCCTGTTTGCTAAAATGCCTATTCTGGTCACCTTGATAATTTTCACATCTACTTGGCACAGAATTCTGCTGCTTATGTTCATTTTGTATTTGGGGACCCTGATTGTATTGTCCATGCATTACATCATCCATATTAACACTGTCACCGCCATTCACTGTTCCAGGACCCTGAGAAGGTGGAATTGAGCTGGGCTGTGACATTTCGACATGCCTGGTAAATGCAACATGTTTGTGTGGTGGAGGCATCCCACTGTGTGACATGTCTGGATGGCTCCTGGGAGTGGAGAGATCAGCCTCATCACTATTTAGTCTTGGTGTCACAGGAGGACTGAATGTCATATGCCGTACCAAATCCTGTGGCACTTGTGAGTGCTTCTTCTGGGCCTGACCTTGAGATTTACCAACTTGTAATCTAACAGTGGATGGCATACTTTGTTGAGGAGAATCAGGAAAATACAGCGAAACCTCTGGTACCATTGGTTGAGCTGAAAACATCTGAAATTGTAAATGCCGTTACTGTTAATTTTGACTTCAAAAGTCACATGACCAAGCTGGTGATGTTCACTCTCTCCATTTTGTTACAATGCTTTGGCTCACATGAGCAGATTGGGTGAGGATCCCAATCCAGTATTCTATGTTTACTTGTAGAACAGATTTTCATGTAGATGTTTAATGTTGAAAAATATCCTAAATTTACTAATACTGATAGATACGATATTTAAAAAGCCTGAAGAGATAATTCAAGCCACAAATTGTTTTCTTCTGTTAGTAACAGAAAGTTTCCACTATAACTCTGGACAAAGGAGAGAGAAGCGAGCTGTATGATCAGGATAAGGATAAATAATGGTTTTATACACTGTATTAAAAATATATATATATTGATTGAAGTCATTGCACTCATGCCAAAATCCTAATGAAAAGAACCAAAGACTTAGTGGGTCTTAGGACTGAAATGGCAAAACTGAAACTCAGAGACCCAAGGACATCCCTATGTCTTGAACACCTCCTTGGCTTACCCTGGCTTGATGTGGAGCTGGCATTGATCTGGGTACAATATCCTCTGAACCTGCACCACGCTCTTGTTCCTGGGTCTGGGGACACACCTCACTCCTGATTCAACATAAATATTCACATGCTTCACGTCTATAGTGGTGTGTTCTTTTTCACTCACACACACACACACACATGGCAACCCTACTCATTTTCCTTACAATATAAATATAATAAGAATGTAATAATTGATATGGTGAAAAAGTTCTTAAGAAATACATCTTCATGATTGACCGTATGTAAACAAAAAACAAACAAAAACATTTTAACTTCAAACCCAACTCTGAGACACAGTCTTTACTTTTTTGTTACATTACAAGATATCTAGTCATGATTATTTTCCTTGTGTGTTCACTTGAATGAAATGAACACAAAAGTACAACCAAGAACTGTTCTAAATGTTCAATACAGAGATACATAACTCCCACTCACATTGACTGTTTAGTGTGGGTGAGGGCAGCATCAAAAACCTCCCGCTTCTTCCCCTGCTGGACACTGGTCAGTTCACACTCTAAAAGTCCATTCTGTAGACTCACAGCACCCTAGAAAGCAACATACTGACCATCAATCTCTTGTCCACAGTGCTATCTGGCCAAACCTTTGTTGTACCAAATTACTTAACACTTATTTGCTGGTGCAAGTGAATGTGTAGTTTGGGGTTCACAATGGAAACAATCATTTGATCATGAAAGAAGATAAAGTCATGTTATGCTATTAGTAACTGATAATGAGTAAATCTTAAGTCATGTATGTTGTTTAATCCCACATTTAGTTACATTTCAGCTACACAATGCAACCTGTAAATTTGGACCTGCCAATCCAGTGATCAATAATCCACTTTGTCAGGGCACCATGACACACAATACACCTAGTCAGCAAGTCTGATCAACTTGGCAGTCTCTTCAACCAACACAGGGGCAGCACAAGAAACCTCCCGCTCTACCATTGATGAAAGAAATATCTTACTGTGTTGAGGTTTGTTGCTTCATATCCACCATACAGGTCAAAGTTGAGCTTGTTGTTTCCAGTGTTGGTGTTGCACTCATAGAATTCTGGGCGAGAATGGAGGGGGCTGTACAGTACCACCAAGAACCCTTCCGGTGGACTACACACCCTGTAAAGTAAATTGAAAGTATGAAACTGTTCCAGTTTATATTAACTACTTCATTTGTCCAGGTTATGCTTCAGAAAATGTAGTTAATAAATGCTGCTAACTCTAAAAAAACCCAAAATACATGGGTGATTAACCATCTGCAGAATGAGATGCAAGAAAAATATCCCCATAGAAAAAGGAAGAGCAACAAATTTCTTCATATTGTAATTGTAATCTATATTCATCTGAGAATGACACATTGAGACCAGCTGGGACACAAACATGCCATGTAACCCACCTGTCTTGGAGGGCCTTGTTATGGAGGTAGCGAATACAGCTAGCCCACACGAACGGGTGGTGAACCATTGCTACTCCTGACACCCAGCTGAAAATTAAACCACAGAACAATATATTTTATAGACCAGCAGGTGTTTTCTTAAATGGAACTAAACCAGTTTTCATGAACGAATTATTGGTATGTTCAAATGAAATAGTATTTTACACTTTTTATTTCCTAAAACGCACTTAAAAAGATGTGTTCTGTCAGCGTTAGAGTTCTCCATTTCTTTCTGGCATAGTGGAGAAAATAACGCCACCTTGGCACATGCACGATGTTTGTCCCTGCAATGAGCTGGGTGTGCCAAGAACACATGAAAAACTTGTGACAACACTCTAACGACTGCACGACCGCTCTGTGACACACCCGAATACATGAACACAGCGCGACCAGGCACACCCACAACGTGGACAGTTCGTGAATAATGCATGGTATGGTGTGTCAGAGCGTGTGGTGGATTCCCATGGCAAGCATTGACACACACTGTCGCCAGTGTTCGCAATGAGTGGCAAGAACATTGAAGCGTGCCAAATTTTTGAAAATTTAAAAATATTCTCTTTACAACATGGCACGCACACCAACACCCTTCACACACTCCTCACTCGTTCCCAAAGAATTTCATCATTGGCACACAACTCTGGGCACGAAAATCATGCAAGTGTCAGGGTGGCATAAGACTGTTCTACAAGGCTGCCAGTCATTGCTCAGAGAAGTGTAACATGTGTAACTATAAAATTGACTTACATGCCAACAACAGGAAGATTAAGCACTTTGGGATCCGATTCGAGGACCAGCAACAGTTTCCGTGTGTGGTCCATTGTTAGGTAGCTGGCATAATGAAATATAAACCATCAATAGCAGACCAACAACATTCACTGATTGTATAGACAAGAAATACATAACAGCTTATCAATATTTTGATCAGCACAAAAATAACAGCTTACCAATATTTTGATCAGCACAAAACATACCTTCCTCGTTAAATCATGAGACACTTTGTCATCCATTTTGGTTTGTGAACATATGCTCACCCTCGCAAGAACAAATGGATCAGGCTGTAAGGCTTGGTGGTTTGGTTGATTGCATGTTATCACCTGCATGCTCATAATATCAACCACTAGTTTGTCTTGATAATTAACAAGCTGCAAACATGCAACTGGAATACTGCTGTGTGCAGCATTAAACATAAAAAAACAAATTTCTTCACACACAAGAAAAGAACATAAATCTAGAATATTGTCATACAATTCTTACACCAAAATCCCACAGTATGTACCAGTCTGTCAAAAGTACAGAACTACAAACATCAAGATGATGGAAGAAAGGTACATCTGGCTTACCCACTCTTGGGAGTCCCCTGCACATGGCTGATACTCCTCGGACCGGCAAGGTTTTTAGAAAGTGCTGTAGGTATAATTGGAACTGGTTGTATAGGAGATGCCTTGATGACTGTGTTTAATGTGACAACATCGAAGTCAAGGTGAGCAATGGACTGGTCCCCACGACTGTGGAAATTACACCAGCCTTTGGTGAGTAGAAAGTTACATACATCCACAGCCTCCCTGCTCTCACAGCGATGTTTTAATAACTGAAAAACAAACAGCTACACAGTTTGATCATGCTTCCTGTTAGCAAACAGATGTATTCATGGAAGAAGAAATACTGAATGTTTTAGAATGCACCGTGTGAAATGGACAAGGACTTAATTTGGTACAACAATGTTAATCCTTGAATGATCTGTCTCCTTTTAGTGCAATACCATAACAACAGTAAGACCAATTTTCTTAAAGGAAACCTGGTGTCCCGGTTGGAGATAGTGTCCCCTTCTATATGTTGACCCCCAATGTACATACCTTGAGTGCATTAGTGTAGTCTTCCACTGAACTGCCACTTCTAGAACTGCCATTGACACTCATCTGTCATGAAAAACAGAATAAGTAATAACGAAAACCAACATATTATAAAATTACATAAGAACATCTCTAAATTATGATTAGTAGATCAAGACCATACCATGAACACTCAACTGAATATAAATTATCTGTAAATATTTACATGTACTGACTGTACATGTCTACAAAGGGCATTACTCTACAACACTGATTCATTAATCCTTAAATGTGCTAATCCAGATGATCTCAATGTGAATGGTACTATTTCACTGCTTACCAGTACTGGGATCATCACATCACCAGGTGCCAGGTTCTTCAAGGTGGAAGCACTGCTAGGTCTATTATCTAATCGGTCGATGCTGAACATCATACCATCTCCATCTATGAAATACATTCACATATATTACGTACTGGTAACCATACTATTCTTCATTGCAGAGTTCCCAAGAGTACAACAATGTCAAAAAGCAAAGATAGTATGAAACCCTAAAGATATCCTTTTGGAAAACACAAGACAAAAAACATGTATCAGTCTTCAGGTTATATCTGGTAGATATCTAGATTGTTTGAAATATCAAAAACTCAAAGTAAATTAACTGTATCTATTTTAACTCTGACAAGCTTTGTATACAATGCTAAAATGCAGGCACCTACCATCGTCAACAATGAGGCTTCCAATCAGGACACAGTCACGAGCCTGACCACAGCTCATACACTGACGGTGAGCAATTCGCAACACTTTTTCTGATAGACATATCCGAGGTTTCCTACAAATACAGAAAACATGCATATATATTTCCACTGTACATGTTCTCAGGCAAGATGTGTCTTTTTGTTTTCAGCTTAGTATCTTAAAGTTACATATTTATACCCCCGCTACGAAGTAACGGGGGTATATAGCGTTCATTCTGTCCGTCCGTCCTTCCGTCCCAAAACTTTGTCCGGAGCATATCTCTTAAAGTTTACATGCTAGGTTCACCAAACTTCACACACATGTTAATCATTACCAATTGATGTGCCTTTTGCTATTTCAAAGGTTTTTCAGAATTTTGTTTTTTTGCTGTTTCCATGGAAACATAACTTAGTGCCAAATGTGTGATGGTTTTGTCCGGAGCATATCTCTTAAAGTTTACATGCTAGGTTCATGCTAGGTACATGCAAAATGTGTTTGATGGTTACCTGACCACGGCATATCATCGAAACTATACATGCTAGGTTCACCAAACTTAATACACAAGTTAATCATGACCCACAGATATGCCATGTGCTAAAAAATAGCAATCTTCATCTACGTCCACTTCATTGTGTGCAACATGAGACAGTCAAGTTCAATCGTATGTCAGGTTTCAATGGAAACACAAAAGAATTTAGTTTCCATAAATTATTACCGTAATCAGTACATGCCAAAACTATTATCTAACATGTATATAAAGTTTAGTAGAGTCAAAGAGAAAGTCTTGTGAGCTGCTGATCCTTGTCACATTATATATATCAATATCAGTCATTTCCATGTCCCAAAGTGGGAAGCGGGGGTATGTGAGCTGTGCTCACTTCTACACTTGTTAGAGAAGGGCTGCTATTTCAACTGTCAAGTATATGACAGGGAAACTATGTCCTGTAGAGTAACCATACATAAGCAACAAATAATTTCAATCAAGAGAAAACATTACCATTACTATATTACTACAAATACTTGACTTGGGATTCAAAATAGAGACCACATGCTCCATATTTAATTGTTTAACCTATTTTACTTATATTATAACCTATGTTATGTTTTGGCATTACACTTTCTCAGTCAAATACAGATTGTAGTATGTTTGGGGGCTGAGATCCATCTGGGATTCAAGCCCATACTCTGAGATTGAGGCACCTAATTGCCAGCCCACACCAATCCACAAAATGAAGTCTGACAACTGATAGTTTTGGTCATGTACTTTGTGAAACCCTCTGACAAGTTTGTGGCATTCTGACATGATAGATGCCTTCTATTACAGCATGAACATTCTATCAGCCACATAATGTTATATGAACCAACAATTCAGTGATTACATGACAGTGATTGGAGTTAATGAGGAGTCTCTCACACTAACAGCTGTTCATCCATCACATATACCATGTATACAGTGATATATATCAAACGGGGTCATGAAATAAGTGTCATGATCAGTTCATCAGCATTGAAAAACTTGCAGAAATGGTTTTCAGATTCTAACCTCACATAAACACTGAAAATTTTCATTTTCCACAATAACACCACTGTCTATACCAGCAGTTTATTATATTGTGACCAACTGTGGGGCAACACCCATAATTGATCAAGTTATTCTAAAAGTTAATTGTGTATGAGACTAGGAACATTTTAAGCTGATTGTCATGTTACACCTACAGTCCGTTTGTGACAAAATGATACCGATGAATTGCAATCTAACACAAAAACAAATAGAAAGAATCAAACCAACAAGGACTGCAATAAAAACAACAGACCAACTCCAAATTGCATAATTTTTGTCACGAAAATAAAAAAGTTGTTTAAGAATCTGTCATCATTTATTTGAGCGTTTTCCAAGTTTGTTACAAGGGTGCATTGGCAACTAAAGGAACAGCGCGAAAAGCGAGATGCACGTGCATTAGTGACGTTAGAAACGTGATTACTGCTGATTGACAAAGTAAGAGAAAATGAAAGTCTATAATTTACAAAATCTATGATTTCTTCAAGGATGAAAATGACAGGGGTGACCCAAGTATGCAATTACTAAGTACATACAGCGCACTGCCTGTGCAGCTGGGGCACAGCTCGCCAGCTCCAAAAATTTGTTAAGAACCCGTTAACACATGTGCATCTCGCTTTTTGCGCTGTTCCTTTAGTTGCCAATGCGCGCCCTTGTAACAAACTTGGAAATTTTAATATAAATTGTATATTTATATACTTATCCTATCTCACGATTTGCACCTCTCTCTCTTGCTTCGACTTTTAGTGGAACGACTGTAAACTTTTTTCCATAGGCCTCCTTGTCCATTCGCCCGTGCACTCCATGCTGCTCTCCTTAATTAGCTTCATAGTTCCTAATAAAGCTTGCAGCATGCTCCACTAATTGCCCACGCGTGACTACCTTGAATGATCATTCTCATCTTGGAGCCAACGTTGTAATCTGAGTAGTGGGGAGGCCGGGCGGGCATCCATCGCGTGAGATAGGATAAGTATATAAATATATACAATTTATATTAAATTTTTTAAACTTATCCTATCTCACGACTTGCACTTATCCCAGGGTTGGACGGCGGGCCGCAGATTACCCTTCTACTGGACAGTGCGAACAGCTGGTCTTGGAGCTGTGTGGACTGATGACAACCGTAGATAGCGATGTACAAGGAAGGCCTGTTATGCATGCACGCAACTCCTATGCTTGTAGTGGGTTCTCCGGAACCCCTTGGCTTACTAAGCACAACGACTCCCAGGGAGATGGGTGCTCCTGAGCGATGTGGTGTTCGGCCATAACCTTGTACAAGACAAGGGACGCAACTCGGCAAGTAAGCCTCGCCACGATTTACAAGGTACCCCCATAATTAAAGTCTTGCGACTAGAATCGGGCCAGCCCCTGCTTCAAGAAGGCCCCCCAGACACCGACCGCGGCGGGTGAAAGAGAAACACAACTCGACATCTCCAAGGTTTAACGTTCAGTTCCGGGCAGCATCAAATTGACCCTCACTCCTTTGCCTAAGCTTAGTCAAAGTATGTGCCCGGCAACTTTGGAGGCAGAACGCAACGAAATCCACTGGAATTCGGGAGTGTCACACTTCACTGACGCAATTGCTCCGTGGAGTAGAGGTCAGTAAGCGTGAATGTCGAACGCCTCTGCATCGTCATACTGATTGTGCCTCAGGTCCGTAGGGCCACGCTAGGTGGCCGTATTCCGATGCCTTGGTATGGAGGCCAAGCGAAGTAGTTCTTAAACCCATATAATGAGAACAAAAGGTTGAGAGCCAGTTCAACTTTTATTCAGTATATACAGGGAAGTAGTAACGCGAATGCGGAACCATCACTCATCTGCGTTGTTGGGCCGATGTAAGCTGCTGAGCCAGTACAAGTGGTCCGAACTGGTGTAGTCCCTGGACATCCGTGACAGACAGGTCTCGCAGGTAATGTGAACAGAAGACTGTGTCAGAACGCCAGAAGCAACCTTCCATGATAGCGGTCAAGGAGCAGTTGCTATGGAGGGCCATCATCGAGGCTAGTGCACAAGTCTCATGAAGATTGGAAGCGGCTGGAGGAGGCAACCCTGCAAAAGTGTAGACTCGCAGGATCATGGCACGCATCCAGAAGGCTGGGAAACCTCAGTTCTTAAAGCGTTCGACAAGGGTATGAAGAAGCGCTTCCATAGCCGTCGACGATCCTTTGAGGCAGCAAGGTAAACGTGTAGAGCCCTAACAGGGCAGAGTGTCAAATCTTCATTATCATCAGGCCCAAGAATGGTGGACAACGGGGGAATGGTAAACATCCGGTCTGGTTGCCCTGGCAGTTGGTTTTTCGCAATGAAGTCCCAGCGGAGACCCAGGAAAGCCTTGCCATGCTTCTTCCGCTCGAACCGCACCCGATAGACATCAAACGCATGCAGTTCAGATATACGAGCAGCGGTAGCCAAAGCTACCAGGAAGAATGTCTTGAATGTCACTTGTTCGAAGTCCTTGTCTTCTAAAGGTTCATAATCTGTAAAAATCATATGACGAAGAACGACGGACAGATCCCAGGCCGGAGGTCTGAACTTCCTGGACTGGTCAGAGAGTCTAGAGGAGCGTAGTAGACTCTGCAACTCGGGAACAGTGGAAATCTTCATGCCCGTGGTGGTAGCCAAAACCGAGTTAATGGCGGTTAAGTAGGTAGCTATCGTAGTACCCTTGAGTTTCTTAGTAGTGCGGAGATGCTGGAGAAACTCAGCAACGACCTGAGCCGAGGTGGAAGTGGGAGATGCAATTCCCCTAAGCTTGCAATCGTCTTCAAACTTCTTCCATTTGTTGTTGTACAAGGAACGGGTCAAAGTACGATGCGCTGAAGTGATAGCTTTGGCTACTCGGCGAGAGTAGCCCTTAGCTATGAGAGACCTCTGAAAATGCGCCAAACGTGTAGATTGAGGGTCTGAGGTGACCTGTGGCGCAGTTCTGAGTGAGGCTGAAGAAGTAGGTCGTCCCGGTTGGGAAGCGGTCCTGGGTTTGGCTCTGCCAGGCTTCTTAGGTTGACGAACCACCTTCTCCCTGGCCAGAAGGGTCCCACCAAAAGCAGTAGTATGTTGCTGGCGGCCAATAGTTTCTGTATTACTTTTGGTAGCAGAGCTGGAGGGGGGAACGCGTAGGCATTGAGACGAGGTCCCACGCCAGGGAGTCTGGGATTGGTGATACGAACTTTGGAAGTTTGTTGTTGAACCTTGTGGCGAACAGATCTATTTGAGGCCGTGACGTGAGCTAATTAAGGAGAGCAGCATGGAGTGCACGGGCGAATGGACAAGGAGGCCTATGGAAAAAAGTTTACAGTCGTTCTACTAAAAGTCGAAGCAAGAGAGGTGCAAGTCATGAGATAGGATAAGTTTAAAAATTTGGAAAATGCACAAATAAATGATGATAGTTTCTTAAACAACTTTTATATTTTTGTGACAAAAATTATGCAATTTTTTTCTAGAGTTGGTCTGTTGTTTTTATTGCAGTCCGTGTTGGTTTGATTCTTTTATGTCTATTTGTTTTTTGTGTTAGATTGCAATTCATCGGTATCATTTTGTCTCAAACAGACTGTAGTCCTTCCTTCTACTTATCCATCCATTACTATCACCCATTTGTGAAGAAATACATCAATATATATTAGTACATGCAGCATTGTGGTTTTCTTCATATGCATACCACAATATCCCTTGCGTGTGGTCATGTGCATAGAGCTCACGTCACAAATCAGTTAAGCAACGTTGGACGTGGAGAGTCCTTGGATGGGTCAGCATGTTTGGCAGCTTGACTCATGAGACTTTCTTGACTTCAGTACTGCCCCACAATGAAGCACATGTGATACATGTGGTCTCACCTTAGCAGAGGCCCAGATAAGCTGCCTATCCGGGTAAAATACGCATAGAAAATTTCCAATTACGCATTGAAAAATAATTGTTGCGTACCAATTATGCATTAAAAATGTTAGATACGCAAAAAGATTAAAACAAATGTGTACGGAATAATTTATAAAAATTGCTCAGCGTAATGAAAAAGACATCGGTTGCTATCAAGTTGTACTGTTAGTATAGGTCTAGTGTTGTACTGTCAGTATAGGATGAGTGATTTTTTATGAAATCATTTCTATTATATTTAAGTTGGTTTTGATTAGGTGTGACATTAGGCAGTACATACCTGCTGAGTAAACTTACTCAATGACATCTACTTAGGTGAGTAAAATAACTAGAATACCCACATATTTGAAAGCAGTGGGTAACGGAAAATGAAATACCCACTCAACATTCATAATACCCACTCCAAAAACATACAGTGGGTACAGTGCCCACATGAGCTAAATCTTATCTGGAGCTCTGCCTTAGGCAAGTGAGTTTGTTCAAAATTGCCTTTGTTCACCCAGCAGAAATAAGTAATGTGACTATTTTCCTTCTAGCCCATTACAGGTTGCTTGGGTTATCTGGGGTAATAATAATCAGATTATATTTGTGCACATGTCAGCGCTTTGAGCATTGTCCCTGTGGTGGAAGTCAGCGTCTCATTATTATATTATCAACATACCTGTACTGGGCAAAGTGAAGGTACAACGGGGGCCCAGTGACTGTGTGATCCCACAGAATCACCTTTGTCTTCGGAAATTGTAACATCTGTAAGTCTTCACATAATCTGCAATAAAAACACTGTTTCTGTCAGAATATATATAACAAATTGTAAAGGGAATTATTTCAAAATTCAAAACAAAGAATCAGGGATTAGTTGACACATTTAAACTTAAATATGCGTAAAAGAGAGGTAACATTGTTTAAATCATAGAAATCACTTGATTCTGATATTCTACTAACAACAGATTCCCATAAATTCTACATTATGGAATAAATATTTCACTTGATTTATCTTATGAATGTCTCATTATGAGCCATTAAAAAGTAAAATATCTTTATAACACACAATTTGATATGATGAAACTGACACACAGTCAAACACTGTTATGTTAAAGTTGAAGGGGCCCACATAATACTTCGAGTTACCCGAGGTACGATGAAACAGCAAATTTGGACCAAGGTTTTACTTTGAGACAACCATGAGTTCCACTAATCAAAGTTTGACACAATGATGTTTGACTGTTTAAAGAAAAAATAAACAGGTATTGTTAATACACATATGCCTAGTTCATTTCCAAATTCAGCTATCTCCTGCCACATAAATCTCCCCTATATTCTATATAAGGGTGTTGTCCAGCTTGATGTTCATAAACCAGATATACTGCCAATAGAGAGTGACAGAGACAACAAGTGGGGCACGTCTACTTACTCTTGACTACCATCCATACATTGCTGTCTTTGGGACCTGGTCTCCACTTGAGGGTAAGGGAAGCCATATTGTGCCCTGATGTGTTCGGGCATGCTCTTCAAGCGGATAGGGACAGCCATTGACAGAAAAGGCTGTAACAGATCACAACAATTGTCAGCTCTTAACTGTCAGTTACCACCACACCTTTCTGTAATGGTCTGACGGGAAGGAGAGGTGTGACAAACAGAAGCTTGTATCCAGGACCAGCTGACACAATGCACTTACTTCTGGGGAACATGTAATATTTGTAACACCATTGTGTTAGCATGGTTATTTAGGACTTACAACATGTACAAATGTGAGTTCCTACACAGACTTCCACCTCTATATTTGCTTCCACCTCTAAATTTGCTTCCTTAGAAAAACTGTTGAAAATACTTTATCTTGATAAACCACACAATCAAATATCATGAATTGCATCAACGCTTTCGATCTTAAACTTAAACACAATCTTGCATAGATGGGATGTCCATAAATCATAGACCGCCTCCGTGAGGTAGTGGTTAGAGCGTCCGTCCGGAGAGCAGAAGGTCGCAGGTTCGATCCCCGACCGCATCATACAAAAAGACGTTAAAATATGGTACTTGTTGGTCCCTGCCTGGCGTTTGTCTTTAATGGGTATAACAAGGACTGGTCGGCTCGGAGTCAGTATAATGTGTCTGAGTGGGGTATTCATGCTTCACTGCAGCATGGTATCTCTGTGGGCAAGCACTATAAAAACAAGCTTAAGTCTGGGCTAGTACAAGCAGCCGCACATACACATGCACACGCATGCACGCTGTCATATGAGCGAAATATTCTCAAGCACGACGTTAAACCCAATTTCACCTCACCTCCATAAATCCTAACATATCTCTATTACACATAGATTATGTGAATATATGCTACAATATTACTATTAAATGTGAAACTATCAGAAGATGCAGGAGAAAAGCAGTGAGGACATGTTCAGTTATGTGAACTGGACGACACTGTAGCCATCTGTGGAATGTTGATGTGGTTGTGTGTGGTCCTGTGCCTAGAGCTCAGGTCACAAATCAGTTGAAGTTAAGCAACGATGGGCACGGAGAGTCCTTGGATGGGTGAGCATGTTTGGCAGCTCGACACCTGAGTTTCTAGTACTTCAGTCCTGCCCCACAATGAAGCACATATGATACATGTGGTCTCACAAGTGAGCTTGTTCAAAATAGCCTCTGTTCACCCAGCAGCTTGGGTTATCCAGGGTAATAACAATCAGTCTGTCGCACTTTGAGCGTGCCCCTCCGTGGTGTGGAATTCAGCACATTACAAATGCCTTTATTATTATCATTATTATTATAATGTTGCTGGCTCTTGACTTTGTTAAAATTCAGAAATATATATCTAACATATTTTGTTACGTGAAACTTTGAAATGCTTCTTCATCACAGAAACACATACACAGCAACTTGGAATGAATGAACTAAACAAGAAATATACTCCTGTCATGAAATTCAACTTACACTTAATTCAGAAATCATGGTCATTAATTGCAGATTTCATGATGAAGTCCTTTGGAAGGAGATGAATACCAACCAATAATCATTTGGCACAGCACCAACAGACACAAGCTAATCTTCACAGATAAAAGAAAGATGTTTTATGTAGCTTTCGACTAATATCAGAACAAGACAAGACAATTTCTGCTCAAACTATTCACTGGTTCTTATTACACAAAGACAGGGTTGAGCATCAGTTTCAGTAGAGTTTTGTGTTGTTGTGTTGTTAAAGGAACTATTTTTAACAGACCTTATAGATTCATTGCACTAGGGGCTAAAGTAACAGGCTTTAGAGAAACATTTTCACGCACCTTATACTCAAGTCCTTATACATGGCAAACAGTACAAAGGTGGACACTATGCCTAATTCATACTACCACCTTCTATGTGGCCTCACAGTGTATCTCACACCACACTGACGGCTTGGCACCCTTTCATTCAATAGTCATTTATTCAACTGCAAATAATTCTTTCAGAAGGATAAAAGATGTTTGCACAATTATGTCCATGAATGCTGGCTCACTTAATGTGCCCACATGCCTCTCATTCAACTGCATGAAATACACATCAGCATGTTGGAACAAGCACATAAACAAATCTTAATAGAGATCTTGTCTTTTAATAACAGGACTATTTAACAGGACATCTAAACAGTATTCAGACTTAATGGTTTAATTCAATACTTGTGTGTCAAGTGAATTATTACCTGTGAAATGGTAAGTCAAGTTTCAGAAATGACCAAGTGATCATTTTGGACACTTAGGACACTAGCCAATTGCACCTGGCACTAGGCACAAGTTCTTAAAATCTAAAATCATCAAAGAAGTATAATAACATACTGCAGTACCAAGTATAAATTAGTTACATATTGACTTTCATTTACTGCTGCTTTTAAGTATAACAGGTCTACTAGCCTCTTTTTGTCATTCATAATCTTTTTAAGTCTTGGATTTATGTGCGATTCCTAACTAAGCGCCACTGTCATGCAATTTGGCAGAAAAATAAGTTTTTTAAAATTGGGACTTTTTAAAAGATATTCTTACTTTCATTCAATATATCATGGATAGATGACATACTGGTGCCACTGCTCAGATCAAGGAGCTAGTTTTAAAAAAGAAACCCAATACGACCATTTATATTGCATTATTATGTTTTTTTCATTCTCTCTCATTAACAAGCTAAGATTTGACATTTTTGTGTGTACGCATGTAAGATCACATTTATTGAGTATTTACAAAACATCAAGCGTACTTGTACACAACAGACTAAATAGGAATTGAGTTTTCATATAAATATTTTCGTACTTTACGGAGATACGCAGCTTATCTGTACCACTGTACAAAACAAAACATAAGTCAAAATAATGATAACCACAAATAGGGACTTTGCAAAATACAATTTGAATTTTTGCTTCTGAGGTCACTAAATTACTAAACAACCCAAACTCACAAACTAAAATACCCAATACATCTTTCAAGAGTGAGGCTTTGGACTAGATGATTAACTGGTTGGCTGAAGATTATTAACTGGTTTCACATAATATAATAGAACTATTTTAAAAAACAACTTATACAGTTAATTTTCAGTCTGAAAGCTGAACCACTGTCCAATTATGTTTGATAAAATGGTACTTACAAAATATTTTCCATTCATTTTCCTTTTGGCCAAAAATACCAGAGTGTTAGCAACGGTTTTCACAGAAAATAGAGTGCACAAAAGTGCAATCATAATCAGATTGTATTTGAAAGAACTGAATTAACTGACGATGCAACAGGTCTTGATAGTGTATTAAAGCAGACCGTCAAAAACACAGTCGGCTACTTGATACCTATATTGAACATGGTGTATAGCAATGGATTTATGTAGGAGTACTAATCTTGTCTGAAAAGACAGAGAAAATCTGTGCAGGTTCAATAGGTCTCTGATTGTTCTAAATCTGATTACAGGATTATGTTCCCCTGCTACTGTAAATGTTCTTTTCATAAGCAGATAAAGCCGGGTGCTAGCAACTAGCTAGATGTATGCTGAACTACAGGCCTCTCAACTAATTACACCAGCACAAGACGACAGCCCACATATTTTAGCATTATTAGACTGCTGGCTTACTGTATTCAAGAATGTTTAGTATATTTGTGTATATTCTAGAATTGTAACCAAAGGCACAGGCAAGCATGAAGACTGGTTTTACTAATAATAACATGATTAAAGCCAGACTTATACTCTTTTGATATGGAATAAAATGCAAGTTAAAATGTTTCAAATAAGAAACAGAAACAATGATAAATCCTAAAGAAAATAATGATAATAAATACATGTGTACATACATATGTCACTTTATAATATACTTCAGTGCAGAAGACAGATTTCTGAGTTTGAAAAAAGTGATTTTTAATAGCTGTGGAAGTGTCACTTTGGTGGAACTACTTCAAGCCTCAATAAAGTTTTCTGTCCAGTATCTTATCAAACAACATAATAAATGGCAATGTACGTACATACGTATTTCACCAAATGCATTTGGTCACCAAGCCAGGTCATTGGATGGTCCACACCTCACTTTGGTCCACACCTCACTTTGTGCGAATTTACCTTCAGAATACTTGAGTTAGGCATTGGCAGGGTGCAAAACTGACATTTCATGTAAAAGTGATTATATTTCACTTGATTGGCACCAGTCATTACCTGTATTTATGCTTGACATTGTAAATAGTGAATTATTTTCTCATTTGCACTCTTCTCTTTCTCTCAGTGTGCCATGTTTGTTTGTGATTCTTCCGTATTTAAAAATGATTATAAAAAGTGCTGATCTTATTCAAACAATGACAATTAATAAAAATATAGCAACTGATACAGATATGTGTTGTCTTGATTTATATTTTATTTTCGAATACAGAACCACATTGTATTTCTTATCTGTGGGCCTGAACAAAGAAGTGAATAGTCTTTAGTTGGGAATTTTCTCAGATTAACAATGTTTAAATGAACTAAACAAAATTGGAAGCATATAGAACAGAATATTTCAAGTGTATGTGGATAAAGTCTTGGCACACCACTTGTGAAAATATTACGTTTTTCACATTCCTCAGTGACAGATACATCATATTTCACTAGACATATGAAATATCCTCTATTTCTGATATGTTTCACATATTAAAACACATGTCTCAATATTCATCACTACTCTATTCATACTGTGACATGATGCAGATATGAAAGAAAAATAACAGACTTAAAAACACCATTAAACTTATATTTACCTTATCGGGCATTACCTGTGAGATGCAAATTGATTTCTTCTGAATCCTGCATTGTCTTTGGCTAATAAAAACACATTTAAATTCTTTCATGTATGTTATGTTATGTTTAGTTGATTTGTTATATAACTTCAAATGTACAACACGAGGTCTTTTAATGATGACAGTGCACTATCATACCAACAATAGTCAATTCCATGAATGAGAGGTATGGTTTGAAAAAAACCCATCTGGTTTTCATCAGTTCTGATAATGACCAGTAATGTACACATGTACTAATATGGTTAAAAAATGACTTGAGTACTCTTAAGAATATCATTCCTGTACATCCTTGGCCTATGTTTCTGTGAATAAACTGGATAAAAGTGTATGTTACTGTTTACTCAGAATATATTCCCTCTTGGTAGTTTTGTTCTTAACTAAACCTTTACATTATATTCAATGTATCAAAAAAACTTCTTTAGTCACTAGATATTGTATAACACTTTCCAGGTTTAGAGATCTGATGATCGAACAACTGACTTGAGTTTCAGACAGTTCTGACTATGCTGACATATTGGATCTCACACATCCTAAATATATTTTGACAGAAAAAGTGTCTTTGACAATAACATTTCAAGTGAAACACACTGTAAGAAACATGCTGAAGACACATGTTTTGATGCAAAGCAGACCTAAAACTGTTTTGGAAATACTTTTACAAATACTGATGAAAAGACCAGTTAATGTTTTTTTTACCACTGGTTAAGTCATGAATTATATGACTTTGTTACATAACTTTATTAAGATTTTGAAGAACTGAGATCTGATTGGAATGATGTAGTTAGCAGCCCTAATTTGTAAGAGATTCTTCTTTGTCGTGATAGTTTCATCAAGATCAGTGAATTTAATCTATAAATCACACCTCAAAGCAATCCCTGGTGGAACTGACATTAGCAGCAGCAAACTGTTAGACAACTGTTAGAAATAGACTGTTTGAGCTCAGTGATAATAACAAACTGATATTTGCATACCAGCCCATTGCTGGTAATATTTGCAAAGGGACCTACAGAGTACACTTCTACTTGTTTAACATGTTAAAAAAAATGGACATCTAACCTCTTTTGTTGAATCATTGACTTTACTGTAGATAACACAGGATGAAAATTTCTTTCATAGGGAAATCTGCAACTGAAATATTGTGATTGTGTAACTTGTTAAACTCTGTATTAAGAATACTTTCTCATGTTAATAAAATGATAAAAAATACTATTTTCGATTAACAGATAATGAATCAGAGCTACAGATAACTTTTTGGGTCATTGAGTTATGTACTCACTTGTGTTCATCTTAATTGGGTATCCTAACTTTCCTTTGAGTAACCAAATAAATTGTACCCACCTCACTCAAACGAAATTGGGTATTTTGCCATTTTCCATTAATTGTAAAAATATTTTAAAGTATAAATGTTGGTTAACGTGTTAGTTATTTATATTTGAGCTGTTATATGAGTAACGATAAGAAGACTGCAAGTTGCCAAGTCCAGGTGCTGAAATAGAAACTCTCAATATACCTCAGTTATTTTATCTATTATTGTTTGTACGCATGTAATATCAAATCTATTGACTATTTCCAAAAATTGAAGCGTACTTGTACGCAATAGACTTAACAGGAATTGAGTTTTCACATAAATATTTGGGTAATTTACACAGTTACCGCAGCTTATCTGTACCTCTGAATGATGATTAATAACTGAAAGTAATTGAGACATGGGAAGGAGAGAGAGATTTTGATCAATATAAACTGGCTCAATATATTTATTAAACCATTCAAAACCACATTAAATAACAAACTAAGATTCAGGTTGCTTCACAGAATTCTACCTGTAAATAACCTTTTGATTAAACTGCACATTGTCAAAAGCAATCAATGTACTTTCTGTGGGGCAGAACCTGAATCAATAGTTCATCTTTTCTGGAACTGTTGAGTAAGTAAGAACTTTTGGCAAACATTCTCACATTGGCTGGAGTTGAACTGTGTACACACAGGTATTTTATATCTTCAACGTGATTTGATCATTTTTGGGTGTTCACCCACATTTCATACTGATGATTCTTTGACTGGATACTACTACTAGCCAAATATTATATTTATAAATGTAAGCTGCAAAAGATAATACCTATCTTATCACACTTCAAGAAGGAATTAAAGTAATATTATCTTGAAGAAAAAGTCAGATATTGGAACAAATCTTAAGTTTAATGAATTCGAAAGAACCTGGGCAATGTATGTAAAACTTGTAAATGATTAGTTAATGTTATGGTAGAGAAATGCAAGGCCTTAGGGTATTAATGAGAGAGCGAGTGATTTGTGTTTTCTTACGTTTTTCTATTTCTTGTATTTTCAAAAAAAACACTGTAACCACACCACTATGTATGCTATGTATACATGTAAGCTGTCAACAGGAATACAAAAAACAAACTTGTTAATCTCTTGTAAATGAATTAGTTCATGTTCCACATAGTCATCAGTAGTACTTTCAGGTTTGCATTGCACGATGTACTTCTATTCAGGTTGTATTCAAGAAGATTCATCCCTCCCTCAAGACATATGGATTGATGAAAATATAATCATAACATAGTATTTATTAATACTATACCTGATACAAAAATGATCAAAACAGCAATGGCATCTTGTTCATATGCTAATTATCCAAGTTACTACTACAATCAATGACGACAAATAACAGCTAGAACCCAGATATTTTTCAAACTGAACTTCAAATGCTGCCTACTAGTGCAGTGTTCTAAATTCTCACTTGTTTGCTAGCCCGAGACTACTTTATTGTGCCAAGGAAAATTGGAAGTCTAGTGATGTAGTCTATTTTGACCAGTAACATTTGTCATCTTCTTATCTACACAAGGCCTCAATATACTTAATTCAATAAAAATTAGTGTAGCTGGTCTAGCTTCAATATCAGACGGGATGTGAAATATATTTGCACATGTCCCCTAGACTTCTTTTCAAAAATATTTATTTGTGAAACGTCCTCAATTATTATACGTTAGCATATTAATCTAATGTCCTGATGAATTTTAGCAAATGTTTGACAATCATTCTTTAGATAAAGGACAACATGGCAACAAATGCATTCAATTTCAGTTGTCCAGTTGTGTTAGAGAAATAAAAGAAATCTTTCAGAAGCCTGAGGCAGTGAGTGTGATCATGTGAATAGATGAGCAAAATAGAAAGCAGTTCCTGAAGCAGATTAACTCTTTTGAAATAGAAACCCTGGCTAAGGATTCTCATTTCATCATATTTAAGTTCACAGCAACTTACCTTTCATAGTATTTGTTATATAATCCAAATGCACTGAAGGACTCCTAGTCCTAGCTTGTAATTACACATCCATGATCCCTTCTAGTTGAATCATGTACACCAAACACACTTAATTGGAGTAACATGATCATTGATGACTGTTGGTGACGAGTAACTTTGACATGTGTGGGGTTTGAACATAAACTTATTCTCCCATTGCAAGTCAGCATAGCCAAATTTACCATGCACGATAACAGTATTTCAGACTTTTTGAAATAGTTTACTTTAGATTGAGTACAATCATAACAAAACAAGTTGATTACAAAACCAAATTGTCAACAATACACATAAAACAATATCGAGTTCCTCACATGCTGATGTCAATCACATGCCGGCCAATACCACTAATGGAAATAGAACACGCCCCTACATGTTTTGACAGCGTCCCGCGAATGACTTTACATCTAACATGTGATTACTTGATCTTGACATATGTAGGGTCATTCAACTGATGTAACTTCTCTTGAATTCTTAGACCATTCCAATCAAGACATTATTCAAAATCGAAGTGTACACTGCGACAGATGTAGAAAAATAATCAATTGCAGTCGCTGGACTTTTCAAAGTTCCCACGCGTTGAGCATTGACAGGTTCCTATACGTTTGGAGTCGATTTTTGTGGGCCAGTGATTAATCAGAGCATCCACCAAAATCTATTTCAATGTTACATTATTGCTTAGCGCATCTTCACTCACACAAATTTCATGATAAAGAAGAGTTACTCCATAAGTGTTCTATATGATTAACAATGCATTGCCTGTACTCACCTGTAAACATCAACATTGGCGCTTAGCAGTCAAACCATTTCCTCACTGCGCATGTCGGCCACTTGCCTCGTTGTAGATTCCAAATCAAAACTTAGGATTTACAGACGAAAAGAACATGCGAATTCATATACTAGTATTGAACAATGTAGATCAACAATATTGAGTATTGATCAATAATATTGAGTATTTCCTAAACAATAACAGATAATACTGTCACTACACATTATGATGCTTTTACAACAGGTTTCTAACGATAATTGTTCCTAACACTAGAGCGAAGCACATTCAGTTTGTAAAATATTTACAACTCGATGTGAAGATTAGTTAGCGTTAATCCGATTACCAACAATGCTGACTAAGCAATTACACTTATACTTCTAAATGGATGCAATTGTGGGAACCTCATTAACACAAGGAACACCTATGGTGTTCCTTAAAATATACAAGCATATTGCTTTTCAAATTGGTCCAAACTAATTAATTGACGCAGTTGTATCGATATATGAAGGCAAATCTACCGAAACATTACATTTCGGCCTATATTTCCTTTATCGAATCGTCGTCCAGATATTATGAAAAATGTAAAGAGTTTCAAACAATATCATATAGTAATTAAATACGTTATACCCGTGTAATATTATATATGACAGCTGTGCAGGATATACAGGTAACTGTAAAAGAGAACACACAATAAATATGTTAAATCTAAACAGATAGTCACCCCTTTAGGTGCAGACATTTTGCAGAAATATTACATCAACTGAAGATTTCCCATGAAACAATTACCACATTTTAGATTTGATCATGTTATGTACGAATATAAACTTTCAGTTTAGAGCTGGTCCATAACTGATCCGTCAGTTATATTTTGCTTTGTTTCTGTTGGTTTACTATGATGAAATGTATGTCCAACTATTTTCCTGTTGAAATATGAGCCCGAGAAGGCTAATATTCCGTTGGTTGAAAACCATGAGAAGTAAAAGTTCCTATCAATATCCATTTCGTCTTTTAGATACAACCGCATATATGACTTGCCACATGGGGGTGTCGAGAGTTTGAAAAGATCAGTCTATATTTATTGTTCGTGATATGTTTCAAAATTATTTATAGAGTCAACGAACCTTACAGGAACGTAACGTTACATTAGTTTGGTATATCTGCCCTGGTATTTTTGGTTGGTATATTTTAAAACCTATGTAAATATTTGCCCAAAATACAGAGGGACACCTCATCATTCTGCGATTTCTGACCAGTCATTTGTTTATTTATTTGTCGGCACCTGATCAAAGTGTCAAACGACTCATTTTAACCTTTGACTCACAGTGTTGTGAAGAGCAATAATTTTTCGATCCTTGTTTAGTTTACGCCATTTGGGGAGCGGGCTTCTCGGTGGCAAAATAATATCAAAGCATCTGAACAAGTTCACTGTTCAGCAATATTCCATCATGTCAGAAATCGCGTATGGTGTTGTTTTTGTACTCGGTGGACCCGGGGCTGGAAAAGGGACACAGTGTGAGAGAATAGACAAGGTACTGTACATTTTTCAATATTGGTCACGTCATATTCAATGATTAAAGCATTAGATCTTGTTCCACTGCACAGGTTATGCATTTTTGGCATGTTTGTTATTTTAACAAACTTTATTTGTGTGTTTAGTTAAGTTTGATCAGTTCAGAAATGTCTCATAAAATTATTTTCCTAATTACATCACATAGAAACGATAGCTCAATTTCTTGAAGATGTGTGGAGCAGTGAGGTATCCAAGTGGTTAAAGTGTTTGCTCGTCACGCGGAAAACCCGGGTCAAGCCCATTTCTGGTGTCCCCTGCCCTGATATTGCTGGAATATTGTTAAAAGTGGTGTTAAACCCTCCCTCTCTCTCTCTGTAAAGCATATTTTTGTAATGCTAATACATTAAAAGGTTATTGAAATTATTCTGTCCTCCCATTTGTTGTGAAATAATGTTCATTCCACTGCCTTAAACTATCAAGAAAAAAGATGTTAAGTGTTTTATAAAGAAGACAAGATACAACACATACCTGATGGTACCTGATGAAATCCAGTACAAATTCCTGCACTTAGTAGAACATGATATGAATGATTGTGTAGATTGATGCTTTTAATGTCAGTCACAGGTTTATCTGTCCCAGACTCAATTATTTACATACCAACATCAAATACCTAAAATATTGCTGAGTGCAGCATTAAACAGCAAACAAAACATCAACTATGTCAGTGTCTGGGAGGAAGATGCATATTCTTTTGGCTCTGTGTTAACCCCATGTGACCCTCTGTATTGTGAGCCTGCTGTCAGTCCAATGTCAGCAGGTGAACCGGGATAACTGGACAGAGAGGGGAGGCAGGAGGAAGTGCTATGGTGTAAACTGGGAAGTGGGGTTGCTGGTCAAGAGTGTGTCTGTCCTACAGCTGGAAATGAGATGACTGGAATTATGCTCTAGGGCCTGCAAGAGAAAGGGGGAGTGTCATGTCATATAGCCTGAATGTAGGTTGTCAGTATTGACATATAATTACTTCAATGAATTAGGGGTGGGTGTTGCAGACAATTTTCATATTGCGATGCCAAAGCATATATTGCGATATGTATTGCAAATGCAATATATTGCAAGAAGGTTTTTTTAAACAAAAAACTACTTATAATCGAGTTAATGCTTGTTTTTTAAAGCAAAAACACAATAAAATCACTATGCTTGATTGTGCTTAAATGGAAACTATTAATCATGACAAAAAATACAAAAATGTGAATAATATTTGGCACAAATGAAATATGGAAAAGAACGATTTAACATCAACACAGTGGTTACTAGTTTGAACTAGTTTCTCCACTCTCAAAAAAAGCCCTGACATTTTAGACAGCAACTTGACCAGGTCAGGACATATCAGAGATCACTGGTCATTAATGAGTAAATATTTAAAACATTCAGGTCCGAAACATTGCGAAACATTTGAATTGAAATTAAGAACACAACTTCGAACCGAACTTAACAATCCAGTTAAAAATAATTATCACCCCGATCATTCCCACCACCATTATCACAATTATCAAGATTTCTGAGTGTTACAAAGATAAAATACTGGTTTTCGATCAGCATATCGCAATACGTATTGTGTTCATGTTTGACAGGTAAATACCGGTAAACCAGTTATGTTGCGCAGCCCTACAATGACTGTAAGCTTGATATCAAATACATGAATTGTTTTCTGATATAATGTTAATAATGCTTCTTGTGAATCTAAAGCGATTGTTATGTAAAATTGTTTTTTTTTTATACATGTAACACAATCCCTACTAAATTGGAGTGAATGATGAATTTCTGTGCATTGACTTAATGCCTGTTATCTTCATGAAGAGGTGAAGAATGTTTTTAATTTCTCATTTAATGAGGTTTAGATTAAGCCTTTCAGTGTGTCCAACTGGAAAGCACTGTGACAAACCTCAAGTGATATGTCACATTCATAAGGAAGTCTTTAATAATTAGTATGTTAATTCCTGTTTTGAGTTTAGATAAGTCAAGAAAAAATGTTATGATTTTATGAATATTATTTTGAAAGATAACGACTAACAATATTTTATATTTAATGAAATATTTCAAACAGTGTATCTGATTCAATTGTATTTTCATCTTATTTATCTGTGGAGAATATATCATCTCGTGATCTTGTACAACATGTTATGGAGATGCAAATGAACTTACTGATCCAATCATATTTCATAACTCCTTGGGGCAATGGGGTACCTTAATGGTTAAAGTGTCTACTCGTCACACTGAAGACCCAGGTTCGATTCCCTGCATGGGTAATATGTGTGAAGCCCATTTCTGGTGTCTCCCACCATGATATTGCAGGAATATTGCTTAAGGTGGTGTAAAACCATACTCATTCATAATTCCTTGTTACACTCGTGTTGAGTAACACATGTCCCCAGAAGGTTATGTATAGCTTAACGCTTTCTGTAACATGGATTCCATGGAGTACACTATCCAGATTGTTGGTACATGGATTCCATGGAGTACACTATCCAGATTGTTGGATTCCATGGAGTACACTATCCAGATTGTTGGTACATGGATTCCATGGAGTACACTATCCAGATTGTTGGTACATGGATTCCATGGAGTACACTATCCAGATTGTTGGTACATGGATTCCATGGAGTACACTATCCAGATTGTTGGTACATGGATTCCATGGAGTACATATCCAGATTGTTTGTACATGTATTCCATGGAGTACACTATCAAATTGTTGATGCATGGATTCCATGGAGTACACCATCATTGTTGGTACATGGATTCCATAGAGTACACCATCCAGATTGTTGGTACATGGATTCCATGGAGTACACTATCCAGATTGTTGGTACATGGATTCCATGGAGTACACCATCCAGATTGTTGGTACATGGATTCCATGGAGTACACTATCCAGATTGTTGGTACATGGATTCCATGGAGTACACTATCCAGATTGTTGGTACATGGATTCCATGGAGTACACCATCCAGATTGTTGGTACATGGATTCCATGGAGTACACTATCCAGATTGTTGGTACATGGATTCCATGGAGTACACCATCCAGATTGTTGGTACATGGATTCCATGGAGTACACCATCCAGATTGTTGGTACATGGAGTACAGTATCCAGATTGTTGGTACATGGATTCCATGGAGTACACTATCCAGATTGTTGGTACATGGATTCCATGGAGTACACCATCCAGATTGTTGGTACATGGATTCCATGGAGTTCCAGATTGTTGGTACATGGATTCCATGGAGTACACTATCCAGATTGTTGGTACATGGATTCCATGGAGTACACTATCCAGATTGTTGGTACATGGATTCCATGGAGTACACCATCCAGATTGTTGGTACATGGATTCCATGGAGTACACCATCCAGATTGTTGGTACATGGATTCCATAGAGTACACCATCCAGATTGTTGGTACATGGATTCCATGGAGTACCCATCAGATTGTTGGTACATGGATTCCATGGAGTACATACATGGAGTACTATATCCAGATTGTTGGTACATGGATTCCATGGAGTACACTATCCAGATTGTTGGTACATGGATTCCATGGAGTACACCATCCAGATTGTTGGTACATGGATTCCATAGAGCACACCATCCAGATTGTTGATACATGGAGTACACTATCCAGATTGTTGGTACATGGATTCCAGTACATGGATTCCATGGAGTACGCAATCCAGATTGTTGGTACATGAATTCCATAGAGTACACTATCCATATTGTTGATACATGGAGTACACTATCCAGATTGTTGGTACATGGATTCCATGGAGTACACTATCCAGATTGTTGGTACATGGATTCCATGGAGTACACTATCCAGATTGTTGGTCCATGGATTCCATGGAGTACACCATCCAGATTGTTGGTACATGAATTCCATAGAGTACACCATCCAGAGTACACTATCCAGATTGTTGGTACATGGATTCCATAGAGTACACCATCCAGATTGTTGGTACATGGATTCCATGGAGTACACCATCCAGATTGTTGGTACATGGATTCCATGGAGTACACCATCCAGATTGTTGGTACATGGATTCCATGGAGTACACTATCCAGATTGTTGGTACATGGATTCCATAGAGTACACTATCCAGATTGTTGGTACATGGATTCCATAGAGTACACTATCCAGATTGTTGGTACATGGATTCCATGGAGTACACATCCAGATTGTTGGACATGGATTCCATGGGGAGTACATCATGTTCCTGATGCATGGATTCCATGGAGGCTTACATCATCCAGATTGTTGGTACATGGATTCCATGGAGTACACTATCCATATTGCTAGTACAGCACTTGAATTGCAAGTAAATTCTGGATCTTAGAAAGCTTTCACTTGTAGAACCAGCACACACTTTACACTGCTGATTTTCACATTTGCAAATGAGTTTTTAATCATTACCCAACCTTATAAAAATCAGATCCTGGCGCTCACTAATGATAAACAGAGAACATCTGGGAACATCCTTTTTCAGATTATGTCAAAATGACCTTTCACAAACTTTGACAAATGAGATGGGCAGCAAAAAATTGACATTAGCCATTCATAAAGCTAAGTTTTATAACAGTTTCAAACTACTACGGGGCAGTGGGGTAGCCTAGTGGTTAAAGGGTTTGCTCTTGACGTCGAAGGCCAGGGTTCGATTCCCCACATAGGTACAATTTGTAAAGCCCATTCTGGTGTGCCCCGCCGTGATATTGCTGGAATATTGCTAAAAACGGCGTAAAACAATACTAAGTCAGTCAGTTCAAACTATTACAACTTACAAGATGGCAACTACTTTCCAAGACTATGCTTTGACAATTGTGAATTCCAAACTTAAAGTGAACAAACAAAATGCAAGAATCTGAATGTCCTGTAGATGGCCAAGATTGTATGGCTGTACTTTTCATGTGTCATGGGAAGTGCTTTATATTTCAAATGTTTATCCTGCTACAGTGGATAGATTTCGATGGAATCGGTCATACAGCCTGTGACATTCTTTCAAATAACCTGTGTTAATTATATATACATTTTTTGATGATAAAACACCTTCCAGCTGTCAATTTGCTAATCTGGTAAACGATGCCTGTTAGGTTGGATGTTAAGTTATTTTATATGGAAGGTCCTCTGATGTTTTTTAAGAAGTTACAAGAACTAAGATCTTATTTTAATGAGATAGATGTTCGCTATAGTGTGAAGTTTACACATGGATGAATTCTTATGTGTCTGATAAGAATATGTTGTCACTATTATGTAACTAATATTGAGCATGTTGTTGGTTTTAGGAATTTGGGTTTATTCACCTTTCCGCTGGGGATTTGCTTCGAGAAGAACGCCAGAACAAAGATTCCAAGATTGGCAATGAGATTGAAACCCATATTCGCAATGGAACTATTGTGCCAGTAGAAATAACCTGCTCCCTCCTACACAGGGTTTGTATGACAATTCTCTGTCCTTCAGTAGTAGTCTTGTTGTCTTAAGGTGCTGCAATGTTTTCTGAGTTACATCCCCTTGCAGTCCCAGGATCAGGTCTTGGTGATGGGCTGATAACCTATATTTGTCCCACTTATGATGCTTGTTCTTCTTAAAGGGTAAATAGCTATGTTCTGCATCTTTACGAACCCATCATCAGGGCTCCAAATAAGGGCTGTATCGGCGTATGTACTGATATAAAATATGCACGATATGGTAGGAAATAATTTAGAAAACGTAACAGATACGCACCACAGAAATCTTACAGTCATGTACAGACGTATTTATCTGAAAAAGTATTGTTTTATTGTTTATTGACCTGTTTACACAAGAGTAGCAATATTATGATGCTTTTGTGAAACGAAACACAAGGTTACTGATCCGCCATTATATTCCATTCAGTACTCTAAATGTACACTTAAGTTTTTCCAGTACTCTTATATTGAAAAAATAAGGAGTACATACTCTTGATGTTGAAAAATTATCTGGAGCCCTGCAAAATACCTTTTAACTCTTTCATATCAGTACCTGTAGCAGCTGCAAGATGGCAGATATCTTCGGCAAAATCACAAATGCAGAAAAAGGAGATTTGAACAAAGTTTCTTTAATGAAGAAACAACAGTTTCATCAAACTTTTGTTATGTATTTTAGGAAATTTACAGGATTGTTTGATAATTATCCATAGCCTTGGTTCACATATGTATGTAGATTAAATTAGGTGATTAAGATAATTCAGTGAAGTCAAATTAGGAAAAATCACATTGTTGTGAAACATTTGTAATTCAATGTAGGTAGACAACAAAATCTTTGAAGAGTACATTATGTTCAAAATCAAATTTGTTTCTCATATTGAGGTGAATCCCAAGCAAGCTTTGACCACTCCATTAAAGTGAAGCATGTGTGGGTTCTTCAGCCAGTCGAATGTCAGCTGCAAAAGTATCCCTGTGGATGTGGATGACATTTTGCTAATAATGCCAAAACTTATTAGCTAGCCACAACAAATAAACATTACTTTCTAATTGTCCCTTCAGATTTCCCAGATTACCTGGTGTATGTATTGTTTAGAAACACAAATCAAATATGCTGTGTATGATCAGCTGAGATTGGGGGTTTCCTTATAATGCTTGGAGGTACATTTATGGAGTATAAATCTAATTTTGTAATGGTTAATTGTTTGTCAATTTTTTCAAATATATGAATCTTTAAATAATATCAACATGACACAATTTGTGACTCTATTTGTGTTTCAGGCCATGAAAAAAAGTGGTAAACAGAATTTTCTGATCGATGGATTTCCTCGGAACAAGGATAACCTTGATGGCTGGAACCGAGAAATGTCTAGCGTGACCGAGATTAAGAGAGTGTTGTTCTTCAACTGCTCAGATAGCGTAAGTACGGTGATGACTGTTATGTATGTGGTGATGCATGTTATGTATGTAGTGATGGATGTTATGTATGTGGTGATGGGATGTGATGAAGCTGTTATGTATGTAGTGATGGCTGTTATGTATGTAGTGATGGATGTTATGTATGTAGTGATGGATGTTATGTATGTAGTGATGGATGTTATGTATGTGGTGATGGATGTTATGTATGTAGTGATGGATGTTATGTATGTGGTGATGGCTGTTATGTATGTAGTGATGGATGTTATGTATGTAGTGATGGCTGTTATGTATGTAGTGATGGATGTTATGTATGTAGTGCTGTTATGTATGATGTGATATGTTATGTATGTAGTGATGGCTGTTATGTATGTAGTGATGGCTGTTATGTATGTGGTGATGGATGTTATGTATGTAGTGATGGATGTTATGTATGTAGTGATGCATGTTATGTGTAGTGATGGCTGTTATGTATGTGGTGATGGCTGTTATGTATGTAGTGATGGCTGTTATGTATGTAGTGATGGCTGTTATGTATGTAGTGATGGCTGTTATGTATGTGGTGATGGCTGTTATGTATGTAGTGATGGATGTTATGTATGTGGTGATGATGTCATGTTATGTATGTAGTGATGGCTGTTATGTATGTAGTGATGGCTGTTATGTATGTAGTGATGCTGTTATGTATGTGGTGATGGTATTATGTATGTGAGTGATGGATGTTATGTATGTAGTGATGGCTGTTATGTATGTAGTGATGGCTGTTATGTATGTGGTGATGGCTGTTATGTATGTAGTGATGGATGTTATGTATGTAGTGATGGCTGTTATGTATGTAGTGATGGCTGTTATGTATGTAGTGATGGATGTTATGTATGTAGTGATGGATGTTATGTATGTGGTGATGGATGTTATGTATGTAGTGATGGATGTTATGTATGTAGTGATGGATGTTATGTATGTAGTGATGGATGTTATGTATGTAGTGATGGCTGTTATGTATGTAGTGATGGATGTTATGTATGTAGTGATGGCTGTTATGTATGTAGTGATGGATGTTATGTATGTGGTGATGGATGTTATGTATGTATGTGATGGCTGTTATGTATGTAGTGATGGATGTTATGTATGTGGTGATGGCTGTTATGTATGTAGTGATGGCTGTTATGTATGTAGTGATGGCTGTTATGTATGTAGTGATGGCTGTTATGTATGTGGTGATGGATGTTATGTATGTGGTGATGGATGTTATGTATGTAGTGATGGATGTTATGTAATGGTGTAGTGATGGCTGTTATGTATGTATGTGGTGATGGCTGTGTATGTATGTGGTGATGGATGTTATGTATGTAGTGATGGCTGTTATGTATGTAGTGATGGATGTTATGTATGTAGTGATGGATGTTATGTATGTGGTGATGGATGTTATGTATGTGGTGATGGATGTTATGTATGTGGTGATGGATGTTATGTATGTAGTGATGGATGTTATGTATGTGTGATGGCTATTATGATGGATGTGATATGTATGTAGTGATGGATGTTATGTATGTGGTGATGGATGTTATGTATGTAGTGATGGATGTTATGTATGTAGTGATGGCTGTTATGTATGTGGTGATGGACTGTTATGTATGTAGTGATGGATGTTATGTATGTGTAGTGATGGATGTTATGTATGTAGTGATGGATGTTATGTATGTGGTGATGGATGTTATGTATGTAGTGATGGATGTTATGTATGTAGTGATGGCTGTTATGTATGTAGTGATGGCTGTTATGTATGTAGTGATGGCTGTTATGTATGTGGTGATGGATGTTATGTATGTAGTGATGGCTGTTATGTATGTAGTGATGGAGTGATGGATGTTATGTATGTGGTGATGGATGTTATGTATGTGGTGATGGATGTTATGTATGTAGTGATGGATGTTATGTATGTGTATGTGGTGATGGATGTTATGTATGTAGTGATGGATGTTATGTATGTGGTGATGGATGTTATGTATGTAGTGATGGCTGTTATGTATGTAGTGATGGATGTTATGTATGTAGTGATGGATGTTATGTATGTAGTGATGGATGTTATGTATGTAGTGATGGATGTTATGTATGTAGTGATGGATGTTATGTATGTGCTGTTATGTATGTGTGATGGATGTTATGTATGTAGTGATGGATGTTATGTATGTAGTGATGGATGTTATGTATGTGGTGATGGATGTTATGTATGTGGTGATGGATGTTATGTATGTGGTGATGTTATGTATGTAATAATGGATGTTATGTATGTGGTGATGGATGTTATGTATGTGGTGATGGATGTTATGTATGTAGTGATGGATGTTATGTATGTAGTGATGGATGTTATGTATGTAGTGATGGATGTTATGTATGTGGTGATGGATGTTATGTATGTAGTAATGGATGTTATGTATGTAGTGATGGATGTTATGTATGTGGTGATGGATGTTATGTATGTAGTGATGGATGTTATGTATGTAGTAATGGATGTTATGTATGTGGTGATGGATGTTATGTATGTAGTGATGGCTGTTGTGTATGTAGTGATGGCTGTTATGTATGTAGTGATGGATGTTATGTATGTGGTGATGGATGTTATGTATGTAGTGATGGATGTTATGTATGTGGTGATGGATGTTATGTATGTGGTGATGGATGTTATGTATGTAGTGATGGATGTTATGTATGTGGTGATGGATGTTATGTATGTAGTGATGGATGTTATGTATGTAGTGATGGATGTTATGTATGTGGTGATGGATGTTATGTATGTGGTGATGGATGTTGCGTATATGGTGATATGTGTTACGTATATGGTGATGTGTTATGTCTGTGGTGATGTGTATTTCGTATGTGGTGATTCATGTTAATTATGGTGATGCATATTTGATACAGTGATGCATGTTGAGTTTGGTGATGTGTGTTTCGTATATGGTGATGTGTGTTCCGCATATGGTGATGTGTGTTACCTATGGTGATGTGTGTTTCGTATATGGTGGTGTTTGTTCCGTATATGGTGATGTTTGTTCCGTATATGGTGATGTGTGTTCATTATATGGTGATGTGTGTTTAGATATGGTGATGTGTGTTATGCGATATGGTGATGTATGTTGTTATATATATGGCGATGTCTGTTCAGTATATGATGATGTTTGTTCCATGATATATGGTGATGTGTGTTCATTATATATGGTGATGTGTGTTCATATATATGGTGACATGTGATCTGTATATGTTGGACGTGTATTGCATACACGATATATGGTGGTGGCGTGTGTTATGTATATGGTGATGTGTGTTACATTATATGGTGATGTGTGTTACGTATATGGTGATGTGTGTTCCGTATATGGTGATGTGTTGTCTGTGTTGATGTGTGTTTCGTATGTGGTGATTCATGTTATTTATGGTGATGCATATTTTATACAGTGATGCATGTTAAGTGTGGTGATGCATGTTACATATATGGTGATGTGTGTTCGATATATGGTGATGTGTGTTCCGTATATGGTGATATGTGTTACGTATATGGTGTTGTGTTATGTCTGTGGTGATGTGTGTTTCGTATGTGGTGATTCCTGTTAATTATGGTGATGCATATTTGATACAGTGATGCATGTTAAGTTTGGTGATGTGTGTTTCGTATATGGTGATGTGTGTACCGCATATGGTGATGTGTGTTCGATATATGGTGATGTGTGTTTCGTATATGGTGATGTGTGTTCCGCATATGGTGATGTGTGTTCAGTGTATGGTGATGTTTGTTCCGTATATGGTGGTGTGTTTTTCGTATATGGTGATGTGTGTTACGTATACGGTGATGTGTTATGTCTGTGGTGATGTGTGTTCAGTATATGGTGATGTTTGTTCCGTATATGGTGATGTGTGTTCCGTATATGGTGATATGTGTTACGTATATGGTGATGTGTTATGTCTGTGGTGATGTGTGTTTCGTATGTGGTGATTCCTGTTAATTATGGTGATGCATATTTGATACAGTGATGCATGTTAAGTTTGGTGATGTTTGTTTCGTATATGGTGATGTGTGTTCCGCATATGGTGATGTGTGTTACATATATGGTGATGTGTGTTTCATATATGGTGATGTGTGTTACATATATGGTGATGTTTGTTCCGTATATGGTGATGTGTTTTTCGTATATGGTGAAGTGTTTTTCGTATATGGTGATGTGTGTTTCGTATATGGTGACGTGTGTTCCGTATATGGTGACGTCTGTTCCGTATATGGTGATGTGTGTTCCGTATATGGTGATGTGTGTTACATTATATGGTGACGTGTGTTCCGTATATGGTGGCTGCAGGTTAATATATGGTGATGTGTGTTGCATGATATGGTGACGTGTGTTCATGATATGGTGACGTGTGTTCTGTATATGGTAACGTGTGTTACGTATATGGTGATGTGTGTTCCGTATATTGTGACGTGTGTTACATATATGGTATTGTGTGTTCCGTATATATGGTGATGTGTTATGTCTGTGGTGATGTGTGTTTCGTATGTGGTGATTAGTGTTAATTATGGTGATGCATATTTGATACAGTGATGCATGTTAAGTTTGGTGATGCATGTTACCTATAGTGATGCATGTTCCTTATGACAGAATGTAGACCTCACCGGGGCAGCACATGTGTATTATGTATTGATTCCATGTGTGATTTATGCTTTCACATGAACATTTTTAATGTGTATGTAATATGCAGTCACTCAGACAGAAAATATTTGTTGTCTACCTTCGATTATTTGTATTCTTTCACCTTAGTCAGGGCTTGCATGGAAAGACATGACAGTAAAATTTCCTGTCATGATTAGTGCCCACCCGCATGGCCTAGAATCTATATATTGCGTCTCGAGTGGGCTTGCCATATAGAAACTACTGTTTGGCATGTCAGATGATTAGCACTTGGAACCAGCATTAGCCACAAACATGTATGTTGGCACCAGCATTAGCCCCAAAGAT